CTGAGGACATGATTGATTACCATCTTTCCTCTCATACTCATAACAAGGACGGCACACAGGGAATGCACACTCATTGCAAGCCACAAAAACATCGCCGTTGGCAGTAAGTCCAACTGTATCACCACATATCTGACAGATCTGGCCATTCAAATTTTTCAGGGGTTTGGGCTGCACCATAAATACAATTACCAATCATCAGACTCCATCGTAGATAGAAACTAGTGACTTATGCTTTACATCTTCTCCACCCTCATATAGCGATTTCATACAACGAGGAAATTGAGCACAAATTGCGTTAAAATATTGTGGAAATTGGTGACTGCATGCGAGCTGAAGTGAGAAAGAATGCATTTCAACCAATGTCATTGCACTTTCAATCATCAAAACAAGAGCAAGGACTTACTCGTACTTTGATTGTAAATCTTCCGGTGAGTTAAAACAACTACAGTGATGCACAAGTAAGCTGAAATCTCTTAAATTTGAAAGAGATAAGACACGCGAAACAATATCTTTCAATTGGATTGTAAAACAGTGATGTCCACATCGAAGAGTCGGAACTATTCCGCCTCTGAAGCAGTAATACTTACAAAAGAAATGAATTATCTAGATCTCAGCTTCTTGCCCCAATATTAAATCGAACAAGATACCCAGTAATTCTTCCACAGAAGAACATAAACTTCATTAGAAGAAGAGTAAGCAAATGAAACAACCAAGATCTGGCAACCCCAAGTGAGAGCAACAGAGAAAAGGAAGACAACTCGCATCGTTGACTAAGACAGTTCAAACCCGACTCTGCCACGACCCCCATCACAAAACTAAGCATCGAATCGCAAACAGAAGAATTAGATTTCCAGAATCGCTACAGAATCCAAGTCGACCGATCTTCGAACCAAAAAAGAAAAAAGAAAACTCCACGGCCCCAGACAGTGAGCACAGCACAAGACCGACCGACCGACAGAGCTACCGACACTCCGATCCACACATTGCTACCACCGGCAGCCGAAGGTCCAGCGTACAAGATCCGGAATTAGGAAGCTAAACGGTCAACCCAGAGCAGAGCTCGAGCTCACAAGCCAGCCTCGGGGCAAGCAACGCCCAGATCAACACAATCCGAATGCTACCCAAAATTTCTGAGCACCCACGAGACGGAACTAAACCCGATTCGAAAGCGAAAAGAAAGACGAGGAAGACGAATCGAGCAGAGCAAGACAGACAACTCACTCCACCCTCCGAGTCGTGACGAATCCGGACCAGCTCGTTCCTCTTGTACGACCCAGCGACCAGGCCGGCATTAGCCTCCATCCTCGCTCAGACCCACCAATCAAAGATGGAGCGGGAGAGATCTGGCCGACGAGAGAGAGAGAGGAACTGGAACTCTTCTTCGCCTCCTCAGCACGCCATGCCTCTCTGTAGCGCACACACTGCTCTGCTCTCTCTCGGCTTCTTCTCGATCTCCTCTGGCTTTTCGGTCCAGCTATATCCGTCGATGGTTTGTCGTTTTTATCGTTCGGGCCGTCGTTTTCCATAATTGAGCTCCATTTCTTTTTTTTTATTCCCGGACGTTGAGGTGAGGAGCCCCCTCCACCGGATGAGCGAGTAGCCGGCGGCTCGGCTCGCTTTCTCGCTCGGCCTGCGGCTCGGCTCGTGAGGGCGCGGAGCGAGTCGAGTCGGATGGATCCGTCTGCCCGTGGGGAATTTGGGATTTTCCTAAATAAGTAATATTTAAATATTTTTTCCTTTTTTTTATCGGAAAATATTTTCTTCTTTGGTGCGGTTATAATCACTCTTGTATAAATTGCCTTGGCCTCCTTTTAACAGAAGATCAAGTGCCTAACCCTATCCATTAAGATCACAGTTTTAGAAAATTTGTATTTACCGCATTTTTCTAATCCTAATTTCTTCTTCCCCTGTAGTTAGTAAACATAGCCTCGGGAACTATCTACTATTTGACACGGTTTAGTTCGTAGCATTATGTTAATAAATAGACGAATTGTCATTGTCCAATGTTGTTCTGGTTTAATTACTATAAAAGATACATATGCTTAAGTTACTTTTGAACGTGAACGGTGATTTCTTCTATTCGTGTGTAAAGATCCTAAAACACAACATGCATTTATTGGATATATATATAACGTCGAGTTTGAGTTATTGAAATAAGATGTATATATTTTTCACATCTATAAACTTGAAAGTTAAGAGTAACCGTTACGGGGAGATGGGGGATTCGATCCCCACATCCAGAAATGAAGGTATCTATGGGTTTATTTCTAATTTCTGTGTATAGAAACTCGTTATTGTAAGAAAAGAAAATTTCAAAGAGTTGTATCGACTTCTTTTGTTTGGATTAGAGAAATAAAAAGCCTTTACATACAATTAAACTCAAATGCCATGCATTCCCTCTAAAGAGATTATGAATATCCATTAGTGGTTGTCCGATAAAAATATAATTATGATTTCATCAAGTCGGGTCGAGTTAATCTTCATCATTGAAAAGTTTATATCACCGAAAAATCATCTACGCCTCTAAATTAGCTAGTTGTCTAGATGAAGGTAAACTAATGAACGTTGGAATTTTTTATTTTATTTTATTTTTTGTCAGGTAAACGTTGGAATTGAATCGTTCATCCTTTGCCTATCGAAATTCGAATTATTATTGATTAAAAAAAGAAATTCGAATTATTATTACTTCTGAATTTGTCCATTTTTCTTATTTTCCGGCTCACTTCGACCAGTGAGCCGAAATCCGAAGTCGTTCAGACATCGCTGTCTCAACCTTAACAAACCCGATGCGACCGAACTACGTTGACTCGCCGTGAGCTCGTCCACGTGTCGCCTTCCCATTGATTCATAACGAAGTCATCTTTCTTGCCCCCTCTGATCTCCATTCCAAGCAGCGAATCAGAGAACGACACATCCCGACCTCGGCGGTTCGCAAGTGCGCATCAGCGACAAAACGAGGGCGATTTTTTTTATAATTTCGGAATTGCCCCCGCTTTCATCATTCGCTGTTCACAGCCTGTCCCCCAGGAGTCACCGGCTGTTGTCGGTAGCTTCCGCTCGCTTGTGTGGCCGCTGTCGGTGGACTCCATTTTAGTGCGTGCGCTAATTATATTCGCATTTCGTGGAAGTCACCGACAAAAAAAATCTACTTTAGTTTATCTGGAAATGTGGTAAGGAAACGGGAGCCTCGGTAAAAAAATATGGAAATGCGTATATTTTTCTACGTTTATATATTTAATTTAAAACAAAAAAATCGAATGAAATATTTGGGGAAAAACCCGTATTTCTTAGGCTCAATTTGTTCCATGGAAAATGATATATTCATGGAAAATGTTTTTCAGGAAAATGATAATATTTTTCTGTGTTTTTCAGGAAAATAATAATATTTTTCGGTGTTTGGTTGAATATGAAAAAAAACTGGGAAAATATTTTCCGTCATTTAAAAAGAAAATTTTGATTTGATTTTCGTAAATACACATACTTCATTCGTGCGTTGGTAACCAAGTACGAGCACCAAAATCTCGAGTCCAGCCTTGATGGATCCTAACCTGGGTGTCGAGAACCCGAACACAGGCACTTAGGTAGCTAGTAAGAGCACAAGCATCGGTTCTGGCCCACAAAGGCGATGCCCAGATCCTAGTACTCGAGCTCTGGTCCACAAAAGTTGAGCGCAGGACCTCGGTGCTCGGGCTTAGGCTTGGGTCCACTAGGCTAGCACCTGCCAAGTCCTTGGTGCTCGAGCCTGGATCCACAAATGCCAAGCCTAGGTCCATCAAGGCTAGGCCTTAGTGCTTGTGCTATGATCCCTGATGCTCGGGCTCGAAACTCCAATGCCTATGCCCAAGTCCCTAACGACCAAGCCCGGACCTCAATGGACCCAGGCTGTGGTATCTCGAGTCATGGCCTCAAATAGACCCAAGCTTGAGGGTGAAGGATCCATGCACAAGCACAGAAGTATTGGGCCCGACCTCAATGGATTCGAGTCCGAGCGTCAAGAATCTAGGCATGGCATCGATGTCTTGGGCCTCAACCTCGATGGGCCTGGGCTCAGGCGCAGGGATCTTGGCACGAGCACCAAATTCCTAGGCTTGGCCTTGATGGACCCAAGCCCTTCCGTCGGAGACTTGGGTCTAACCTCAATGGACCAGGCACGAGCATCGGATTCCCAGCCATTAGCCTTGATGGACCCAAGCACGGGCACCAGAGTCTAGGCCTTAGCCTCAATGGACCCAGTTCGGGTGGTGTAATCGTAGACATCGATACTAGGGTCCCGCGCTTGTCCTTTATGGACCCAGGACTAGGTGTCAGGGCATTGGGCACAGACATCGAGGCCTCGGCCCAGCCTCGATAGATCCGAGCATTGGCACAAGAGTCCCGAGCCCAAGCGCAAGGTACCCAATCCTAGACACTTAAGAACCAGGAATAAGCATTAGGATTTTCTTTGTTCAAGCGTCGATATATAGTCATATTTTGAAAAATAATTTCTAAATTTTTAAAGAGGAAATCATACATGTTTTCAGTTGTCTTTAGCTTATATGTTCAATTCTCAAATTGCTTGATGTGAAATGCAACAATAATCAAGACTCTGTGTGTATTACTTGAAATAATTAGCCAGTAAAAATATTTCATCATCGACAATAATTTCATGGATAATAAGAAAAAAATTTCATTCCTTTATTATTGTAAGCAATAAAAATCATATTTTAAGAGAAAAATTTCCAAATTAATCATTTTTCCAAAAACACATACACCCTAATTGGGACATCCGTATTTCTTTTAATCAAATTTCAGTTCTAACTCAACTTTAAGCGGTTTTAGCTCAATTAGTTCTTTCTCATTATCTTGTTTTGCTTTCAACCAAAAATTATTTATCTTGTTTTGCTGAAGTCATTGTCTAGATGTAACACTGAACTATAATCACACGTCCGGGAAGATAACTTTGGGTTCAGAGTGTTTGCAGAACCGTCATGTTGTCGATCCGGTGAACGATGAGTATTGGATCTATGAATCCGTAGCAAACACTCTTTTGTACGACCACAATCCCACATCACAATTTAGGACCCAGCTATTTTCACACCGACCAAGCTTTCGAGCAAAGGCCCATCATGCCTTACCACTGGAAAGTGAAAACAAGCACATCAACAAGCCTTCCTCTCTCCTCTTCTGTGAATCCTCAAACGACACGAAGCATCGCAGACCGGACTGACTTTTGCCAAACTTCTAACCCCCTAAATGATTGGAAGGTCTAATCTAAAAATGGGCAAAAAACAAGGAACCAAAGAGAGCACAGATCTTCAACCTCTTCCTCTGTATTAAACCCAGATATGATGGCTATATAGCTTCCGATTGGGTGTAAATTTTTCCTCATAAGGGCCCGTCCGCATTGGAGCCGCTGCTTCCTCCTCTCCTCCCCGCCGTGGTGTTCTTCAGTATCTGCAACATTCATAATTTAGATGTCACGAGACTTGCGATGAAACCATTTAAGCTTCTGGGTATGCATGACATATCATGTATCGTGTTAACTGGTTCCATGTACAAAAGTAACCTTGATTTTGCACACAAACATGCCACTTCCCGATTTGAGATTCTACTAACCAAAAGAAAATTGCGATTCTGGTACTAAAATTGAAGGACGATATCGAAAGGAGGACAGAGAAATGACCCTTCAGGAGGATTAAATGCAACACATAAGGCTCTGAGCATTGACATACGTGTACTCTGTTATGAGGCACTGAGATTTCACACGAAATGGCCTGTCCTAGCTATAAGTACCAGTTGACATTAACTTGCATATGCCAATGTTTAACCTATCAAGGCAAGCCAAAACAAGCGTCAAAACAAAATATGAGCACCCAGGAATGGGGTCCCGACCTAAGCCCATCAAAGAGCATCCCATACCCCACCAGTGACCAAATGGCAGCCTATTCAATCTATACCAGAAAATGATAGGTACCATCTCTAATTATCTAGGTGGGGCGACGCCCCCCAAAATCAATGATGCTTCATTATTGCGTGATGTACACGCTTTTGTCCGGTTACCCATTCACCAGACCATATCAACCGATGAGAACTCGAACTCTCTCTAAAGATTGGATTGCCGGAAATCGCCGAAGTCGGTAAAAAGAACTTCCTGTGTGAAGAAAAAGAACAGAAAAAACGAGACAAAGACTAATAGATAATGTCATGGATGTAATTTGACTTCTCTGCTCCTCCTATCACTCCATCAACCACCACCCATTTCTGTTGAGTAAATCACCAAACACTCTATATTAATCTATTGCCTTGATTCTTCATACTCCATGACTCAGTTCCACACGCGTGCCCGCAGACTAGTAGACAATGACTGTTCATTCTTATTGCGAATGAATTCAACTTTAGCATAAAAAACATAAATTTAATGGCTTTTAAGCAAGGTAATCAACTAAGTACATCTACAAGATTGTGATTCATCACTACTAACATTATACCCACGACCCACCTCTCCTTTACACGACCAGATTCAGGAATCAAACAAGACCCTCCAGCATTATAATAATATGGACTAAAAGTAAATTTTATACTGACGGTAGCTCTTAAAAAAATCACTTCTTTATCCCTCTTCCAATGCACGTTGCACATGACTAGAGAGCACTCGAATAGATTAAGGAAGCATGACGATGATGGTGATCACATTCCGAATAGAAAACGACGTCAATTGAATCGAATCGAGATCTACCCGCGACGGCGATGTCCGCGCGGGATTCGACATTCCGAACTTACATGTCTGAGCATCTGATTCTCGTTCTGCAACGTGGACAGCTTCTCCTCCAGCTCCGAGTTCTTCTTCTCCAGCTCCTTCACTCTCACCTCCAAGTCGTTCAGGTACGCCTTCTTCCTCTCTCTCGCCTGCTGCGCCGATACTCTGTTCCTCAGCAACCTGGGGGGAGGGGGGGACGATAGCGTTCGACATTTTGACCCCGTTAATCGCCCATTATCACCAAAATGCCACGAGAGGGGCGGACGCCGGAATTTACCTCTTTAGCCTCTTGTTCTCCTTGTCAGCGGGGCTCCTCCCCCTCTTCCTTTGACTTTGACCCGCGGGCTGGGCCCGGTCCGGACCGGCCGCCGAACCGGATTCCCGGCCGGCCGCGGACGTCCCCGCCGGCTCCCCTCCCATCTCCGGCACTCTCCTGATCTCCTCGTCGCTCTCCATGCCTAATCAGCACCGAAAAGGAACAGAAAAAAACAATCCGATTAGACGAAATCCCACATCGAACCTCACCGCGATCCCAAACGTCCGCATAAATCACATCGCGCAAACCAAACCGCGAAATGCTCAACAGGCGGAGAACACCGCATTACACGACGCGAGGCTCGAGGGGGGGAAAAGGGGGGGAAAGGCGGAAGAAGTTGTCCGTAAGATCGAAGAGCTCCCGTCTCTCGAATGTGTGGTTAGTGCGGTGATTCGCAGTGTTCAGCGCGAGTTCGGAAGAAATTCTTGCGGTCGCGGGAGGCAAAAACTGAAGTTTAGACCTTCTTTGACTTCGATTTGGAGGGCCGAGCTCGAAGATCTCTCGCTGCTCGAAGGGAGCGAGCTCGCGGCGATGGAGCTCGTCGTCTGCTCCTGCATGTCTTCTTCTTCTTCCTCTTCTTCTTCTTCTGCCCACTGCGAACTTGCAGAGAGAGAAAAGGAGAGAGAGAGAGAAATATTATATATTTCTTTTTGCTTTTTTGGGTGATTATTCAAATGGATGACGAGGGGAGGATATTAATGTTACAACGAAGTAAACCGGAGTATTAAATCATAGGACCCGCGAGGGCCGTTCGATCGGGGTCTCGATCGAGCGGCTCCGGGGGTGGCGTCGTGGACGGATGCTGGCCATGAGGGCGTGGTTAAATCAAAGGACGGAGCGGAGGGATCGTGGGCGAACTTGGGCCGTTAGATGGGAGGCAGATCGGACGGACAGGACTGGAAGTGGGTGGGGAGATATTGGATCCGGACATGGATTGAAGAGGCTGTCTCTCGATTCCCGGAAATTGAGGTTCCTGAATTCACATGCCTTGAAGATAGATTTGTACGAAAGCTTGATTTGTGTTGGCGAAAATATAAATGATTTCATAACATATTTATTAAAATAATTATTTGTATTACTTCAAATAATTGATTAGCAAAAAATATTTTCATTATCGATAATAATTTATGTCTAAATATCTTCGTGGACGATAAAAATATTTATAGTTAATTCATTTGTATAAGCGATATAAATGAGTGGAGAATTCATTCATTTTTCGCGAAATAAACGGCCTTATTATGCAATAGGGTGGGAGATGTAAGTGAGCATGGTCGAGTCACGATAGTTTGATGCTCGGGCTCGACTTGGCTAGCTTATAAACTTATAAAAGACCTTGGCGCTCTATCAACCTCAATTTGTAAGTCTCGAGTTTGATTCTACAATGAACCGTTCGAAGTCGGACTCGGCTTAATTTGATTACCAAAGGAGGGATTTCAATCCGATTCCAAATTAAACTTAGGATGAAACTCAAATTCTAAAAATACATTATAAAAATTCGAATAACGTCACTTGTTCTTCTTATATACAAAGCAACGATTTAATGCAGCTAAAAGATTATAATGTTCGCTATCTAAATTAATCACGTCAAGCTATACACGCGTGTGAGTTATTTTTGGGTGAATCGATCGTATTTGACTAGTGGAAGCTGGTTCGAACTTGAAAAGAACTTCCTAAACTATGAATAGTTTACGAGACAAGGGCTACTCACAGGTAACTTGACTTATTATTTTGTTTTTGAAAAATATCCTTCTATTTTTGTCTTCTTCTTTTGTATTTTATAGGGATGATGATACAAATGGTTCCTGAACTTTGGCCCAATTTCTAATTTGATCAGTGAACTTTTAATTTGTTCAATGTAATCTCCGAACTTTAGTCTAATGTTCAATGTGGACCATAAACTTTTAATTTGTTTAATGTAGTCCCTGAACTTTAGCCTAATATTTATATAGTTCAGGGACTAAATTGAATATGCACTAAACGTTCAAGGATGGAATGACTAGATTGAATATTTTCATATAGTTCAGAGACTAAATTGATTATGCACAAAAAATTCAGGGATTATATTGAATATTAGTCTAAAGTTTAGGAATTATATTGAACAAATTAAAAGTTTAAAAATCAAATTATACATTAAGTCAAAGTTCAAGAACTGTTTGTGTTATTTTTTCTACTTTATAATGCTAAAAAATATCATAACAATAGGATCCAAATAATGTCGCTATACTAAAAAAGGCGGCTAGGACGGGAAAGAGTTTCATGAAATGGGAAAACATTCTGAAGGCCAACTTGCATTGGCTTGAGAAGTTGGACTAGCAATTAATATTGGCCTCATTATTTCGTGGGGGCATCGGCGCCCCTCCCTCTCAACTTTACAATTTCAAATAATTTTTTTTTCTCGACTGACAGTATATGCTCTAATTTTTCGCAATAATTCGTGTTTTACTCTATCTGATTTTGAAAGACGAGCCCCATACAAACGACAATTTTGACAAGTCAATTGACGGATGGTATCCGTGAGTGGTAAAATTCTCGTGTAGGTCGATAAATTACTAAGTTTATGAGTAAACAGAAAAAAAGTTATTTGAATTATCAACTCACCAGAAAAAAAAAATTACTATCCACAAATAAACCGTGTGTTGGATTTGTCTATTTTTGTCTTGTATGCGACAGAACAAGGTAAATTCTCCAAAATTATAGATTTGAAGAATTACATAAAAATAAAAAGGTAATTTCCATGTAAGATGGGGCCCACATCTTCCGATATTTAACTTCGGCGAGTTCGCGTATTTCAAATTTTTGTTTAGGACTAGTTGCGTAAATCTTAAACATTTCTTCGGATTGATTTATTTCGTGAAAAATAAATAATATAAAAAATGTTTTTTTAAAAATAATCGTTTGAAATAAATAATCAAGGAAAATATTTTTATTATCTACGATAATTTATGTCTAAATATTTTAGTGAATAATGAAGATATTTTTTATTTATTAATTTTTATAAGAGATACAATAGATTATTTTTAGGATAATATTTTCAAAATAATTCATTTTCTGCGAAATAAACGCACTCTAAATAGCTTATCTCTTGTCGATAATCATAGAAATTTTTTTCAAATAAGAACTTGAAATGAAATCATTTTCTTAAAAGATAGCTCGAGGTGAACCATGTATCTAATAAAGGTCCCAAAGTGATCAAGTTAATGTCAAATAAGGGCATGAACTTGCCGACCTGCCAAATCTTTGTCAACTCTAGCTATTACAACCGGGGCAATTTTACCAATTTTGCAATTAGGTAAAACCCTAAAAACCAAAAATGGCTGATCTACCTCCCTTTTTTCCCCTTTTGTTGGCGGGTCGAAAAGTGCAGTTTTCATTTACTTATATAGTTAACAAATGATATGTTATAATCAATATGCTTTAGTAGGGGTGATCATGGGTGGGCGGTTTCCACCCTGAAATTGAGAATCGCCCAGTAAGGACCGGTTCCGAAAAATTGAAATCGAAAATTGTCCATTGGCTCCATGGATCTACTGAGAATCGGATTGCTGGCCCGGTCCCTAAGGAACTGGTCCCCAATCTCTATCAATACTATGACGAATCTAGTTTCTATGTGGATACTTCTTTACAAGAAAAAAGATGTGTGTGTATATATATACTGGTTTATAGATAAAATTGGTGTAAACCGGTTTGTTTGGTCTTTGATTGATCAAGAAAAAACAACCATATGGCTCCATAATGCCTTTCAATTGGTATACACATATCAAATCAATCGCGAATCTCACACAGGCCTAAACAACGTATGACCGCAAAATGATTTCTTTTGTCCTTCAAACGACGTCTAGACGGACTAAGAAATGAACTCTATTCGCTCGATAGACACATGAACGATGAGTTAATAGTTCAAATGATGAGTACTTTTGTATTTCAATTAACATTTGATGCTCTTATGGTTTTATCAGTCCATAAATCTTGAACGATGTATTCAATTGATACAAGTTATTGCTGAATCTTCTAAGAAATTATAGTTGAGGGTGGATTTTAAAATATATATATTTTAAAAAAATTGATATATGTATACATACTCGTCTAGTCCGAGTGGGCAGTTCTACAACTGGAACCGGAAATCGGAATAGTACTCACCGGTTCTCATAGGAATTGCTGATTCTGAGCCGCTCCGATTCGATTCTAGGCAGTTCCCGATTTCTTTGCATAGTCCTATGCTTTAGCAAAAAAATATCGAAGAAAATTCACCTGTTAGGGGATGGTCCACAGGAGTTATGGGATTACCAGCCGATTCGTTATTTCCCAAGCTTTTTTTTGAGTCCCTTTCGATCTGAATGGTCCCTTTCTCCTGTATATAGTCCTAGGTATAAATGAAATAAATAAAAAAATGACAACTGCATTCATATAAGTCCAAGCGATGGGCATCTGTATCTCCCCCCATGCTTCTTCTCTAGGTCACGTCCCATCATACCCAGGTACGAAATTTGGGTCCAGATAATTTAAGTTTTTTTTATATCTCCGGAGCTTAATCAATTCGATTCGAATATACGACGGGTTAGGCAATCGGCTCGGACTTGCCTAGAGACCATTTTTTTTTATGGACTTGGGCTCGGCACGACTTGATTAAGGTCATACTTTGGTCAATGGCTCAAAGGTAGATTCGGCACGAGCACGATGTCGAGCTGAAAGGTTTAGCAACTCGTTCTCGGGACTTGATCCCATGCTCGAGTTTCGTGCAAACTCGAAGAAGAAGCGAAGTGTTCGCGGTAGGTCCGCATCGCACGAGCAGGCCTTTCTCTCGTTGATGCCCGTGGCTATGTCGGATCATTCAGTTCTTCTGTGCATGGACATCGGTTGGAATACCAGGCTCATATGCTGTGCAGCCGCGGACAAGAGGGAAAATGTTCTTTCCTTTTGTTCACAGAATGCATGAACTTACAGTGATGCCAGACAGCAAGTCTGTGCCAAATAATCCCCAAGTAGTTTGTATTCTCCTATACAAGATTTTTGCTAAATTCTGCAACTACAACGACGACGAAGATTGCTCGCGCTGTTGTTAGACGAGCGTGCTTATTCATGAAAAGAGGAGGCGTTGTTTGAATGAAAACAAATGAGGGGAGGACCGTGCGCCATGACCTTGACATTCACTCTTTATCTTGACGTTTCATGGATCAGTTGTCTTTCCCATCTTCAGCTTCTTGACAAGGTACTGTTTGCTGAAGACGCCCGAGAGACTGCGGGTGTAGGCTTTCCGAGAAGGGTTCGTACCCAAAGACGACAGACTCCGCGGGCATGTCGCCGGAGGCGCGGCGTTGTTCAGTTTGCCGTTGAAGTCCATACCCATAAAAATGGCTCTGGCGCTTTGGCACGGCCTGAGCTCTTTGAGGTCACTCTTGTCATTCTTGGCGCCTTCGTAAAGCTGATTAGACAAGAGGCTGTCGTCCCAGACCAGCCCCGACGAGCCCTGCCTCCTGAACGACTTCCCCGACCTCTGCAAAGTGGCCATGACCCGAGCTTCTGCGTTCGTGCTTGTTCCAAATGACGAGCGAGTTTTCGTTGACTTCGGTTTCTATGTTGCACAGCGTATGCAAGCAGATATAAATAGACGAGAGAGAGAGAGAGCTCGGAGAAGTTGGAAGGAAGAAAGCTTGGAAAGAGGTCAAGAGATGGCATTTGTGTGGGTCAACTCATATTGGACTTATGTTGCTTGCCCTTGACAAAATTATAGTTTGGTCCGCATGTATCTCATTTTCTGTCCTGATTGTCTGAACATCAACACAGAAAACATGTTATAGTATTAGAGAGAAAGAAAACTGACAATATGCAATGAAGTACGTCCATTTCTTACTTCTTAAAAAACAAAATGTTTACAACGGATGCACTTTTAAAGAGCTAATACATGATGGTTAAGAAAGAAAGTGCATCCACTAACTCCTAAAAACAGCAACGTGCAGAAACCATCTACTAACTTGGTAAAACACAAACCCATCTTCAGCACCACTATAAAATAGACTCCTAAAAACTAGGGCAACAAACAACTAACTATAATATGATAGATAAACATGGTCAAATAAGATCACGTGACTCAACAATCCATCCCTTAAACTGAAAGTTTGCCAACATTCAGTTTAATACAACTTGTCAACACCAAGCAGGTTTCTCAGCTTTTGAAATGCAGCCAACTTGAGGGATTTAGTAAAAATGTCAGCAACTTGATCTTCACTTCTATAGTAGATGAGATCAATGACCCCTTCCTTCGTGAGATCCCTTAAGAAGTGAAACTTCACATCTATAAGTTTGCTTCTTCCATGTAAAACAGGATTTTTGGAGAGCTTTATTGCTGAACTATTGTCACAATAAATTGCAATAGGTCCTTGACTCTTGAAATGAAATTCTTCAAGAATTTTCCTCAACCAAATAGCTTGACAAGCACATGAAGTTGCAGCAACAAATTCAGCTTCAGTGGTTGATAAAGTGACAATCGGCTGCTTCTTTGATGACCATGAAATAGCTCCCGAACCCAACATAAATACATATATGGAAGTGCTCTTTTCTATCATCTTGATCTCTAGCATAATCACTATCAAGTGAAGCCCATCAAGCTTGAGTTTTCTTCCTTCTTGTAGAGCAGTCCAAAACCAGTCGTACCTTGCAAGTATCGAAAAATTCTCTTGGCAGCAAAGAGATGCATCTCAGTAGGATTCTCCATGTATCTGCTTATAAGACTCATAGAATGCATTATATCTGGCCTTGTTGCGGTCAAATACATTAAGCTTCCCACAATTTGCTTGTATATAGTGCTGTCAACTTTCTTTCCTTCAGAATCTTTCACTAACTTCAAACCCGCCTCAGTTGGTGTGCTAGAAGGATTACAATTCTTCATTTGGAACCTGTCTAAAATGTCTTGCACATATTTTCTTTGTGAAATGAAAATTCCACCAGCGAATTGAACAACTTCTATCCCAAGAAAATAGTGCATCTTTCCAAGATCAGACATATCAAATTCAAGCATCATAGACTGCTTAAATTTTTCAAACATGACTATCATTTCCAATATAAATCAAATCATCCACATATAAGCAAACAATAAGCAACTTCCCTTCATCTCCAGTTTTGACAAAAAGTGTATGCTCATATGGACACTTTTGAAGACCTTCCTTCAGAAAATAGGCCTCTATAAGACTATACCAAGCCCTTGAAGCTTGTTTTAGTCCATATAAAGCCTTGTTTAGTTTATACACCTTGTGCTCACTTCCAAACTTTACATAACCAGGAGGTTGATCAATAAATACCTGCTCTTCCAAGTTGCCATGTAAAAATGCCGATTTCACGTCCAACTGGAAGATAGGCCATGAGTTTTGTGCCGCCAGTGCGATCACCAACCTAATTGTGTCATGTCGAGCAATTGGATCGAACACTTCTTTGTAGTCAATGCCGAACTCTTGCTTGTAGCCTTTTGCGACTAAGCGAGCTTTGTACTTATCAACTTCACCATTCTCCTTCAGCTTCGTCTTGTACACCCACTTCTTGCCAATGGTCTTTTGCCCTTTTGGAAGCTCTATCAACTCCCAAGTATTATTTCTTTCAATGGCTGCAATTTCAGCATCCATCGCCTTCCGCCATTTTGGTTCTTTAACTGCATCTTTGAAAGCTACTGGATCGCAATTTGAGAATAAAGCAAAATGAGTAAGGGGACCTTCGGTTTGGTCAATCCCGATTACCTCATAATCAGTCATCCATGCAGGCCTTCTTCTAACATGTCGAGGTTGTTGTTCATCTACTGTTTCAGAGGCTGAAATGCATTCATTGATTGCTGGTTGTTGCTCATTTTCTACAGATTGTGCATTCTCCAAAGGTTGCTGCATTTTTTTTTCATTTTCTCCATCAAAATCAGCTTGTATTTGTTGTTCAACATTGTTTTCATCCCAAATCCAGAACCGCTCTTCATCAAAAATCACGTCACGACTGATGACAATTTTCTTGGTGATAGGATTGTACAATTTGTATGCTTTTGACTGCTCACTAACACCAAGAAAAATGCATTTTTCACTTTTGTCATCAAGCTTGCTCCTCTTCTGATCTGGAATGTGGGCAAATGCTATGCAACTGAAGACTCTGAAATGCTCGACACTTGGTCTGCGTCCACTCCAAGCTTCTTCAGGCATCAGGTTTTGAACAACAAGTGTGGGGCTTCTGTTCAATACATGAATGCTCCAATTGACAGATTCAGGCCAAAAACTTCTTGGGACACCACTTCTAGCCAAAATGGTTCGTACCATGTTCACGATTGTGCGATTCTTCCTCTCTGCAATGCCATTGTGCTGCGGCGTATAAGCTGTTGTAAGCTGTTTTTGAATTCCACGAGTCTCACAAAAATTTACGAATTCTTGTGAGTTATATTCTCCACCACGATTGCTGCGAAGAGTCTTTATAGGTGTGCCTGCTTCTTTTTCGACTAGTACTTTGAAGTTTTTGAAAGCTAAAAAAGCTTCAAACTTCTCCCGCAGAAAATAAACCTAGATTTTTCGACTATAATCATCAGTGCACGTTATAAAATAACGTTTACCACCGTTTGATGTCGGATTAATGGGTCCGCATAAGTCTGAATGAATCAGTTCCAACACCTTCTTTGCTCTACATGTTTTTCCTTTCAGAAACGGGTCTCGATGTTGTTTGCCAACAACACACTCTTCACAAACTTGAGAAGGACTTTGAATTTGCGGAAGACCCGTCAACATATTCTTTTGCTGCAGCGTTTTTAGACCATCAAAATTCAAATGTCCATAGCGAAAATGCCACAACCAGGCTTAGTCCTTCAATCTCGCAGAGAAGCACCATTGGGTGGTGTTATTGAGAAATAGTGGAAACATCCGGTTTGTTGTCATGTTGACTTGAGCAATTAAGTGCAACTTTTCATCTTGAATGCGACAAACTCCATCTTTGATAGAGATCTCATATCCCTTCTCTTGTAACTGACCAATGCTAAGCAAGTTGGTTTTCAAATCTGGAACAAAGTAAACGTTAGAAATAATCTGAGTAGAGTTCTCCTTGGTGTGGATCTTAACGTTGCCTTTGCCCAAGACAGAAACTGAAGATTTGTCACCAAACGTCACAGTGTTACGGAACGATTCATCCAAGTCTGAAAATACAGACTTATCTCCACACATGTGATTGCTATAGCCGGTATCTAAATACCACAAATTGTGATTAACCTCTTCTTTTGCATGACAGGCCATCAACATCGACACTTCTTCTACTTTCTCTGCAAAATTTGATTTTACACCACGATTTTTGTTGAGATTGGTTCTACATTCAGACTTTGCCATACCTGTGACATCTATAACATTCAAAAATTGACTTGTCTACAAACTTCGATTTGTTACCAGTTGAATAGTTGTTGTCACGGCATTTCGCTTTTCATTTGGAATCAGTAGCATGATCTTCATTTGATTTATGGTGTGAATCTTTGTCGTTCCATCTCCCTTTCCCACGATCAGGACCTCTTGGATTGGCTACTGCCTTTAATGCTTGTTCCTCTTTATCTTGCTGGACAGTTTTTTGCTCATGAACCAGCAAAGAACTTTGCAACTCATCAATTGAAAGTTCATCAATATCTTTAGATTCTTCTATAGAACAAACAACGAAATTAAATTTCGGTGTCATTGATCGAAGAATCTTCTTGATGATGGTGATGTCATCCATCTTCTCGCCATGGATCCGCATCTTGTTAGCAATCATCATTGTTCTTGATAAGTAATCAGTAACGGATTTGCCGGTCTTCATGCGTAGGTTCTCAAATTCCGTCCAAAGCCCTTGAAGTTGCACGCGCTTTGAGATCCTTTAGTTTCAATGCATCTAAGTCAGCTTTTTGTGTATCAGTCAATACCACTCCAGCCGCTAGTTCTGCTACTCCAGAATCAACGACATGCCAGTACTCTTTGGACTGCATGAAATTCTCTATCAACATGCTCCAATGATCATAGTGACCATCAAAGCGAGGGATAGTTGGCTGAACGAAATTATCAGTGGCCATTGAAAAATTGCTGCTGCCTTCTCACAACCAGGCTCTGATACCACTGTTACAGTATTAGAGAGAAAGAAAACTGACAATATGCAATGAAGTACGTCTATTTCTTACTTCTTAAAAAACAGAATGCTTACAACGGATGCTCTTTTAAAGAGCTAATACATGACGGTTAAGAAAGAAAGTGCATCCACTAACTCCTAAAAACAGCAACGTGCAGAAACCATCTACTGACTTGGTAAAACACAAACCCATCTTTAGCACCACTATAAAACAGACTCCTAAAAACTAGGACAACAAACAACTAACTATAATAGGATAGATAAACAAGGTCAAATAAGATCACGTGACTCAACAAAACATCCATGTCAAAATGCTGAACTTTTATAGTTTTGTTAGGCAGCAAGCATCATACATGAACCACGTTTCTTCCCTGAACCATCTCTTATCGATACTCGGCCCGTCCAGGAAAGCAGGACAAGTCGGAGATCTCCACTCATTCCGGAGAGAGTGATCAACAGAGCTGAAGATCTTAGTGCCAACAAAAGGTTGCTTGTTCGAATCTTTCAGTGTTCCCAGCGCCAATAAGCAATGAATTGCATCAAAATGGCCAAGATATCAACTTCGGCGATCCTGCTCACGCCATGAAAGTCTGCCAAGAACTTTGTCATAGATGGAATGATAACGCCGACAATTGTCACTAAAAGCGATTTTCCTATCAAGATCAGCGCGATTTTTCCCATCAAGATCAATATCCATGATCTCCGCTGTCATGGATGAAACGCTATCATCCGTTCATAGATCAAGCAGCACTCTGAACCCCCGGCGTCAAATGTTGGCTCTAGCTTTGATTTAGGTGAGATAAGTTAGTTCAGTAAGACAACATATTGCAGACAGAGAAACATCATGAAGCATGAGTGTACTGCATCAAATGTCATTATATCATTATGATATCACCAACAGCGCTGCACGTAAGGCTGAATGTTCACCAATTCACAGAACGAAAAACAATTGATACAGCTTTACATATCCATTTTCAAGAAAAGGTTTCGGGCACCGGTCTTTGGTAAGGAACTCGCTGTTTGGGAACTCCATCTTCAGTACGTCTGTCTTCAAACCATTTCACGATTCTCTTCCGGGGTAGGTTGGTCACTTGCACAATGCTGCTGATCATTGCATTCTGCATCCATTTTTTTTTCCTTTGTTAAGTATTGCATCAAAAAGTTTCTATATTGGAATCAAAATCCTGAAATAATTAAAGTTGCCACAAAATATCGATTAACTTCAAAGGAGAAGGACATCTGTTGACCTTAAAAAGAATCGAACATCAAAACTGATAACCAAGATTCGAAGCTTCATGAACAAATAAGACCCCTCATATGGAGTGATTGCTAAAAGTTAGCGGATTGTCGGCTGCTTTTAATTTTCTCATGAGGGAATAAGGCAAAAAAGGAGCGATTCTGCATCTCTCGCGTAAATATATACTGAACTGAAGCAGCAAAATTACTCTCAACAGCATCAGGATTCCTAAGCAAAACTAAGGAGAATTTTCCTTCATGAAATCCTACTGTACCTTTCAAGACAATTGCGACTCTTAACATAAGAAATTGGATTTAATGGCTCTTGATACAGCGAAAGGGAATTATGTGAAAACAGAATTGAAGAAGAATTGGAATGGAAAAGGAATTCAATGGAATTGAAAGAGGAATGACATAGAATAAGCAATGCAATATTTATATTCGATTTTGACAGAAAAACAATGCAATAATCCAAAAGGCTTAATGTCAAATATGTCCTTAAAAAGAAGCAAGGGAGAGACAAAAAAAGAAGCGGTACACTTGCACACAAAAAATCTGTTGTTTGAAAAACAGAGAAAAGGAACGGGCATTCCTCTCCTTAGGGAATGAATAGCTATTATTACTCCACAAAGTGGACCAAACATAAGAATAAAAATGAGAACCCCACTCCAAACCTGTTTCTAACACCAACGTCAAAAATCTTTTGTTGTTACTGTGTAGTGCATTGATCGACATAAATACACCTAACAAGTTGGCCTAGTGGTGGTCTACCCTTTCTGACATCCAATAGATCTTGGGTTCAAAATCCTACTATTCCCCAATTCATCTCGCCCATACGAAAAGGCAAGAAAGAAAGTAATACGGAAAAGGTGGAAGACATGATAAGATACTTAATGGTGAGTCGCCACTAAACAAAATCTACAAATTGTTAAGGTGTAACTTTCTCTTACAGTTGGGCGCTTTGTTCTTCTGTAAACTCTTTCCAGAGTTTGAACATGCACTTTCTTCACTCTCTTCTGTGCTGACCACCTTTGTTGCATCACATGAAGAGGCGCCTTCTCGGTGGGTTTGGGTTCACGGTCCGCAGCATCTGCTGTTGTCTCATGAGGAGCAACATCGATTGCTGCGGTTTCAGCTTCAAGGACCGTTCGCACTTGTGCAGGTTCATCAGGCAATGTAGCACTCATCAATAAAAGATTTGGAGGGGGATCTCGCAGCAGTTCAAGAACAATAGATCGATCAAGACACAGCTCAGCAGCAAGACATTTAATCTGCAAGAGGAAAACAACATGAAGGATGAAATCTATCATGACCGATCATGTAAAAGGAAGGTCAAAGTCCAAGTCAGAACACAATTTCCTACAACCTTTTCTATCCTCTTCTTACATTTGCGATTGATAACATAATGCCACCTCTGTATTCATATATCTGAGTGAATTCACAGTCCAGTATTTCACAAACTATGAAATAGGCCGACATAAATAGTTAATCAATTATGTGAAGACCATGAGTTACAGAAAATGCTTACACTAGTTTTCCGGCGACCAGCTTTCAGAGCAACAGCCAATCTTCTAAGTTGCCATCTTTTTAGTTCAACCGGGCTCTCAACATCATCGTCATCATCACCACCATCTTCTGCTTCAGCATGATCATCAACTTCTGAGTTTTCCGCGTTGCCAGCAAACATCTCCAGGTAATCACCACCTAGGGCCTCCTCCAACTCATGCTCGAGCCTAGCAAGGTCTTCTTCACTTATATCGTCGTCGTTGTCATCCAATGTTAGTCCATCATTTTTTAGATCTTCTTCAAACTGATTGAATAGCGCTTCAAACGCATCCTCATCCAACTCTTCCTCATCATTATTTTTACGCAAAATCTGCTGCAAAGAATAAAAAAGATGATAAATTTCAATATTCAACCTCACATTTCCTACACCGATAATTTACAGAGATATCAATCATTTCCCTGCCCACATCATTTCTTGTTCGTAAAAAATGAATCCAAAAAATCCACATCCAAGCTGGAAGAAAGAAATCCACTTTCCACGTGCAAACAATTCACTAAGCCAAGATTGTCATAGATTCTCCATTTCAAACAAAATCGTCATATCTGGTTCTTATCGCAGCACATTACAGCACTCCTCGGCTATAAAGAACTTTACTCAAAATGCAATTTGAAGACAACAGCCCAAACCAAACACTGCCGCAACCACCACCAAACCTAATCAAGCAAAAGAGCAAGCTCTTCGAAGCTCGCTATCGGGGTTCAATCACAACGGAGAAGAAACTTGAACGAAGCAACACAACCCAGCACAGCAGACAGCACAACACAACACAGCACGAAATACATCGAACAGCTTCAGAGAAACACCGAGCTCAAATCCGACGCCTTTGACAATTCAGCTCGTCTGCAGACATTTGTCTTAATATACCAAGAACGAAGACATAGAGTTCACCTTGTTCCTGCCCTTCTTCTTCTTCTTCGCGACCGGAGCGTCGTCCTTGCTACGGCGGCCCAAAGAGAGCGCGGAGGAGGAGCGAGACGGACGGGTCCTGGGAAGAGAGAACTTCAGGTTCGCGGGTTCATGATCAATGCAGAGAAAGAGGCACTTCTTGGGTACCCAAGAATGGAGCTGAGCAGAGAACGAAGCGTTAATGGATGGAGCGAAAGCCATGGCGGTGCTTGGTATCTCTATCTCCAAGGGGTTTTCCCCCACTGTGCAGGGGTTTGACGGAGAGAGAAACAGAGCGAGAAAAACAGAGGAAGAACGAAGCCATTGTTGAAGAAATAGGAGCGATGGACTTGAAAGTCTTGGGGGCCCAAAATCTTGTTTTCAGACCACGGCCCATGAATCCTCATTCCAACCTTGTTAACAACCATTGTTAGGAGTTTTCATTATTTTTTCAGGGATAATTTACACCAACGGTCCCTAAACTTTGCCCGAATGTATAATATCGCCTCTGAATTTTTAATTTATTTAGTGTGGTCTGTGAACTTTAGCCCGATGTGCAATGTCGTCGCTGAACTTTTGATTTGTTCGATGCGGTTCTTGAACATTCGGTACGTGTTCAATTTGATTCCTAAACTATATGAAAATATCCAATGTTATCGTTTTATCAACTCAAATTCAATGACGACATTGAACGTTTTCATATATTCCATAGACTAAATTAAACATGTGCCAAAAGTTCAGGGACCGCATTGAACAAATCAAAAGTTCATGGACCATATTGCACATTGAGCTAAAGTTTAAGAATTATATTGAACAAATTAAAAGTTCAGGAACGACGTTGCATAGTGGACCAAAATTCTGAGATAATTTATGTCAGTTTCCCTATTTTTTACTTACATTAACTAATTACATAATGATTTTGGCAAAAAAAAATTAACTAATATATTATAAAAAAGGGCCAGAGAAAGTTGCTACCGTCGATCGTCTTTTGTTAGGGGCAACAGCTAACCTTGGTCGGGTCGAGTTAATGGAGTTCTCACACCCACACTGAGCCTCCATGAGAGTTCTCTTTTCGTTATTTTTACTTAGGGTTAATATCACGAAAAACTCTAAACTGGTACAGTTGTAACAATTTTATCCCAAATTATTTTTTTATCACAAAAAACCCCAAACTGGTACACTTTTGACAAATTTACCCTGAACTATTTTTTTGACCACCAAAAACCCTGAACTAGTATACTTGTGACAATTTTATCCCAACTAATTTTTTAATATTATTTTTATTTTTTTCGAATTTTTTTTATTTTCTTAATATTCTTCATCTTCAATCCAGAGGCGGAAGCCGGCAAGGTCGGCCACGCCGGCGAGGCTCGACCTCGCCGGCTGGTGGCGAGGGCTTGCCGGCGGGGCCGAGCCCTCACCAGATCTGGCGAGGGCTTGGCCCCGCCGGCCGCTAGTGAGGCTAACCTCGCCGTTGTAGGGGGAGGCCGACCTCGCTAGCGGCCGGTAAGCTCGAGTCTCGCCAGATCTGGCAAGGGCTCGGCCCCGCCAGCCGCTGGCGAGGCTCAACCTCGCTGGTGCTAGGCGAGGGCACGCTGGCGGGGCCGAGCCCTCGCCAGATCTGGCGAGGGTCGACCTCTCCCAATGCCGGCGAGGTCGAGCCTCGCTAGATCTAGCGAGGGCTCGACCCCACCGGTCGCGGGCGAGGCCGACCTCGCCTGCGCTAGGCGAGGCCGACCTCGCCGGCGCTTAGGGCGAGGCCGACCTCGCCAATGGGACCGGCCAGCCGAGCCCTCGCCGTGATCCGGCGAGGTCGGCCTCGTTCAGCGCCAGCGAGGTCGAGCCTCGCCAGATCTAGCGAGGGCTCGGCCCCGCCGGCGAGCTCTCGTCACCGGCCGGCGAGGTCGAGCCTCGCCAGCTGCCGGCGGGGCCGACCATGCCGGCTTCCGCCTGACCGGCGACCGGCCAAAGGTTGAAGATGAAGAATATTAAGGAAAAAAAAAAGAAAAGAAAAAAATTAATAAAAAAATTCGAAAAAAAAAAAAAATTAGTTGGGGTAAAATTGTCACAAGTATACCAGTTCAGGGTTTTTGGTGGTCAAAAAAATAATTCGGGGTAAATTTGTCAAAAGTGTATCAGTTTGAAGTTTTTCGTGGTAAAAAAAATAGTTTGGGGTAAAATTATCACAACTGTACCAGTTTAGAATTTTTCATGGTATTAACCCTTTTACTGATCTTAAACGAACACACAATGATACTGGCTAAAAAAACAATTAATTAATGTATTATGAAAACAGCAGGAGGAAATCGGAAGCGTTGATCGTCCTTTCTCGGCCTTTTTCTCGTAAAGAAAAGTTATTACTAATGGAACTCTGGCTGATGAGGACTTGAAGGGCACTTTCTCTCTGCAAGAATTGCTAATGTTATCTTGGACACAACCGGTTCAGCAAATGTTTGTAATGAAATCCTCCGTACTATCGAAAAATACACATGTCATTTCACGAGCAAATAATCAAATTTAAGAATATTACGTAGAAAAAATGAGGAGGTCTCGCTCATATGTCGCCAACCCAGTCGGTCCGATAATAGATAACCTTATTTTCTTGGGGTCCTTAATCGATTGGAAATTTCCGAATACTTTTTTTCCTTCCCTTTGACGGGATCATGTCAAATTGGTTGATACCTAAATTCAGAAATTTGAGTTACTATAAAGCCGTTGGTAGTCATGTTTAACCTAATAAAGCAGCATCTCATTATCTTAACAAAAAAAATACAAGGATGTCCCACCCACTAAACAACATGTATGTTCTGTGGTTGCACCGTCCAATCATTTGAGCTCTCATGCGTCAATGACATTTTCTTTTCGATATCTTATGACATCAACCACCATCTCTCTCTCTCTCTCTCTCTCTCTCTCTCTCTCTCTCTCTCTCTCTCTCTCTCTCTCTCTCAATGAGCATAAAAGACAAAAAGAAAAATCACAACATTTTTATCATGTCAATATACGATTATCGTAGAAAATCGAAAAATTATTATCACTTTCCACGAAGTGAAAATAAATTGATACTGATCATTCTCTTCAGCTCGGGTCTGGCCTCTGCTCTAGACTCAGGCTCGGTTCGAATGCCTTCCTCATAAATTATCCATTTGCTCGTGAATTCTTTATTAGGGACGAAAAGAGAAAATACCTAAAAATTATGTCCTTACTCGGTAACTCGACTTTTCCTTGCACTCGAAGTTATACATAGAAAATTGGAGAAATTTTAATTTTCTGAAAAAACTAATTATCTTTAAAAAATGACGGAATATCAAATAATATCCGTAATTACACGATAGGATGCGTAGATATACTTGGACGTCTTCCTCTTCGCTCAAAAAGCCCAATCCTCTTCTCTCCTTCGTCGTCTGAAAATCTCGCTCTGAACGCGAACGACGCACAGATCGCGAGGTCCGTTCGTCATCAATGGCGTCGAGGGGATGGATGAGCAGAGTCCCACCGATAGCTTCCCGCATATACTTCCTCCTCATCATCCTCCAGATCCCTCTCTTCAGGTAATTCGATCTGTCTCCCCCCACACCTTCGCCGCGATCGGATCACTTGCTCTCTCTTCTCCGTCCGTGTTCCGCGGCGATTCGCCGGCCGGCGGATCGCCGCGGCGGCGGCGGCCGAGCTCGAATGCTGTCGCTGACGAATGAAATTTGAGTATGGGTGTGATTTGGCATGCATGTTTCTGTTTTTACATAGAATTGTTCGACCGGAAGCAGCGCGTTGTTGATTGCTAAGTGGAGAGATCGGAGATGATGGAATCCTCTCTCTATTTGTTTGGTTGGTGATTGGTTGGGAGGGAAAAAGAAGGGACTTTGAAGGAGTGATTCGCGGTGTTGCTTCGTTTTTATCAGTCTTGTGTGCATGGAGAAGCCTGTTCTTGCGCGCTGTAGTCGACGGGCGGTCCTCGCCAGTGTTTCTGTTTGCTCTTCAAGTACCCAAGAGTTGATGGGCTATTTTCTGAGCTAAGGAAAGAGAATCATGGAGGTTCTGTCGAGCATAGAGTAGATCTAGGATGTCACTGGTTTGGAGTTGGGACGTGTTTTCAGCGTGGGGGGAGGGGGAAGAAAGGAAATAACTTTGTCCGTTTGCGATTCTACCGCGTCGTGACGGAGCGGGAGATCTTAGTATTACGCTAAATATTAACCTGGGATAACGGAAAAACTGAAATCGGTCGAGCATGCTTCATCTGATATTTTGACAAATTGAGTATATCTACGTAATGAAACCTCGTTTCTTGATTACTCCCCGGGAGCTGGTAGTCTTTCCATTGGAAACTAGTGGTTACTACTACTTGGCAAGTGCTCCTGTAGACTGGTATTCTGGCAAATAACACCTTGTTTATACTTTCCCGTGCAAAGTAGTTAGTCTGTTAATACTGCACCGGCTTGTTCTATTCTCCGCCACGCCTACTTGGCTCTTATGATAGTTTAGATTTCGAAGTATGATAACTGCTCAATGAAGTTCAGACATTCTACTAAGAGACAGTTATAGTTTGAGATCTAATATACAGTTGGAAACTCTAGCTGGTATCTTTTTTTTCTCTTCAAATTCACGTACAAAGTTTGTAGTTTTACTAACACGGAAGAAAGTGGAGGATCGTTTTTGAAGCATTTTTCTAAGTCAATTGATCTTGTTCGGGACTACCGTGCAGGGTCACATGTAGGTCTGGTATGTGTTCGACCCCGATACACGTCACATCATCTCAGCTTATTGCCAGTGAGATAATCCCTGTTCCTGTGGTGAAGGCCCTTCTCTACCCCGGAGCTGTTGTCAATGGCCTTGTAAAGGACATGACAGTTCCAAGCTGGAATGATTTGCTAGATATCTATAATCTAACTACTGTGAAAGAAGCCTCGGCAGTAGTTGATCTACAGCGCTTGGAGGTTCTTTTTCGTTTGATCTTTCTGTCTCATCTTCCTGTTGCACATGCTCCTTTTTTCAGTTAAACACCGACATAAATTGTGCATTTGTCACACTGCAGTGCATGTGCATGATCACGAAGTAAAAGATTTACGCTCTTTAGATAACAGCTTGTTGTTTCAGCTTCTTTTTTAATCTGACACATTTAAGGGAAAACTCCAGCATCTATTACAGGCAAACAGTTATTGCGTAGGTACTTTTTCCCTGGCATGCTCTTTTGCTTGATGTGAATACTACAGTTGTCTCCTCGTAAGTGTCCCAATTCTACCCGCGATAGAATGCTGGAAGTGTCACGTTTTTTTTAAGAGTGTCTGAGATGTCATACAACCAAACTTCTTGCATGCTCCTTGTTAATTTGGAGTTAGTGACATTTTGTTTCATTACCCGTTGATTCTTCCAGGTTCTTGCCGGAAGCTACTTCTCTGTGGCAGGAGCAATCGTCGGTCTGCTAAAACCAGGGAGGATGAGCATGTTTGGGACACTGCTGATAATTTGGGGTCTTGTCAAGGAGGGAATCTTGGGAAAGCCCGTGAATGTGGATCCTGCAAAGGCAGTCTATGTTTATCCGACGATGTTGATTGCATTGATCTGTGCCTTATCATCCATTAAATATGATGTGAAGAAGGCCATGAGACCTGCCCCTGCTCGAACTATTGCAAAGCCACTGCAGAGCTCATCAAAATCTAAGCTGAAATGAGATGAATCATAGGCAACACTTCTATTGAGAAAGTCACTTGTTTTGTTAGGATTCTTGTTGTCAAAATTTTGGAGAGTCTTACATTAACATATGGATCTTCAGTCAACTTTTGAAATCAATTGGAATGCGAGTTTTATATGGCTTGTTGGGTATGTGTGGTTGTTATGACAGAGCAGTATCTCTTCAATATTATTTCTGATTCATTCGCACAAGTGAGTAGGTTTATGCTGAACTCACAAGTTAGCAGACTAAAGAAAACAACAATAATTGCTTACTAAGATTCAGAGAACAAAGAGTAAAGACAAAACTGTCTTTACCTGAGGGAAGTAGACTCCTAACTGTAATCCCCGTCTGTCAAATACATCTTCAGAAACTCATGTTTTACTGCTTTTACCCAATTAAGTTCATTTTCTTTGAAGGTCATTAATAATTTTCATGCCGTTCCTGCTTTGTCCTCAACCGCAACGATCACTTGTTTTTCTTTTCCTACTTGGCTATTGTAAGCTTCTAGGCAAAGTTGGTAGTGATGAGCATGTTAAGGCTCCTTTCCTTTCCTACCTGCTTAATTTCTGTTTCAGGCAAGTTATGCATAAACTGGTGGCCACATGCACATTATTTGTAGTCCCTAAATGATCCCTACGTGTCCTGTAGAGGTTTATTAGTGCTGCAAAGCTGCGGAACTTCTGCGATTCGCAATCACTAATTCTGCGCTGCTGAAGAACTTCTACGAATTCTATGTACCAAGCTACTGTTGCAGAAAAAAAAGGACGGTTAGCAAAGTACTCTTAGCGAACTTAATTGTCTATCCCTGATAGGCCCTCTTGAAAGTAGCGTTATGTGCATTATAATCCCATTCGAATTTGGCAATGGACCTGCTGTAACCATTCTAATCTGGATGCTGGGTTTCCTTCAGGCATCGGTTTACTTCAATTCTAAAAATCTGCCAATAGCAGCATTATTAACTCAATGTCACTTCTTAAAGCCTTGCAAAAAAAGCGGTTTCAAGTTTAGTAGGTGAACCATCGAGAAGAGCCCGCTTACCTGTTACAATTCCCAGTTTCGTCTACATTTCACGAAAAAAAAGAAAGAAGGAATACAGATGCCGAAAAAGGGACAAAGTGGGGGCACAAGAGAGTGGCAAGCTTGTTGACATGCTCTTTCTGAAGGCATGCTGCATGTTGCTGTTTTTCTTGTAAAATCTTCTGCTTAGCAGAGCTTCAGACCCATGTGACAAGGTTCTATTTCTTCCCTGGTCTATCAATGTGTTGATTCTGAACTGTGGAATTCTATGTCATGAACTCCCGATGATTTGGATTAAGTAACAACCAAATTAGATTCTCATATCTAGTGTGCTAAGGAGCCCAAATGATGCCAAAGATAAGCACTTACATCACAAGTCTGAGAACCACCGATTGTTTGAGGTCATAAAACAGTGATTGAAAAGCAATTTCAGACTAAAGAACATATAGACCATCGAATATACTCAGCTAGTTTTCTGATATTCTCCATTAGAAAATCATCTTAATAGTAGGAACACAAACAGAAACAGCATCTTAAATGCAGCAAGGACTTCTTTTGTAATTTGCTGCTGTACCCTAGCAGCTAATCGCTGGAAATAGATTAAAGAAGAGCAACTTAATTTTGTTGTTATGGAAATGTTACAGAATCGAAGATGAGGACACATTACGATTGTTCATCACCAAAAGTACCTTGGGGATGCACTCATCTTTGAACTACTATAGTTATTGATAAATGCATCTGTCTTAAACCCAAAAAAAAAGGTTGTTGATACATGTAGTTGCGGGGTGTTAGTACGGCTTCGTAACTTTGCTTTATCTAAGCAAGTGGTATCCACATTATAATGTAATTTATTAATCTGAAGGAGATTAATCACAAAAAAGTAAATGGCTTTAGCAGTGTGTTTTCTATGAACTTAAGTGGTGCATTACCCCATGAGAAATAATGCAGCATGCCAACTGTAGTTGAAATGTGTGAGACATCAAAGGCTCCTTTTTATAAAGGGATAAAAGTAAAGAACTTTAGAGAGTGTGCGTTATGCTAAATTTATGAATAAATACGAAAGGGGAGAACTTTAAAAAGTGAATAAAGTCAATTTATCAAGCTTTGAATTGGATAAAAGCTATCTTGTTTTTGCTACCGTTTGACCATCACAGTATTGATTAACATTTTCAACTCTTGTACTTGATACACTGCAGTTGTCTGATAAGATGGATGTTGGGTCCAGATTCTATGATTTACGAGGACGACGGTGCTCTTTCTTGCGCATGAGTTTTATTAGATATCCTGTCTTTTTTAGATTAGAATGCGTCCGGAACACGGAAATTATGATTGCATCTTCTTAAAGACCGCTTTAGGACGTTCTCGTATCTTACTAAACCAAGAGAGAAATGGTTTAAAAGAGAATGCTATGATACCTAATGTGAATAATTATCATGGATGTTGCATTTCATTTATTATTGATCTAGCTATATGTTAGCGCACATATCCGGATTTCTTTGTCCGAGAAGATTGCATTAATCCATTATATTGTAGTCGATACCATGTGATCAATGAAATGCAGGGAAGATAAGTTCATTGGTACGATGCTGTTGTATTTTCCTCATTTAAACACTACTGAGTCTCTTTTCTCTCTCTCTCTGTCTACTAAAAAGAGAGAGGCACTTGATGGCTTGAAAGGAAGGAAGGAAGGAAGGAAGAATGAGCACTACTTGAATGATAGCTGCTTCAACTTGGACATATAAATTCTAATTTTTCTTTTTTATGAGTCATATAAAAATCCTAAATTTTGTTTGGCTGATACATCAGTGGGGAGGTACTTCACTAACACCAGCAAAGCAAGTGAAGTAACATAAAGGAAATGCTTAAAGCAGGACAAAGAATCTTGCAAAAAGCTAAATAATGGAGTGTAGTAGCAGGGGCACTGATTGAAGGTGGTGTTGGGCTTCTTTTTTGACCAGTAATAAATCTTGCGGTTAAATACCCATCAGGTCAATGAGGGGACCTTTAAAAGCTGTTCCCTTAAAAGCTCTGGAATCCTATGTGAATTTATTCTTTAAAAGCAGATCCATCTTCTTGTTTTAGCGCCCTCTTTACATTAATCAATGTTAAAACCTAGGTTAAGCAAATCTATGACGTGTCGGCATATTACTATGTGCCTTGACAAGAATTATGAGAAATCACGGTAGAGATATTCTGTAGTTTTATCCTACTTTTTACAGTAAGTAATTTATTTCTGATAGAAAACATAGGATGATGCAAGATGAATGTGGGAAGTTATTCTATCTACTATTCGATTCTTTTTCCTGCTATAGATGTACAACAGAAATAGGGTGAACTGGGAAGCAATTCCGATAGTTGAATCTGCAGTGAGATCTATTTTGTTAATACTTTAACTTTCTCATGATTTAACTGTTGCATCGTTTGTCTGGGAGTTTTCAACTGGGTGAAAAATTAGAGCAGGTCTTGAGCTGAATTCCCTTCTGAAATTAAATCCCGTGAAGGCATGCATACTATGGTAGATATATACCATGCATTACTCTTTGTTGAGTAATACGCCATATATATACATTGTTGGTTCGTTTTCTAATTACTGAAGTTTTTTGGAAAAATGGTTCGTCTAATATGGTGTTAAAGTACAGATCATGCGTTAGAATCCTGACTTGTATGTATTCTATCTTCACACCTATTATTCTGCCCATTTTTACGTCTATGGTTGTCTGTTTGATGTGGTAACATCCACACTTTGTGTTTCACGCATCTCTCCTTACTCGCGAGGAGAGTGTTGAGTAATATGCTACATATATACATAGGTTGTTGACTCGTTAGTTTCCTAACGATTTAAGTTTTTTTGGAAATAATGGTTTATATAACACTCATCTCATGTTTGACTATGATTTATCAATTAGTCCAGATGTGACCAAGAGCACATTGCATCAGATTGCCAAACTTAGCCAGTAAACTATACGCCAGGAATCACTGACCTAAGATCAGCTGAGAGACAAAATAAATAGAGTATTCGAATAAAACTTAGTGTTATTAATCATTACTAGATTACGCTGTGTAGTTCCTCTTTATGCCATTTTGAAATTGCATATGATCTTTATCTTCTTTGACTAATGCCCCAGCTTTTGCAGATATGAAGAGAACAGGGTCCACTCATCTCAGTTTCTTTCCCCAAAGGCATGTATAATATAATAATTTTTTATGCAGTTGCCAAAAGATCCATGGCCTAATGAATTTGCAGTTCTAAGTCAAGTTTATTTTTGACCACTTCAAACGAAAGAATATCCTCAAGCAAAGGATCAGAGGGGTTGTAACTAAAAGAAGAGGAAACAAAGAATCGCTCAATCTTGCATGCACTCGGTGCCCGTGAATCACTTCATTTAAGTTATTAAATCATGTGAGGTTCGCACCATTTAATGGTGGAGATGGAGTGGGCTCATATGGTCCAATTCCATACAAGAATTTTTTCGAGAGATCGGCAATGTTTTCCAAGTACCATTACTTTCCTAATTAGGGCAAAAATGTAAATACCGTTAAAAGAAAATTCAAGAGGGGAGATAAAAGAAATTCTCAGACAGTACTGCAATAACCACAGAAAACCCTCTCAAACAGGTGATATAGGAACTGCTAACCCGCAAGCTACAATGCTATGCAAAAACAAACTAGACCATAAAAACACCATAGAACCGGACAAAAAACAAGAAAAAAGAAGAAGTAGAATTAGAAGAAGAAGACTCTCTTTATGTTCTTTTGATCTGTCATTTAGGCCCACCAAATAACTCCAATGGAAAATGTTTTCTTGGCAGAAAGAGAGACAGAAGACAGTGGCTGCATTTTCTTGCTCGTTTCTTTCCAGGCTCTTCCTGAAGAACAAAGAAACACAAGACATGTGACCGTGACTCGCCGAACCGGCTCAATATCACTCTCAAAACACACTCTCTGCAGTTTACTGTCTGAGAGATAGTAGTTACATACCAGATAATGGAACATTTCAAGAAGAATAATCAGACCGGCCACCTGATGAATATTCTCTTGGTGCATTGCACCTGAAGCAGTTTGATCTGCTAGCAAAGTTGTGCTCATTGCATCCTGACCTGAGCATTTCACAGTGCACAAATTGAAAAGAAATTAATTATAACGTTCCCGGTAGTACACGTGCTTGTGTTTACATCTGTAATTACGTCTGCAGTTGCTCGGGTCTATGCTGATGCTCGACACTTCTGCAGTTTTTTTTTCTTTTGACAGTATTCACGCCGTGCATAAGAATGATCTTGTCGAGTCTGTATGAGAGCCAAAAAGGAAAGGAAAGAAGAAAGAGAATGGGAGCAACCCGTGCATAAAGTTCGAGTCAAGGCTCCAACAGCTAGCTAGCATAATCAAACATAGTGAACTTTGAGTAAGTGAGATTGTTAGTGTGATATTTCATGCACACGAGCATACGATAATTCATGAATCAAATGATAAATTCATGAACGACCATTTTGTATGTTTCACATGAAGATATCAAACCCTACCTGGTGCAAATCCAGTCACCAGCTCTCCACCCCCAGCGACTGCTGCCACCTCCGCTGCCACCTCCGCTGCCACCACTGCTGCCACCACTGGCTGCAAAACCTCGCGACCGAGGCATTTCACTCTCATAACGACGGCCGCCACCATCTGACTCATCCCTCGGCGCACCGCACCTGAAGCAGGTCGAGCGGTTGGCGAAGTTGTGAGTCCCGCAGTTGTCGACGCTGCAGTACCAGTCGCCGGGTCGGACGTCCGGGCCCGTGAACCCGAATGGCGAGCCGCTCCTCCCGCCAAAGCCCCCATAAGAATCACCGCCTCTCTCGCCCATCCTCGGCTCTCCACACCTTTGGCACGACTCTCTCCTCTGGAAGTTCAGGTGTTGGCACGACCTGCAGGTCCAATCTCCTGGTCTGCTCATCTTTAATCACACCTGAACACCAAAGCTCAATGATGGTTTTTGCATGAAAGAACATTGCTTCTACTGCTTGACATAATTAAAGTTGGAGGTAATGACTCATGACGACACACATGACATTGTAGTTTCAAAACTCACCTTGGGAAAGAAAGGAGTCAAGTGAAGACAGATTTGTACTGAGCACAACTTATCATTGGTGATGGATATGAGAGTTTGGGGTGGGTTTATATGCTTGTTGGGGTCACCTCAAGAACACCCCCCTAAGCTCACTGTGTGTGTGTGTGCGAGAGAGAGAGAGAGAGAGAGAGAGAGAGAGAGAGAGAGAGAGAAAGAGAGAGAGAGATTTCTTTTTCAATATCCTCAACTTTGCCTCCTTGAACCACAAGGAATCTCAGTGACCATAATTTGGAAAAAAAAAATAAAGAATGAAGGAAAAAAAATGATAATAATCAGAAAATGTTATTCCAAGGATTCAAAAAGGAAAAAAAAAAACGAAAAAGGAGTTCAAAGGAGAGCTCAGTCTACAGCTTCTTTGGGCCCTTTTGAGGCGGCTAATAGATGCATCATCTCTCATGCAAGAGCAATGCTAGAATTTTGAAGGGAAAATGACATGAATGATCTCTGAATTTTGATCAAATATGATCTCTGAGCTTTTAATTTGTTTAATGTGATCCCTGAACTTTTAATTTATTCAAGTCCCCGAACTTGTGAATTGTTCAATGTGAATCCTAGACTTTTCGTACATGTTCAATTTAATCCATGAATTATATGAAAATGTTCAATATTATTCCTAAACTTGATTTAATGGAAGGACAATGTTAATCATTTTCATATAGTTCAGAGACCAAACTGAACATGTACTAAAAGTTCAGGGATCACATTGAACAATTTAAAAGTTTAGAGACCACGTTATACATTGGGTAAAAGTTTAGGGACTACATTGAACAAATTAAAAATTCAGGGAACTATATTGCACACAAGGACTATTTATGTCATTTTAAATAACGTTTATAGTCATTGGTATATATGCAAAAGCTTGTGTCCATGTCCAATGGCATATGGACATGTCATATGGGCATGCCCACATTAGCTTTTGTTATATACTGATCTTTGGTGAGCAACTTTCATCCCTAATGTCCAGTTATAGTCTATGATACTTTCGTCGTGATAGATCGAGCTAGTCATGTACGACAAATCACGTAGGACCTACATCGAGCTCCAATGGAAATCTGTTTCTCTTGTAGCTAGCTCCGCTTGCCGCGCGGAACGTTTAGTAATTCACGACAAAAAAGAATGTCGCTCACTTCGAAAAATCTTCAAGAAGGTACCCAATTCCTGAACAAGCTCGATCTGGTCTCAAGCCATGCGGAACGTTTGGTAATTCATGACAGAAAAGAACGTCGCTTACTTCGAAAAATCTTTGAGAAGGTGCCCAGTTCCTCCCGAAGCTTTTCCTTTATCTGCATAGAACAAATTAAGTATTGACAGGAGCAGCAGCAACCTTAATAAGTACGTAAGATGCTAGGGTTTCCTCATCCCCTAACGGTCATCCTACGTTGGAAAAGCGAACAAAAATCCCCTAATCCCCCCCCTTTATCCCCCCGTAATTTTTCCCTTCGAATATTCTGTCCCTGTACTTGAAGCTTAAATTTTGGAAGACACGAGTCAAAAGTTGTCTATGTTCCGTAGCAAACTAATTCCTCCTTTCCCTTTATTGCTGTTCTTTTTCAATTTTTAATCACGCCTGTTTTTTTGACCAAGCAAGTTTTGAACAATTGCAGCTGCTGCTAAAGACCATCGAAATTAATGTACACCATGGTGAACGTGTGTGTGTGTGTGTGCAAGGGACATACATCCATCGAAGGAAGCACATGTAACTAGGAACCCATTTCAATGAGACATACAGGAGCTAAAGCACGGGGTTTCGTGCTAACCACACAATGATCGGGGTCGAGTTTCCGAGCATATTCGTGTGGAAATATCGCAATGCCGTGTGTATGTTTGAGTCCGTTTATGGACTGTCGGGTAAATTCGTCAATTCAAGTCAGGTTCACACGTAACAATGCGCTATCATCGTAGCGTAACGAAGTGATTTCTACACCGACGATGAACATAATGTCCAGTAGATTTTGCTCTGAAAGAAAGGAGCAATGTGTGCCTCGGTTGATGACCACGTTCAAACCCGAAAAAGGGAGCAAATTCGCATGAAATGGTGTCTGGAAACTACGGAAAGGGAATGGTAGATTTCGATAAAGACAGTTTGAAGCTGATGATGGAAGACAAGTCTTGGTGAGATTCAAGAATATTTGACCCTCCTTTATGAACACAAACAGACAAAATAATTTTTAAACAAAAAAATAAAAAAAAGAAAGAAAAAAAAAAGAAAAAATGAAAGAAAGAAAGAAAGACCCGTCTTCTCTCCTTTATCTTCTTCGATGCACTGACTCCTCCTCCTCCATTGTCATTTTCTTTCTTCTTGCTTTCCTCGGTTTAAAATTTTCTCTTGGTTAAAAGAAAAGTTGTAAATTTTGATTAAAGATTAGAATGTACACCTGACAATTAGAGTCTCATTTACTATCTACTATTACTTACCGTGTGCGTTTAGATATTACATGCATTATCGATTTGAACTAATTTTAACTTTTATCATTTTCAAATCATGTGTCTTTCGTGATTTGACTTTTATGTGACGCGAAACACCCGAACCTTTCTATATATACAAACATTGACATGTAGGATTATATATATATATATATATATTTATATGTATTATCTCAAAGCTTAATAGATTTCTTCTTAAAACAATTTTGGAGGAAGAATAATATTTGATAAGAAGGAGAAGTTGTGAGAAGTTGCCCAAAAGGATTTGCTTGGCAATTAGTAAAAGAGGGACATTGTGTTGAGGGAGAACTTTTCATTTCAATCGTAAAGTTATTGTGCAAATGTTAATTCAATCCCAAACTCTCTAAGTTTGCCAACATAGTTCTAACTCTTTATACGATATTCCAATGTAGTCCTTTTGCCCAATTGCTATCGTAAATCACTAACATAGCAGTCCATGTAAGACATCATTTTGAATAAAGTTGTCCGCATTAACATACCATGTAGGACAACCGGCGATAACTAGCTATCATGTCATCAATTTTCGATGGCAATTGGCCAAAAAGACTACATTGGAATTTCAGGGTAAGGTTTAATGCTACATTGACAAAATTGAAAAATTCGTTACTAAATTGAGATCCATATAATAGGTTTAAGACTAATTTGATAATTATCCCTAGTGTTGAGCATACATTATCACATTTATTATCTCGTAGAAAATTATCAAAGAAGTCACAAACCTATTATACAGACGCCAATTCAATCTTAAACTTTTCAATTTGGCGAATTTAGTTAATGTAATCCTTCTAATCAATTTTGGCCGGAAAAACGCCGACGTGGATATCGGCCGTCCTACGTGGCATGGCCAACATTAATGTGGATACTTTTTGTATTTTTTAATTAAAAAGAAAAAAATGGAAAAAAAAGAAATAAAGGTCATAATTTTTTTTTAAAAATTGTAACTATTCATGTGCTAACCGTGCCACGCAGGATGGTTGATGTCCACGTAAGTGATTTTTGACTAAAATTGATTCGAAAGGATTATATTGGCAAATCGTCAAAATATTTAGGACTAAATTGGCCAAATTAAAAAGTTTAGTACCGAATTGGTATATGTACAATAAATTTAAGACTTTTTTGGTAAAACTAATTTCAGGCCACATGAAAAAACCAAAATTTAGGAGGCGGGAATGAGTGAGTCCAGCTCGAGCTGGATCGGGCCGAATTCTCTTGTAAACGTGATCTACAATCATTTTGAAATATCTATTTCCCTTTTCAAATTTAGGATTACTTTATATTATATTTGAATAATTTGATGAGGTTGCTTAGGTTAAATTCTCCACATTGAATTTACCTAAATTGTTGTTTCTTCTTCCCATCTAATTTATGATTTAATTTGTTTATTTTGTATCTTCCCCCCTTTATTTTATTTCTCATCAGCAGTTCTCTTTCTTAATTGGTACATTATCCCGTTCATCATCAATTTCTACTCTCTTGAACTTGCAAGAGATACCGAGATCAACTTAATAAATTGGTTTACTAAGTCCAAATTAATATGGATATGGCCGAAAATTACCTACCTGGTGATCCAATTAGCGTTGGCTGTCCACGTGGCACAGCTGGCGCCTGATAGGCGAAAATGAAAACGGAAAATATTCAAAAAATATAAAAAGAAAATTTCAAAAATCGTTCATGTCAATGCCGGCTGTTCGTGTCATGTAGGATGGCCACGGACAGCTGGCGTTCACGTCAGCGATTTCTGGCAAAAATTAATTAGAAATACTACATTGAAAAATCGTCAAAAAGTTTAGGACTAAATTAGCAAAATTGAAAAGTTCAAGACTGAATTGATCTTTATACAATAAATTTGGGACTTCTTGAATAATTTTCTCCAATACATATGCATATACACTTCTAATATTCCATTACAGATACCTATGTACGTATAAAGCAACCTATACACCTTTTACACATTATAAGGTGGCATGATCTTAGTGGTGTGTCTTTTTGATTTCACGCACATCGAGGTAGAAAAATTCCTTACGTGAGGGTTATTGGGTTGCATGCATGCACGTGAATTTGTGGGGTGGATAAGTTTGAGGTGTATGACAAATGATAAAGCTCACAGCTTTTCTTTTGCTTTTGAGTACTCCAATATCTTTATATTATCCTCGAGAGTCCCCAAAATTACAAGTGGGCATCGAATTCCGGCTAAGCAAGCATGTAGCACTAACTTTTTTCCACCAAATTAAGAAGAAAAGCGTAGCAAGTTCTGTGTTAATTAGCACATCAAACATTGGTAATAGTCCTCGTGCTCGTCGTTCGAAGCCCGTCTGTTTTTGCTCGGTTCGATTGAAACGGGTTGAGCTGGTTCTATGGGCAGAGTAGGCAACGGGCCGAACTGGTTTGATCCCGGGCCGACTTCCATCGCTGCCGTGCCGGCAAAGCGAGAACACTCTTGGAGGGTTTCGCAATGATCTGTTAGACTAGAAAAATCGCCGACAATTAACTTCAATTGAATGTTTATGAAATTATGTACATCCATATGTAACGTGCCATTTTCTTCCTTCTGTGCACAGTAAGACTAAATTCATACATGAAGCAACAGTTACAACTGTGGTTGGCTTTACCAACTCTTGCTTGAAATCTAACATAAATTAGCCTCAATGGCATAAGATGCTACTGGACCATGATGGCTAATCCTTTTTGCCTTTACCTTTTTACCGGGCACATATTTCTGAAACTGTGATCTCACTTGCAGAAAAACGTCTGTGCCTTCTTGAGCTCGATGCCGAATCCGTCTCGCGGGTCAAGAATGCCGGTTCTCTCGGAAGAGGCAGAGGGATTGTCTCGTTGTTGAGCATAGAGACCACATTCGACATCGTGGGTCGATACATTGGCCTTTCTTGCACGCATAATAGGCCCTACTGAGCAAGCCGTTCCACCGAACTTTTTGAGCAAGAAGTGGCTAGTGTCCGGTCCATGAATTCCTTGCGCTTTCCTCCTTACCGTAGATTCCAAGCCTATATTGAACCAAATTGTCAGCTCAGATGATGATAGAATCAATGAAGAACGGTCTGTCATGGAGTACTTTACTTACTTTTCCAAGCAAGTTCAACCAATGATCGCACTCGAAAGAAGGCGATATTCTTCTCACCACTCACTATCTCCGGCAAAATGACCCCAAATGCAAACACGTCCGACATCTCCGATCATCCATTGCATACATTAACCAATATAGAATTTGAGCATTCATAAGGACGATTGAGTAAACGAGTAGGAAAATGCAACTAATGTATGAGGCTAGTGATTAGACACCAGGTCTACTTACCATGTCCCAACAACTCCAATCGTTTTCGCCTGAATTTTATTCTCTCCGAAGATTCTCGCCATGTCAAAATCGGATAGCATGGGGTTCTTGTCTCTGTCCAGCAATATGTTGCTGGTCTTCAAGTCGCGGTGGATGATTCGGAGACTAATGTACTTGTGGAGATACAAGATCCCTTGAGCAGTGCCTTCGATTATGCCAACGCGTTTCCTCCAATCCAAAAGCACTCTTTTTGCGGGATCCACATTTTAGTAGAATCACATAATAGAAGCACAAGAAATTTCAAAATGAGGTTTTCAATTTACCATATCAAGCAAAGAGCAGATCACGGATAGAAAAAGAAAAAACTAACCGAAAATGAACAAAACCAAGCTTTTGTTGGGCATCATGTACTCGTAAATCAGGTTGCTCTCTTCTCCTTCGATGCAGCATCCCAGAAGCCTCACGAGGTTCCGGTGTTACAGCTTAGATATTAGAGTGACCTCGTTCTTGAACTCCTTCAATCCTTGCTTGAGACATCTTCGAAAGCCTCTTCACCGCAATTTCCAGTCCTTCAGGAAGTTGACCCTGGAATCATCATCCACATTTTGTCACCTTCAATTTTTTTTTTCGCCAGTTCATCTAAAATTACTGTTGATATAACTTAGTGTGATTATATGCTTTGCTTGCCTTGTAAACAGGGCCAAATTCTTTATTTCTCAACGCAAAGTAGTCTGTTGCGGCTTCAATGCTGGAAAAAGTGAACAGTGCTAATGCCCGGTCTTTCTACTGGCTTATTTCCGCCGTCTTTGCTCTTGCGAGATCTTCAGCAGGTGCTCCGACCCCAATTCGGAGAAATGTCGTCTCCAAGCTCTCACTCGTTTGCTCTCCATTCCTCACTTTATTTCCTACTACAAAATTGTTCACAGAATCAATCATTCCATGAGACTGAGAGAACATCGACATGGCTCGTTGACATGGCTCGTCAGTGAGTGTGTGAGAAAGCGAGAATTCACCTTTCTTCTTGTGCCTAGTCCATTGCAAGTAAGATAAGAGTACCCAGATAAGAACCGATAAGGAAGCCAGAGTACCAGCGACAATCAACCGCAATTTCTTCCTTTTACCACCTAAATATCCAAAACCAGCAAGCATACACCTATTGAATTGAACAGAAGACACATAGTTAGCTGCAGATATGCGACATAGTATTATCTCATGTAGGACTGATTGGCTCACTAAAAAGAAGTGTTCATTAGGATATCGGCCATTGGGCCAATCGAGCAATCTTGCAAGATATCAGATGCCACACTAGAACGAATCACCAAATAGAGCGAGTAATATTATGCACAAAGACGAGTCTTTATCGTGTTATGATTATAGTATTAGAACTACAAGTAGTTACTAGTTTGAACGTCCATGTTCTGTTTTAAGCCTATTCAAACTGACCGTTCTCAGAAGAAGTGTCACGTCGCACGTAGAATGTCCCTCTTCCTCCGTCTCTGGACCTCAAGAAGTCCTCCTTGTTCCCATAATAAAGTCCGCACACGGCTTGATTATCTTGACGAAACATGAATGCCGTGCTAGAATAATTACCCCGGCACAAGACCTCACACTCACAGTACCCCATGTGCACTGTACTAACGAGAGCTGATTTTGGCATTGTGCCATTGACATGCGAGAAGCCGTCGCCCTCCTTGCACGTAGATGGAAACGAGGTCAAACATTTACAGAATTACCCCCTTGTGAATCTCCGCACAGCTGATGGCTCACTGACAAAAACGAAATATTACCATCGACATCCACCATGTTATGCTCTGCAAATTGGCCCGTCGAAGCCATCACGAATCATGTGGATGCATATGCGCCTTTGCTACTGTGGTAAGAAACAAAACAAGAAATGCCCCACATACTCCACGGCCTATATGCGTAAAACACCCAAGGCACTGATATTCTGAGTCTCTCAATTATACGTGTTTTAGGGAGTTGAACGTCTTATTCTTATGAGTGACGTCACAACCATCTCTTTTTTATAGGTTCTAAGGGTCTTGTGAGAGTCCACAAAATCCATCTCGAGGCTCATTCACTTTAGCAGTCGACTATAATGGGTCGACTAAGCTTTGTGTTTGGCGCCAAGGTAATGTACACATGGATTTCGGGTTCTGAAACAGAGAGAGATTCAGCTTCATTTTTGCAAACGAGGACTTGTATCCTGGATTGATCCATAGTGAGACCGAACCACCTGACTTTCATGCCAGGCAAGTACGTATCCGTCGGATAATCAAAACTTTTCCAGATAACCGCATCGCCTTTTATAAGAACAAAATTCCCAAAATCAAGAAGTGTTGCGGAAGTGTCCATGTTCGTTGTGAGCATTCCTGAATTGCCTATCACCGGGGCTTGTCGCCGGTCTATCAGTACTAAGTTGCCATCCTACCTTATTAAAGAGTACAGGAGGAATCAATTATGGGATTCTTGCGGTTGACCCGAACAGCCCTTTTGTTCGGATCAGCTTTGAACCAAATTCCCAGGCAGTAAATGCTCGATACAGCGTCGTTGAAGAAGCCAAGCTCAAAGACTCAGGCTCCGGGAACAAGATTGTCATTGCTAGTCAAGTCAACAAGTCTCTGGGTCTGATGGTGTCAATCGCCCCAAGGGATGAGCCAAAGAAAGAGCAAAAAGAGGCAACAATAGCTCTCTCTGTTGCTCTTCTTGTTGGCCATTGCAGAGAATTGTTGCAGATACCGAACTCCAGAAGGAGAACTGAAGATCCAAACAGTCTTCCAGGATTGAATAAAATTTTGCTGGAAGTTGCTTGGCGACTTCTTCCCTCGAAATCACTTCAGTTGCTACATACTTTTCCATAATGCTTTTGCGCTTCTACCTCGAATCTCTCCCTTCTTGGTCAAACTAGAATAGGCCTCAGATTTACATTTTCTCCATGTATCACCGATCAGATAAACAAGAATTGTTTGACTTCCGTGAAGATTTCATTGATCTCGCTGGTATACTGGGGATGCAATCAACCGACTATGACACTACGAAATTTGCTTTACTTCATCTGCTTAAAATACTAGTAATTATTTTGAAAAAAAAATACTAGTATTTATGAGCTACTTAACAACATGAGATCATCCTGTTGAAGCGATGAGTAATCTCGTTTTGGAGGTTCTAATGGTTGACCCGATGATCTGAAAATCTTTTCTTTTGCGGCCCTAAAGTAAAGGTCAGTCAACCATTGACATTCAGCTCACAATAAATTGCAAAAGCAGTCCTATTTGACCTCTCGTGCATCGACTCTGCTAATGATTGTGCTCTTGCTTTCCCATTGTCTTGGTAAGCGTTGACTGTCTTGGTTTACAAGCATGTAGTGGCAACAATCATGTAATTAGATTCAGATACACCATACTATCCGCAAAAAAATGAGTAAGTCGAAAATGTCCCTTCCTCTATTGACCATGATGAGATCAAGTCCTCCAACAATATAGCAAACTATGTTTGGCACCATTTGATCTCCAACAATCTTTCTAGTCATTTCTCGAGTTATTGACAGCATCAAATCTGTTGAAATTCTTTTCGTGGCCAAAAACACAAAATGGGTCGAAATTTGTTTTGGCCATTAACATTTAGGTATTTGTAACCATGCCTTTTGCTTCACTCTAAATGTGTTAATAGTAAGTCGTAGTTGCTGTATTCCAAAACGCTTAACCATTTAACCAAAAGGTGGTTTGATAGCAGATAGAAAACAAGAAATGCGTCAATTTATTCCAATTACTGAAAAAATGTATTGTCTAATGAGATATTCAAATTTTTATCCCTATCAAATTATGTACAAATCCATATGTAACCTGCCCTTTTCTTCCTTCTGCAGTAAGACCAATCTCATACATGAGGCAACAGTAACAGCTCCGGCTGGCTTTGCCAACTCTTGCTGGAAACATAATATATTAGCCTCAATGGCATAAGATGCTATTGGGTCCTTGATGGATAATCCTTTGCCTTTACCTTTTACCTGGCACACAGCTCTGAAACTGTGATCTCACTTGCAGAAAAATGTCTGTGCCTTCCTGAGCTCGATGCCGAATCCGTCTTGCGGGTTAAGAATGCCGGTTCCCTTGGAAGATGCAGAGGAATTGTCTCATTGTTGAGCATAGAGACCACATCCGACATCGTAGGTCGATACGTCGGCCTTTCTTGCACGCATAATAGGCCCAACTGAACGAGCCGTTCCACTGAATTTTCGGGGCAAGAAGTGGCTAGTGTCCCGTCCACGAATTCTGTGCACTTCCCTTCTTTCCACAGATTCCAAGCCTATATCGAACCAAATTGTCCAGCTCAGATGATGACGAAATTAGTGAACAACAGTCTATTATGGAGTAGTTTACTTACTTTTCCTGGCAAGTTCAAAGAGTGATCGCACTCGAAGAAGGCAATATTCTTCTCACCGCTCACTATCTCCAGCAAAATGATCCCGAATGCGAACACGTCCGACATCTCCGAGAATAGACCATCCATTGCATATTCAGGGGACATGTATCCACTAACCAATATAGAATTCGAGCATTCATAAGGATGATTGAGTAAACGAGTAGGAAAATCAACTAATGTATTAGGCTAGTGATTATACATCAGGGCTTACCATGTCCCAACAACTCTAATCGTTTTCGCCCGAGTTTCATTCTCTCCAAAGATTCTCGCCATGCCGAAATCGGATATCTTGGGGTTCATGTTGCTGTCCAGCAATATGTTACTGGTCTTCAAATCGCGGTGGATGATTCGGAGCCTAGAGTACTTGTGGAGATACAAGATCCCTTGAGCAATGCCTTCGATTATGCCGACGCGTTTCCTCCAATCCAAAAGCACTCTTTTAGCAGGATCTTCATTTTAGTAGAATCACATAATTGACAGACAACACAAATGTCAAAATGAGGCATTCAATTTACCAAATCAAGCATAGAGCAGATCACATACAGAAAAAGATAAGACGAACCGAAAATGAACGAATCCAAGCTTTTGTTGGGCATGTACTCGTAAATCAGAATGCTCTCTTCTCCTTCGATGCAGCATCCCAAAAGCCTCACGAGGTTCCGGTGTTGCAGCTTAGATATTAGAGTGACCTTGTTCTTGAACTCCTCCAACCCTTGCCGAGACATCTTCGACAGTCTCTTCACCGCAATTTCCAGTCCCTCGGGAAGTTGACCCTGGAATCATCATCCCCATTTTGTTAATGTTGATATTTTTCTCTGGTTCATCTAAAATTATTGTCGACATAATGTAGTGAGATTATATGCTTTGCTTACCTTGTAAACAGGGCCAAAACCGCCTTCGCCAAGTTTATTTCTTGGCGCAAAGTAGTCTGTTGCAACTTCTATGCTGGAAAATGTGAACAGAGCTAATTCTCGGTCTCTCTGCTGGCTTATTTCTGCCTTCTTTGCTCTTGCAAGATCTTTAGCAGGTGCTTCAACCCCGATTCGGAGTAATGTCGTCTCTGAGCTCCGTCTCGTCTCTTCTCCATTCCTCACTTTATCTCCTGCTATAAAATTGTTCACAGAATCAATCATTCCATGAGACTGAGAGAACATCGACACAGCCCATCAATGCGTGTGTGAGAAAGAGAGAGTTCACCTTTCTTCTTGTGCCGAATCCATTGCAGGTAAGACAAGAGTACCAAGGTAAGGACCGATAAGGAAGTCAGAGCACCAGCGACAATCAACCGCGATTTCTTCCATTTTCCACCTAAAAATCCAAAACCAGCACGCATATACTCGATGAATTGAACAGCAGATACATTGTTAGCCGTAGATATGCAACTGAGTATTATATTTGACTACCGATTCTTTTGGTATGTCACCTGTTAAAAACCGACCAATTCATTATCTCATTTTAAAGGACTGGTTGTCTTACTAAAAAGAAATGTTCATTAGGATATTGCTGTTCGGCCTAGTCAAGCAATCTTACAAGATGTCATATGCCACTAGAACCAATCACCGAATAGTAAGTAATACTATGCACAAAGACGACAGTCTTAAACGCGTTATGAATATAGAATTAAAACAACAAATAGTTACTAGTTCAAACATCCATATTCTGTTTCAAGCCTGTTCATACTGACCTTTTTCTGCAGAAGTGTCACCTCGCACGTAGAATGTTCCGCTTCCTCCATCTCTGGACCTCAATAAGTCCTTCTTGTTCCCGTAATAATGTTGGCACACGGTCTGATTATCTTGGCGAAACACGAATGCCTTGCAAGAACAATTACCCTGACACAAGACTTCGCACTCATTGAACCCCATGTGCATTGTACTAACAAGTGCTGAATTTGGGATTGTGCCATTGACCTGCAAGAAGTCATTGCCCTCCTCGCACATGAATGGAATCGAAGTCAAGCAGTTACTGGAATTACCCCCTTGTGAACCTCTGCACAGCTGATGTGTCACCAACGAAAACGAAATGTTACCATTGGCATCAATCATGTTATACTCCTCGAGTTGGCCCGTCGAAGCCATCACGAACCATGTGGATGCATATGTGCCTTTGCTACTAAAAGTGAAGTAGGTCTCATTTTCATTCGAAACATAGCTGAAATTGTATCCATCTGATGTGTTTGCGAAGATGAATCTGAATCTCTCTCTGTCCCAGAACCCGATATCCATGTGTACATTATCTTCACGCCAAACACTAAGCTCAGTTGACCCGCTATAGTCGACTCCTAAAGTGAATGAGCCTCGAGATGGATTTTGTGGACTCACCCACGAAACAAGGACTTGTATCCTGGACTGATCCGTGTTGAGACTGAATAGCCCGATTTTCATGCCAGGCAAGTACGTATCGGTTGGATAATCGAAACTTTGCCAGATAACAGCGCCACCTTGTTTAAGAACCAAATTCCCAGAATCAGTAAGTGTTGCAGAAGTGTTTGCATTTGTTGTGACTGTTCCTGAATTGACTATCATTGGGGTTTGTCGCCGGTCTATCAGTACTAAGTTACCATCGTACCTTATTTGAAGAGTACACGATGAATCAATCATGGGGTTCTCCCTGTTGACCCAAACGGCTCTTCTGCTCGGATCAGCCCTGAACCAAATTCCCAGGTAGTAAATGCCCGAAGCGACATCATTGAAGAAGCCGAGCTCGAAGACCCCCGCTCTGGAAACGAGAGTATCATTGCTTGTCAACAAGTCTTTGGGTCCGATGGTATCAATTGCCCCAACAGATGAGCCAAAGAATAGAGCAAAAAGAGGCAACAACAGCTCTCCTCTGTTGCTCTTCTTGTCGGCCATTGCTGAGAATTGTTGCAGATACTGAACTCCAGAAGGAGAACTCAAGACCCAAGTAGTCTTCCGGGATCGAATAAAATTCTACCGAAACTCGCTTGGTGAATTCTTCGTCGAAATCACTTCAGTTGCTACCTAATTCTTGAGAATGGATTTGCGCGTCTTCCTCGAGTCTCTCCCTTCCTTGGTCGAACTAGAATAAGCCATAGCTTGCGTTATCTTTATGTCTCGCCGATCAGATAAGCAAGCATTGTTTGACTTCTGGTGGGGATGCAATCAACCAACCGTGAGTGACACACTACCGAAACTGCATCACAGCTGCTCAAAATACCAGCATTTCAAGGAAAGCTCAGATGCCATCTCCATCGTGAGGTATCTGAAAACATGGTGGGATCATCCTCTCGTATTGGAGCTTCTGATGGTTGACCGACCAAATCATCTGGAAATCTTCTCTTTCGCGGCCTTGAAGTTAAGGGTCGGTCAACCATTGACATATAGCTCACACTAAACTGCAAAACGCAGTCCAATTTGACCTCTCCTGCATTTGTCTGCTGATCATTGTGCACTTGCTTTCACATTGTCTCGACGAAACAGAACGCCATCCCCACATCTCTTGTATTTCTTGACTCGAAAAGGCTTTGTCTCAAATGGTTTTTGGGGAAGCGTTGACTTTCTTGGTTTGCAAGCATATGCAGTTGCAATAATTGTGTAATTGAATTCTGATAGACCATATCATTTCTCTGAGTTTTGTGACAGTATCAAATGTGTCAAAATTCCTTTTCTGGCCAAAAAAACAAAATGGGTCGAAATTTGTTTTCGCAATTAATGTTAGATTATTATCTTAACCATGCTTTTGCAAAAAAACAAAAGGCATGTTGGGTCTTTTGAAACGGTTCGAATCATTAGGATCTTTATCTTTGAACCAATTTTTTAGAAATTCGTTTTTTGAGAATCAGTCCTACTACTTCGGGTCTCAGTCGAAATAGTGTAAAAATAACAAGAAGTGCTTCAAATCACGACTTGACATTATCCTCACCTTCCTCGAGCTTATCATTAGGCCCGTCTAAATACTAACTAGACCGGGCCTTGAAAAGATAAAAAGCTCTTTCGGAAGATGAGGTATTGAATCAGCTTTGTTTATGAACGTAGAAGCTATAAATAACATCCATAAATCTCATGGAGAGTTCAATCCTGGTTCGGGATTCGGTTCACTCTTGATGTGTCAATAATTAAGTCGTAGTAACATTATACCGATGCACTTGATCATTAAACCAAAAGATGAGCCGTGAGCCGACGGAAAAAAAAGAGAGTTAATTTCTGTCAATTACAAGTCCCTAATTCGATCAATATTATTATTTGACCTCTTGTGCATTAGTCTGCTAATAATTATTTTCTTGCATTGTCTTGGGAAGCGTTGACTGACTTTGGTTCCCAATCATGCAGTTTCAACAACCGCGTACTTAGGCTCCGTTCGTTTGGCGGAAAATATTCTTCCGGAAAATATTTTCCGGGTTTTCCGGTGTTCGGGGGGCGGAAAACGTTTTCCGTGGAAAAATATTTTCCTTCCCCCTTCACAAAATAGCCTAAGTCTATGGAAAATGACTTCCGCTTCTTCAAAAGCGGAAATCATTTTCCGGAGCTTCTTCTTCTTCATCTTCACTAAGATCGTCGGCCACCACCGCCTCCGGTCGCCGGCCACCGCCGCCGCCGCCGGTCGCCGGCCGCCGCCAACGGTCGCCGGCCGCCGCCAACGGCCGCCGGCCCGCCGCCCCGGGTGCGGCCCGCCGCCGCCGGCCGTCGCCGCCGGTGGCCCGCCGCCGCCAGCCGTGGCCGGCCGGCCGCCGCCCGCCGCCGGTCTCCGGCCGCCCGCCGCCACGCCACCCGCGCCGCCCGGCCGCCCCGTCGCCCGCCGCCCGCAGGTCGCCGGCCGCCGCCGGTCTCCGGCCGCCGCCCCTCCGGCCGCCGCGCGCCGCCGCGCCGCCCCGCCGCCGCCGCCGCCGCCGCCGCGTCGCCGCCTCCGCCCGCCGCGGTCTCCGGCCGCCGCCGTCGCCGGTCGCCGTCGGTCTCCGGCCGCCGCCGCCGGCCGCCGCCTCCGCTCGCCGCCGCCGGTCGCCGGCCGCCGCCGCCGATCGCCGGCCACCGCCGCCGCCGCCATCGCCGTGAAAAATATTTTCCGAAACTTTTTCATATTGGTCGCCGAACACCGGAAAATTATGTTCCGGGAAAACATTTTCCAGGAAAATAACTTCCGGGAAAATATTTTCCAAAAGGAGAATATTTTCCGCCAAACGAACGGAGCCTTAAATTCCGATGCACCATACCCTCCGCGGAAATACGAAAAGTCGAAAATGTCCCTCCCTCTCTTGACCTCGAGCCTTTTGAGAACCAACGATATAGCAACTATATTTTTTTGGCACCATTTGATCTCCAACAATCTTTCTAGTCATTTCTCGAGATACTAGCATTATCAAATGTGCCAAAATTCTCTTTTTCCGCCCCCCCCGCCCCCACCCCCCAAAAAAAAAAAAAATGAAGCTTTCCGAAATTTGTTTTTGCTATTAATGTTAAGTCATGTCGCGATCAAGAACTATGCCTTTCGTGTCACTTCAAATGTGTTAACAGTGAGCCGTAATAACGTGATGCTGTCATGTTTAATCAATTAAATCAAAGCATCTTAACCTACCGAGAATGTGTTAATTTATATGTCCATCGCGAACCGGATGTACGTGGACCGCCTCAAGTTTCACGAGATCATATGCACAACATCGTCTCGACTAACCAAGAAGACAGTTCAATATCACAATATATATATTATTTTTTTGGGGAAAACATCCGAATTTCCTAACTAAAAAAACTTTCGGACGGGAAACGAGGCCGAGAATCGCTCCATGGGCCGAGAATCCGACGCCAGGCCCAAATACCAAGAGGCCCCAATTAGGGGGGGCCCATTCGGCCCAAAAAGGGGAGGAGGAGGTAACAGCTAGCGTTCCCGCCCGGTTTTCAAACGCCCGCTTTTTCAGCCTCCCCCCCTGTCCTCCCCCTTCTCCTTAATTCTCATTATTTTCATCGAGTGCCCAAAACGAAAAACCTCCTCCGCAGTCCGCACCTTAAAAAATAAAAACGAAACCACCCCCCCTCCCCACACAAAAATCGGAAATGCTGCCGAGAAAAAAAGGGAAAAGAAAATCCAAAACGCGAACCTCTCATTTCGGGAGCGCCTTCCCTCTTCTTCGCGTCTACTTGCTAGCTGGATTCCAAAGATAAGAGCGAAGCTCCAAGCAATGCCGGCGCCAGAGCCAGTGCAGCTGCTCCTTCTTCTTCTCCTCCTCCTTCTCCTTAACCTTCTCCTTCGCCTAGGGGTTTCGTTCCGGAGCTCGAGCTAGGGTTTTTTTTCTCTCCCCTCCGCCCATGGAGTCTCCCGACGTTGCTGCGAAGACGACCGGCGACGCCCCGGCCGCGGCCGATTGCGCCCGCGCCGCCTCGTCGGAGTCTCCTCCCGTCCAAGTAATTCGCGATTTCTCGCTCCCGGATTGCTTCTTCTTCTTGTTGCTTTGTTTTTTTTTTCGGGGGAATCGGCGTGTTTGGTGGTTGTTTGGATCTCATTTTTCCGGTTCCGAACTCCGCCTCGGCGTTTTTGTTTTTCCGGCTCCGATTCTCGGTTTCTGTTGTTCGGCGCTTCGGTTGCCGGTTGCTTGTTGTTTCTCTTGCCTTCCGAGAGAGCCGAGGTCGGTATCATTACCGGATTATTATCGTCCGAAGTAGGATGCGGGAGGTTTCGGTGGAGCAATCCTCCCTGTGCGTGTTTGTTTGGCTGTTGCATTCGCGTTTGTTGATGGAATAGTGTCTGTTTAGAAGTGATTCAGGCGGTCGGCTGATGTACTCGAAGCCGTTTCTTTGTATTAAGCTCTGCCATTGCTTGAGAAATCTATTGACGAGCGTTTGTGAGATAGCATGGGATGGACAGTAACACTGATGCGTGATTTTCTATATGCTTGTATTTGATAAGGTAAAAAACAGGTTCTTCGACTCTGTAGTTTTTCTTGTGAGGCAGATGCAAGTTTTAAGCTGATATAGGAAGATGATATCAGATAAGTACATTGTGGCATTCGACTCTTCTCGTGTTTTGTTTTGTCTTTAGATCTTATCAATGTACTTGAGCTCCCGGAAAACAGGTTTTGTAGAACTGTGTACGCATAGTCATAGATCCCCTTTCCCAAGCGTTTAATCTCCTCAGTTATGATTAAATGGCAAGACAAGTGTTAGCTGAGGCTTATGATGTCGGTGCTGCCCCTGCGGAATGTGATTTTTTTTTTTTACTTTACTTTTCACCAAATTTGTAGCCCATGATCACCTGCATATGCTTATATTATTATAATTATTTGGGGGAAACAATGTGCGTGTAACGTGTATAGCTCTTTGGGTTTAGTCGTGATGTTTTCTGATTGATGCTATGTGCAACTTAGCTTCTTCTCTCACTTGTAGGAGTCCCCTTTCTCTAATTTCGTCAAGAACCTCTCTCCAATAAATCCAGTCAAGGCTGCGCATGTTCCGCAAGTTTTCCCTGGGATTAATTCTTCTCCTCTCGTATTTACTTCACCACATGTAAACTTACAGCGCGAGGCCAATTTCTTGGACAGGTGAGACATTTAAATTGCCTTGGTTGCTTAGTTAGCAAATTCCAGAGCAACACTGATACATAGTTGACTGCAATTCCTTGGTACTTACAGGATTCAATCAGTCCAGCCGTCCATTGAAGAGTTATCTCGTCATGAAAATCGATGTAAGGACAAAATTGAAGAGGCTTCCGAGGAGCCCAATGAACTTGTCGCCCAAGCAAGAGATGAAGCTGTCACTTATGATAAAGGCAACTTTATTACCAGAGACTTTTCACAAGCTCATCCATGTAGTTCTTCTGGGTGTGTAGATGAATACTTGGCTGATCCTGTTGAGGTTGATTGTGCCAATTCTGCTCATTCAGTGGGCCACCCTAGGAAAGAAATGGAAAATTGTTCGCTGAGTAATGTCACTTACTTGGTGGACAACCTCTCAAAGTTTGACCAAGATACTAACATGGACAATGAATACGGGGCAGAAGTGAATTTACCTCACGGTTTCTCTAATGAAAGACAGGAGGAGCTTCAGGAAAGGCTAACGTGTAATCAACAACCAACTGAAGCGGAAGATGAGCATGATGGGGGAGACAAATCAACTATTGAATGCATAAAAACTGCGCTTGACTTGTCTGTTGAAAATATATCTAAGAAGCGACAATCTTTAGATTCAGTTGCTCAGGTAGTTAGAGAGTTCTTCCCATTAGCTAAGTTATTAGTTTTGATTAGCATGTGTTTTAGACAACTTTTTTCCTCTAGCTTACAAACTATACTATGCAGCCGGCAGGATGTAGCCATCAGTGTGGATCTCATGGCCTGCAATCGCTCCCTGACTACTGTCCGATGGTTGACACATTTAAAGATGGAGTGGATTTACCGGCAACCTTAAGTGAACATGCTGATTCACATCACCCTGAGGTTAGTCTCAATGGCTTTCCATGCAGTCATCTTTTCTTTGTTTTTCGAAATTTAGAAAGGCCAGCTTCTACAGATCCTGAAATTGGTCCAAGTAGACATCTCTCCGCAGCTATTCATTAGAGTTTAATATCTTTATTTGGGGAGGCTTAGTCCTTTTTATAGAATGGTGCAATTTATCTTATTTTCTGTGCCATTATGGTTATGCTTCTGTTTTCCACTATTCCACAGGCAAAAGACATTCATCCTTTGTTTCTTGTACGATCTGTTCATTGTATTATCGTCTTAGTTAAGTATTAAATATTTCATGTAAAGTACCTGCAATGAGATATGTTTAAATGGCAAGGAATTGATACATGTATTAAGATAGTTGGTTATTTGATTAATGTTTGAGCCTAGGATGGTGCAATTACTGTGAGGGTTGCTAAATGTGTCTAGTAGATGTTCTGATGGGTGAACCCAGAGCCATGAATTTAAGCTGCTTTAAAATGTGGAGGATACATTTTAGATACATTCAGAAGGCACCGCTTATAGTAAAGTAACTGAACTTTTAATGGGAAAGGGTCCTCAATCATTATGGCTTCAAGCAATTTTCACTGTCATTGATATGATTAACCAGTAGAAGATAATGGCTTCTCTATACTTAACCAACCTTTCCGTGAGGCTGTGAAGGCAAGACTGTGAGAAGTCCTTAAAATGGGAATGGAGCTTTTCTGAATGCCTGCTGGAAACCATTTCATCTTATTGCAGGTAGTCCCCAGCTTGAAATGAATGACCAAGGATGAAATGTTTACAGTTTTCTACGTCTTTATTAGCATAAATCAGACAAATATTGCTCTTCCTCCTTTATAGATAGCTGCGGAGTGCAAGCATGAAGTGTCAGGATGACATATCAATGAGAGGTCATCATTGTCTTTTGGCTGTGATTAGCCTCTGAGGTCCTTGTCATTTGCTGACAGTTCTGGAAACCAGACTGAGAAGTAGTTTTGGCTTAAGATTTTATGTTAGTGACATCTTGTGTAAGGATTATCGAGTATAGGTGATGGTTTGTAGTAGAAGTTTCTGCTGGAGTGAAGTTCCAGTTTTGGTGGCTGCTCTGCTTGTCTTTTACCCAGAACCATTATGACGGTGGTTAAATTATCTTTGGCACGATTTCCTTCTAGTGAGTTTAGCAATAACAAAATTAGCATCTTTACTTTGTAAAATATGTATCATTTTAGATGCTTGTTCGTCTTCTATGAAATTGACTGAATTTCGTTTGACGTAATGGTCGGGTTTCTCCTAAAGTTCATTGTCCCTGAGAGAAAGAATTAGCTTCTGTTTGCAGATTTATTGAACTTGTCTCTAACAAAATGGTGTTATGAACGCATTTATTCAAGTGATTGTGTTATTTTGTTTTGAGAACGGTGTAGTAACCAAATAAGAACTTCTCTTTCATTTTCTTGTTAATCTTACAGTAGTTTCTTCACGAATCGCGCAAGAGGTCTATTTGGAGATCAAAAAATCATAAGCTCCTGTTTTAGTTGTACATGGAGGTCACTATTGTGCAGGATGGCACATTGCAAACTATCTAGGCCTTGTGCTTGGATTAGGTCCAAGATCAGGCTTATATATCTATCTTCATAACATCCCAATAATATCCCGTCACAAGGACTCCAATCATAGAAAAGTCAAACAGAAACAAATCTAAAAAGTTTGGGGTTGGAAAGGTAATGCGGGCAGGTCAACCAAGTCCTATGAGGAAGCCGCTTGCTGAAGCCCTCGAATGCAACTTCTATTCTCCTTTGGGCCCGTCTCAGCCCCACTGGCCTATATCAAAAACCAAGCCAGGCCTATGATCAGGTTTAGTTGTAAATGATGATTGGACTTTGTTGTAAATTAAGTCTTCATCTCTCCATTTTATTCTTAGTCATCAGCTTCACTCATGGATGGTCGAAAACTCAAGTTTCTGATGCCATTTAAATCTTGAAGCTTTTAGGAGTAAGTTGCACAAAGCCGACTAGGAACTTTGACAAGGAATGCTATAGACTTTGATAGGGAGGCGTGAGGAGGATCTCATTTAATCAAAATAAAGGAGTCGATCCCATGTATTTAACTCTACATAGTCAACTCAAGTTTTCATTAGCATATTATCTGCGAGATATCTCCTTTACTTTTTATGTTTAGACTGAGCATAATGCTGGTTGCTTGGTGTCATGAAGTTGTCGTCTTGCTATTATGGCATGGACAATGTCCAATATGGAATTTTGTTTCTTAGGGAATTGCCAAGTTTGTTTTCTGTTATACAGTGTAGTCAGAGGTCTAGTGCAAGGAGAAGGATAAATAGGGTTCTTTGTCTTCTCCTCCTCGTCCTTGTTGTTTGTGCCGTGTCAATAACTAATCTGTTCGCTGCAGATTATTCTACATCAGCGAGGCTTGCTTAGACGCTGTCTTCAATTTGATGATGCACACCCAAATAGTTTTTCAAGATCTTTAAGTTTACCAGCACGTAACTTGGACTCTTCAAGATCACTGGCTACTGCTTCAGAAATGGAAGATCTGGATTTATCTAGGCCTAATTCCAATATAATTTCCAGCAAGAGACCAGTCCGCGAGCCGGACAAACCTGTCACAAGCATCCTGGCCAGTCGCCAGTGTGGAAGCTCTCCCATTATAGCATCCAAGCCATCGGGTATTGGCTTGCATTTAAATAGCATTGTTGGTACCGGAACAGTAAGTTGCAGGGCAGCCAAAAACATTAACCCAGAGGAAGACCACCAGGATGCAGAGGATATAAAGTTGGCCTCCGCTGAAACCTGCCATATGTGGGTTAAATCAAGCGAATGTGCAACTTCATCAGACACACTGAAGACAGTTCCATCAGGGGCTTTAGATGAAAGGTATGAGAAGAAGGTTTCAGAAACTGCGACATCTGTAGCTTCTGATTCTCTTCCTGAGATTGAGGACCAGAATTTGTTGAAACCACATGAGCATTATGATACTCCACGTGAAAAGAGGAAGCTTGATTTAGCAGCTGTTGATGGATCAGAGGAGTTTATCCAACCGAGTCCCAAAAAAAAAAGGCTAGTTTACTTTCTTTTCCTTAGAAATTGATTTCTCACTCTGTTCTATAGGTGGTTTAAGCACTCTGCTAACTCTCACTGTGGTTCACTAGGAACAAGACAATGGGCACCTTCAGCAGTGATGGTTGCAAACGTTGCAATTGTAAGAAGAGTAAATGCTTGAAACTGTAAGCTAATTAACTTTTACTTTGTGTTTCCCCTCCCATGTTCTGCAGTGGTGCAACTTATGCTTTTGCCTCTTAACAGTTACTGTGACTGTTTTGCCGCTGGAATGTATTGTGTCGAACCTTGTTCATGCCAAGGATGCCTTAATAGACCTCAATATGAACAGACAGTTCTTGAGACGCGCCAACAAATTGAATCTCGCAATCCGCTGGCATTTGCTCCAAAGATTATAGAAAGTAGTGGGGAGCTTTTAGCAAATAATAGGGTACGCTCCATTTTAGATTTAGTCCGACTTATGTTGCTGCAACTAATAATCTTCTTCACTATCCACAGGAAGATGGAGCTTGGTCAACACCAGCATCAGCACGGCACAAGAGAGGATGCAATTGCAAAAAGTCAATGTGTCTAAAGAAATACTGTGAATGCTATCAGGTTTTATATCTTGCTATACTGACAGTCATGGATGCTTGTTATCCTTGTAATTAACTTGTGTGTCTGCCTTTTTAATAGGCTAATGTTGGATGCTCGGATAATTGCCGATGTGAAGGATGCAAAAATGTTTATGGAACAAAGGAGGGTAAGCATTTATTGTGAGCATTTCTTTTTCTTTTTTGAAATGATTGGCATGGTAACTTATGATATCTAAGTTTGAATAAAGAAAGAAGAGGGCAAGACATGCCATACTTCAAAGTTTTCTTCTATTAAAGTCTAAACTGTGGTTATTGTCAGATTATTGTGTAACTAGAGAAGTAACAGGCAGCAGAGTTAGTGAGAGAAGCTTGGAAGGCGTAAACGATGTGAAGCTGCAAACAGTGGCGTCTGAGAAAGATCACTTGCGTACCCATTCGTATGAGCCTGTCCAGCTAATTCCACAAACACCATCATTGCAGTTTTCAGAGTAAGACTTGTGATAGCTTGAAGTCTGACTTCATTCTACGAAGAGCTGAAGGATTGAATCGAGTTTTCTTGAGCTGATCAGTTATGTTTTTCATTTTTCCGTCTCCAGCCATGGAAAGGGTCCTCTGAGATCCCGGCTTTCTACAAGAAACATCCTGTCACCTAATTCAAATCAGAAGATCTTATCATCATCTGCAGAATCCGGAAGACCTTCAGGAAGTGTAGATACTAGAGACATACCACAGGAAAGACAAAACGACACTCTGGAATCAGGTTCTTTTAATCAGGTTGCAGATGACAATGATGCAGAAAATGAGATGGTGGATGAAATCTCCCCTAGACGTGATTCATTGTTGAATTTATGCCGCCTTGCTCCTATATCAAGCCTCCCCATAAAGGCTGGCTCGTCTATGGAGTCATCTAAAGCAAATGATAACATCCGTAATTCAATCGTCCCGACATTTCCTGGAAATAATCACCTTGCAAGCAACTCCCTTCGCTGGCATTGTTCTCCAGTTACCCCGGCAACTCAATTAGTTGGTGCCAAATCTTGTGAAGATCCCATGTTGGATGTTGGACTTTCTGCCCTTCTGGGAGATGATACGCCTGAAGTATTGAAGGACGACCCGACCACTGCAAAATCAGTGAAAGTTAGCTCCCCCAATCGCAAGCGTGTTTCTCCTCCTCACAGTCATCTGCATGCACTCAATACAAGTTCTTCGGTGGCCTTGAAGAGTGGTCGCAAGTTTATACTGAAGGCAGTTCCGGCTTTCCCTCCTCTCACCCCTTGTATTGGTCCTAAAGGTAGTAGCGGCGAAAACAGTCGTGAGTCTCAAGACGATAGCACACCAAATGATAAAACAGACTGGAGATAAAGGAGTTAAGGTGAGCAGTCTCTCCTCTCTTCAATTTTTTTTTTCTTTATTGGGGTTTGTGGTTGGCATTGAGCAGTAAGCAGTATCGTTGATGCATCTTTTTATCGTTAGTTTGTGCAATCAGTCTACTTCCTGGGTTTGGTCGCAGTTAGATTTGGCGGGCATGGTTGCAAGTTGTGCCGTCTTAAGTGAGATACATGGGTCAAACTGAGCATCAATCAGGTTTGGACCCACAATACCTCCAACATCATATGTTTTACCCCCCGCAGTGCATCGACCGCTAATCCGATGCTAACCACATATTTGTTGTTCGAAATAGGTACATGGAGTCATGACATCTTTGGTGCGTTTCGTATGGAAAGAAGACACTGATAAGTGCTACTGAGTTTTCATAGGATCCGCTCTCCTCTCTCTCCTTTCCTCCCAACTAACTGCCTGGTCGGGACACTGCTCCTTTGTTGACTAAATTGGTTTCACTTTCACCCCTTCAAGAGAGTGGGTTAAAATTTGTTGTATGTTCTGCTCCACCAGAAGAAGCGAAAAAAGGTAGTAATTAGAGTTTTATTTTTTATTTCTTTTTTAGGTTAACCAATGATGATTGCAACTTTCGTTGTTCATATGTACAGCTATATGTTCCCTTAATCTGGATGCATATGGTCTTTTCTTTAGGTATAATTAGGTTATTTTCCTGCGTATGCAAATTGTGTTCTTAGTAATGCGTCGCGTTCTGCTTTCGCCTCGCCAGACATCATGAAGAAGTCGCTCAGGCTTTGATATAATAACAATGGCTTCGGAGATTAATGCAATAAGAGCTGCGTGTGGGGTAATGTTTGGGGTGTTCCCTTAGGGATCGAGCGCATGGTGATATTTAATGTGCAGAGTCCTTACCTGTGGCATTATGGCGTGTCGTATGGCCCGACAATTGCATGGGCTCGGCCCGTTTATCGACTAAATGATTGGTTTTGAATAAGCCCTAAATTGGGCCCATTATCCGGGCTCAGGGTGCCCATGCCATAATCATCTCTCCGAAGGTCCACAATCTCGCCCATTGCATTTGGGCCTTAACTGTGCCATTTCGGCCCGCAGTTAGCCCACGGTCAGCGCCTAGTTAAGGCACAATCATGTGGTGGGCCGTTTTTGGTCCAAAAATTGGTCCCATCGTTTGGCCCCACGCCAATTTATTTTGGTCCATAACTGGGCCTACAGGCCCATAGGCCGCATCTTTCGCCACAACGAGTGGGCTTTAATTGGCAAAGGGCCAAGTCAGAAGCCCATTTAAGGCCCAGGGGCCCAATATTTTGGGCATGGGCCCACAAATCCAAAAAATTTAGACCATGGGCCCGATAGGTTGGGCCCAGTCTCGGACCACGAGGTCAATTTCGGCCACCACCAGTGGGCCTTCATGGTTGGTGGCCTATTTAGATAGGCCCATGGGCCGGATATTTTAGGCTCTAATTGGACTAACGAAGCCCAAAAGTGGGGTTTAATAGGCCAAGGCTCAAGTCGAGGCCCATGGGCATTTTGGGCGTTGACTGGACCCACGAATCCAATAAATGGGCCCATCCTCTGCCCATTGTGCTGAAGGCCCATGGGCTGAAAATATAGGCCCATGCTCAGTGGGCCACATTGACAGAATATTTGATGGGCCACGAAGTCAAATTGGGTCCATAATCAGTGGCCTTCGCTGAAAAACGGTCCTGGGCGTGATTGGGAAGGAACCCAAAAGTGGGCTTTTATTGGCCAAGGCCCATTTATATCCTATGGGCCTGATTCTGGGCTTTCATTGGGCTGCGAATCGGACAGTGGGCCCATGCTATGTGTGCGCCTTGGATTGAAGGCCTCCATTATATCATTTACGAATTCAAAAAATCATATTTTAATTCAGAACATAGGCCGGATAAGCTGGGCCGATATTTGGGGCCCAAGGCCCAAAAGTCAAATTGCATCATCATCAATGGGTCTAGGCCCAATCTATGAACAGGCCCGTGGGACTGATATTTTGGGCCTTATTTGGGCTGACGAAGCCTAAATGGGGGCGGATAATTATTGTCCAAGGCCCAAGTGGACCCCATGGGCCCAATTTTTTGGCCTTGGGCTGAAGCCCACAAATCCCAAAAGGCCTCTTTGCTATGCACCTTCGGCTGAAGGCCCATTATTGAGGCCCATGGACCGGATCAATGGGCCCTCCTCAGTGGGCCTTCGTGGACAGGATATTCGGCGTCAGTGGGCCCTTGGAGTAAAATTGGGGCCTCGTCAAGGCCCATTCGAGTTAATAATAAAGGCCATGGACCAGACATTTGTTGACTTCATTGGCCCCCGAATCGCAAAGGGTCGTTCCGATCGTGTCTCCATGGGTCGAATGTCCATTGTCGAGGCCCATGGGCCGGATATAGGGCTTTATTAGCTGAAATGATCAAATCCCAACTAAGGCCCAATTCGATTAATTAGAAGATGCGCAATTTTGTGAGGCCGGAGAACAAGAAGTAGATATCAACGTTAAGCAAAACAGCAAACACAGAGAAAGGGTCCTCCATAAAGGAACGTACGACGAACGAACTCTATTTTACTCGAAAGTGTCTTCATCGTCATCAGGGAGGGGCTGAGCAAAGCAGTGACAATAGCTAAATTCAGCTTCGTGCCTGCAAAAAGCAATAGAATCTCTGTTGGTATCTCCGTCTATAGTTCTTCTTTTCAAACAACTAATTCTTCCCAATCCAAAGACGAGCTTTGAAAGAGAGGTTCTAACAAGGCAAAACTACCCCCACACCGCTTTTTCATATTACGTAGTTTTTCTTCCCCCTAATAAGTTTTTAGATTGGATTTTGTAACACTGACAAGCTAGTGGTTTCCTCAGTTTCAAGCTAAGTTTGATTGGACAATAAAAAGCTAATAATTTTCTTTTCTTTTTTTTAAGTAATGGACCTATATATCAATTATTACCTCGCTTGCTCAGCCGGACTTCGGGTGGTGCAAGGGCAGGTGATTCCACAAAATGAAGGTCTTGATATCCCTGAATGAAGAAAACCAAAATTTGAGAAACTGGGATGCAAGAAAACTTATGATAGCGCCAGATCTACAAAGGAAAGAGAATCTGACATGAGAAAACATTAAGTTACCTCGCAAGTTTTTTGGGGAGGTACAAGAAGGGCTTCTCGAAGTTGTAGTTGGTCCTAGAGGATGATGATTCATATTACCGGAGATTCTATTTCCTGTGAAACATGACCTGCTTTGCTTTTACCTGCCGGTTTTCCACGTTGACTATGTCACCACTCGTAACAGTATGAATATTTTCCACACACCCTTCATCAACGCAACAGAAAACAAGTGACAAGATTAGCAGCACAATACAGGCAATAATTAAGAGGAGCAATAAACTTTAGCTTCCACAGCATTCCTGCAGATGCCATGTTGGAACAATTCTTGACATGATAACGGCACACTCCTCCGTGTACACTGCACAGGAAAAGAACCATATTTGCTTCTACTTGGTAAGATGAAAGAATGAAATCACATGATTAACTACATAAATTGGAAGCAGAATATGCAAGAAAAATGTCAGGCAAGATCTTCAAGGGTATAAAGCAATCCAGTGATATCACCAGCTCACCTAAATTGGAAGTTTTACAGAATGAGGTTCTCAATGCACAAGGAAGAAGAGCAGGAGTGAAAGAATTAACCAATGTTGAATAACGTGCTATAGATCACTGTTATTCATCCGGGGTTGGAGAAACAAGGAAAAAGAAAACTTTCTCAACAGGAATGCATCAACAAAACTGCCCTTCCATATTGATCATCGTGGCATGAACTATGTCAAATGATTCCTATTCCTAGCTGACTCCTCTTCCTATTTATTGATCTTGATTAGTTATAGAAAATTGGACACTTCCTTGGCCCAGCAAGTTGAGACCAAAGCGTGACTAGAGAGCGAGTGATAAGATGCTACCACCTATGCTACCTCCTTTTCCTCTCAAGACATTTTCGGAAAAATAGAAAGAAGCAAGATGAAGTGGCGTTAAAGGAGATAGTGGCTGAACAAGTCAAGCCATGTATGGGAGAAGTTAGAGAAAATCTTGGGATCCTCTTAACAGAATCAGCCCCACTTTCCCAGAGTGCTTCGTAGGTTTTAGTAGTGGGTTAGTCTTTCCTAGAATTTAGCAAGTTGTTGTTTTGTTCATCTTTATTTAAATGCTTCGGTTATGCACAGTTGCAGACAGAGAAATTATTATTATCTATTGTTCCCTTTCAATCCCAATTCTCCTCTCCTTCTCCTTCTCTCTCTCTCTCTCTCTCTCTCTCTCTCTCTACTGCGGGTTGTTACCATTTTGGTATCAGAGCCAGTCGAACCATCATGGTGAATACTCGTTCCAGTTCTTCGAACCTTGACTCCCAAAACCCACCCCCCAACACACAACCAGCCCTGCTACCTACGCCTCCACACACCTCTCCGGTTAACAACCCGCAGTAGAGAGAGAGAGAGAGAGAGAGAGAGAGAGAGAGAGAGAGAGAGAGAGAGTCGGAGAAGGAGAGGAGAATTGGGATTGAAAGGGAACAATAGATAATAATATTTTCTCTGTCTGCAACTGTGCATAACCGAAGCATTTAAATAAAGATGAACAAAACAACAACTTGCTAAATTCTAGGAAAGACTAACCCACTACTAAAACCTACGAAGCACTCTGGGAAAGTGGGGCTAATTCTATTAAGAGGATCCCAAGATTTTCTCTAACTTCTCCCATACATGGCTTGACTTGTTCAGCCACTATCTCCTTTAACGCCACTTCATCTTGCTTCTTTCTATTTTTCCGATAATATGTCTTGAGAGGAAAAGGAGGTAGCATAGGTGGTAGCATCTTATTAGCGAGTTCCTAAAAACTCCCATTTTCTCGCTAGGCTTCTTAGGAGCTGCTTGTTCATCCGCCTCATTGATTTTTCCTTATTCTATGAAATCTCGGATTTTTTGCCTCACAGTCTAGCTTCCATCCGTTGCATGACCCGGTCCCCCCTCATTTGGACCTAACAAAATTCTGCCAATTCCTTCCAACCTTTCTCAAATAGGGGGTGGGCGTGGAGTGCGGGGGAGCAATTAGTACATGCTGACGTCTGAAAGTGCTTCGCTTTCTATGGTTTGGAAACAACGTCTGATGAAGCCAAAGAAAGTTTGATCGGATACTGACTCAGCCTTTGTGAAAGCGGGTTGATCATCTATAGAAAAAAGATGAAGCTATAACAGGATTTCACGGCAACATCTGATGGAATGGCAGGAACTCAAACTCAGTGCACCCACCAATTCTTTTTACCAGATGGTCCACAACTCTATTTAGCTGTATCAATACTGAGCTCCACACCAAGTTGACTATCACGTAGAATTTGCATACTTTTTTTTTTTTTTGGTAAGGTAGAATTTGCATACTTTATTACCAATTAAACAAAGAAACTTGGACTTGATAGTGGACAATCAAGCAGTTACCCGGAGAATAAGGATAAGCAAGTTCAAGGATCTCCGGTTATAAATTTTCTCTCCAGAATCTAAAACCTCCACTTATATTGATGCTTACCCCACTTAGCAAGCTCACACTACTTCTCAGTGCCCTATAAGCATCTCACTATCTGTTTAGATACAACATTGACTCTTTCATACTTAGAGTAGGTACAAAGCAGCAATGGAGAATTACTTGTTTGTTAGATTGGCGTCTCTTTTTGGAGTTATCAAGCTTAAATCTCCCGAGTCCTTTTTTGTTAAGACATGAAACAAACATAATGCGATAAAATAAATAGATCCAAACCTAATTTTGCGCATCATAATGCCGAACATGTCAATGCAGATTCTAAGAACATAAAGAACTACACAGCTATGACATACCTCTCCAGAAAGAAAGTATGTGATGGCATGAAAATGATCATTCAGTAATATCAATGTACAGCAAGAATACTACGCTAAAAAGATAATTAATATCACTGTACATCAGTAAAGATAGCAAAGAAGGTAAATGAAATTAAAAGTTTTACACAAAGAACGAACATTGAGTGTTACCTTTTTCTTTTTGTTCCTTTTCCATAGAACCAGCTTTATGGTGATCTGGGAAGAGCACCTGATGAAACCAGTAATAGTCATCGATGTAAAGGGGGTTTACAAGTGTCCATTCCAACAAAAAGTGTCATCATATCAAAGTGGTGTAAATCATTTAGAACTGATTCATTTTTTAATATTGATGACAATTGCTTCAACCACTTTTAGCACGAAAAGTTTCCAAATGGAATTATTACCAAGCAGAAAAACACAAAGAAACCACAGTATATACGTGGAACTACACAGAACAAATCTTAAAGTTCAATATGGAAAAGAAAAGGCACATACTAGTAACCATCTTGGAGGCCACCAAACTTTTCTTGACCAGCAGCGTCCAAGCAGTTAAACCTGATCTTCCCACAGTTTGTGAAGAAGTTCAGAGGGCGAACTTCCACGCCAATAGTAGCTGTAGCCACAATTATGAGCCATGAGCGACCATAATCGTATAAAAAAAAAGAAAAAGGTCCGTGCCAATAACATCCGATGACCTGTGCATCGAATATCCAACTAGCGCAATCAATCGCAGATATAAAAGCAATCTGAATGTGAACTGCAGCAAGAAAAAAATGTTAAAAGAATACACCGGAGTATCTTTCATAAATTCATATCTGTCATACACCAAACATAATCAGACATGTAAAGCCAGACAAATAGCATACACCTTGCCCAACTACAATGTTTCGCTATCTTACAGTTAATGTGTCAGATGCAAGAACAGATTATACTCAGCACTAACGCTGTAATTTCTCAAGCAATAGAAATGTCAAAGATAGCGCACGCCCAAACCCGCGCAATCAAGCCTAACCTCCGAATCAGACACGTTATTAACATCGCACCAGTACAACTTCATCTTCTATTACCAGAATTGTAGAAAAGAGCGGAGGCACATGCTTTTCGGATCATTAGCCCTATTCCTAGATACGATCCTTCCGTCTCTCGCAACTATAACATCAAGGACAATGCTTTCACGATGGAAAAACATCATAGATGAAACAAATGTCACGACACACGCAATCAGCACCGAAAACAAAAAAAAAGAAAAGAAAATCCCACTCCGCACACCGACGGACACCAGCCCCTTCATCCTCCACGGCTATAACGGCGGACAAGTACGACAACGAATGCATCCGTATCCGCGATTTCTTCCTCTCTCCACTCCATTTCGTTCGGTGGAGCCTCACCGCGGTTTCCATTGCATCGCGCATGCCGAGAAAACAGATGCGAACTCTAGAACCAGAGAGAGAGAGAGACGCGATGTGCGTACCAGCACCGCCATCGCCAACTATCACAACCTTGATGAAGCTCGGACAGTCCACCGCCCGCCGATCCGGAAGCGCCTGTGAATGCAAACGCGATCGCGACGACGCCATGCCTCCGGCAATCATAAAACCAAAGAGAGGAACGAGCGCGAGACCGAGGCTCGCCATTCTGCCATGCATGGCTTCGATTGCAGTTGCAGAGGAACTCCTTAGGGTTTGGGAGGAGCCGAGAATCGAGAGAGAAGGCAGTCGCGATCCGAGAAACTCGAACTCCCTTGTTTGTTGTGAACTCCGCTACAGAGAGTGCAACTTAATAACTGAATTGTGGGGGGACGTTTTGTGTTGAAGTAACAGATCGAGCGTCCACGAGGCGGCCTCTTCAAAAACAATTCTCGATTTATTTGTACTTAATTTTCATGTAAAATCAGGAGTTCGTAGTTAATTTCACCAGAAATCCCAAACTGCCGAGTTAAATTTTACCTGTCAAATTGTTGAGCTGGATGACATGTGTCAGTTAATAGATGTATTAGTTTGGAGTTTTCCCCTTTGTTTGTCACGGGTATATCAATTTGTGATTTTTCGTGGTATTAATCCAATTTGACGGAGGGTAAATTTGTCACAAGTGTACCTTTTTAGGTTTTAGTGGTTAAAAACATTAGTTCACCGGTTTGAGGTTTCTATTATCTTTATATTTAACTCTCACATTGATTATAAGAGGGGATAAAATAATAAAATTAGTGTGCTTCATTGACTTAATTCTCTCTTGGTTAATACCCCGTTTCAAAATACCACTTGAATTTCGTACATACATGTGGCAGATCATGAAGCTCAATTTTGAAAAAGCCTGTCGAGCCGATTGGAGGTTGGACTGCACAATGGCTGGCGGGTAAGGGGGCTTTCACCGAGGAGATCCTAGTCGAATCCCGCATCTGTGATACTAGCGTCCCCATACCCCAATCCTTTTACCGGTAGGAGCGCATGCCTATTGACTAGGAGATCCTATTCCACTGTCATGTCTTTTGGAATGAATCGTTGAAGTTCTCTCTTTGAATGCTGTGACTGTGCTGCGGGGCAAAGGGAGGCTTGCAAGCAATACCATACCAAATCTGGAACTTGGCAGATCACTCCCTCTGCTTCTTCTTCCTAACTGTATTTGGAGCAAGAGCTGATTCCAAATCTCTTTTGTTCGCCAAGTAGCAGGTGATGGGGAAGAGCACTGTTACGACCCTTCACGCTTGGAAGGAGAAACATGTCGTGGAGCCTCCTTAAGAAATCATTTGAATCTCAATTTGATCTGTAATGCTGTGAGTACGATTTGGGGGACGTAATGGAGAGATTGGAAAGCGTTTGAGCATGAGGGATGGACTGTGTGTGTGTTTTCAGTATCCCTGCTTCGTATGTTCGTGATTGGAACATAAAAAAAAATTCACTCTCACTCCTCGTAATATAACAGTCCTAAGTAGGTTTCTAACATAGCTTATCTTGTGCAGCTCTTATTTCTTGGATGATTTGCTCAAAAGAAAGCCACAATACAAGGAATTAAACCTCTCTGCTCTTCACTCTATAACAAGTAACAACCGTATGAATCAATGATCCTCTTCCGGCTGGGACAAACCCATATATTTCATCTCGTCGTATGCGACGGAACTGGCTGAGCTCCTAAGGATATTTTTGAGCCGACCTAGTCGGATCACGGGTTCCGGACGCACAACAGCTTCACGTCATCCAGAACGGGACCGCAGAGGGAAGAGAAGTCGTCGCTCCTCATGGTGTAGAACGTGCTGTAGAACATGATCCGAGTCCTAACGGACACGGCCTTGAACCGGAGGACGGCGCGCTTGAACCCTCCCTTGCCCTTCGATTCGTACGGGACTTTGATGGTGTCCTTGCCCGCGAACGCCTCGACGATCATGGACCCCTCGCAGGAATTGCTCGCGTCTCCGACGGCGAACGAGAGGACGTATGTCTTCCCGGGGATGGTCCGGGCCACCTGGGCGATGGCGCTCTCTTTCCCGGCCACGAGCTCCACGGCTCTCTTGCCTTCGGGGACCGAGAAATGGTCCGAGTCGATGTACTTGACCGCCTTCAGCGACTCGACCATCCAACCCGGCAAGGGGGAGTGGTCGTCCTCGATGTTCGGAGGGATCAGGACGCCCCACGACGCGTTCCGGAAAACGTAGGGACCTTCCTCGAAATTCCCATTCTTCAACAGGTTCCCTGCATAGTTCGTTCATAACACACAGGTGAACTAGTTCATCAGAGACACTAAACTGCAGAAGACCACTCATTGAAGTTCGAATTCGATGGTCACAACTGAGCTGTGTAGGAATTTCAGTAGAAACACCCGAAAACGACCAGAAATTGCACTACCAATGCACGCGCACGCTCGCATTCGAGTGGAAAAGCAGAGTATATAAGCATGAAGTCTGTTCAATCAATAGCTTTGATAGGCGAATTCGGTGAAATGGGTCCTTACTACTGCTTGCTCTCGGAGGATAGAGAGCCCTGATTGCGACCGAGTCGATCAGCGGCCCGCAAGCCGGGTCCTCCTCGACCCCCGGATTGTGGATCACGATCTCGGCGACGTCGCGCTCGGCCTGAAACGCCCAGGCGTACGAGTCCCAGCCGCTGCTGCTGTACAGCGTCTGCATCGGCAGGACGCCCCAGTCTGGGGCCACGGATATGTTGAGCTTCTCCTCCTGAGCGCACGTCCGCGCCGCGCTGAACGTGATGGAGTAGTACATCCCCCTCGCCACCCTCATCCCCTGCTTGATCGAGGCCTCGTTCCCGAGCCGGACCGCGAACGCACCCTCGGGCACTACCAGGAGCATGTCCCCTTGCTTCTGGCCAGACTTTATGTACTCCACGAACCCCGAGATCTCCCACTTCGGGACGGCGTAGCGGCCGAGCACCACCGTGCCTCTCATGTCCGAGGCCTTTGGCCCGAGCTCGAAGTCGCCGTTCGGCACTAATCCTGCAAACCCCGAGAGCAGAAACGAGTTTCAGATTGACAAAATGAAAATGTCAAGGCATGAACATCATGTAACATAAGCTTGGCAAGTATAATTTCCCATCATCAACGTCCAGGACAATCTTGGTTTCGAGGGCTAGATGTTCTTGGCCATTGACGAACTTGATGAGCAGACATGAATCGGCAAAAGCAGAGTGCAGAAGTTACCGTCAACGAAGGCGGAGGCACGGTGGGCGGCGGCGGCGGCGCAGAGGAGCAGCACCGCCACTGAGATGGCCGCTCTCATCATGAGACGCTGCACGGCTAAAATTGGAAATGGAGTTAGGACAAGACTGGTGCACCGAAGGACGCGAAGCAATTGGCCTTATATGCATGCACGAGTTCGAAAGGGGCCTCGGATTTCGCGGAAATCACGGAATTTGCCACTGAAAAGACTGCGACTGCGACTTCACGTGGGGAATTTACTACTGGGGAATTGAAATTTCATCCCCTCGGGTCGGATTATAATAATTAGCAAATTACCCAAATTTGGGAGCTTATCGGTGGTCACATATGGCCCTTCCTGCTGCTGAGGCTGCAGATGTCTCTCGAGGGCATTTCGGTCATTTCATAATTGCTAATAAAGCATGCATGGTCTAGAACACATGATTCACACTCTCGAGGCACACCTAGTTTTGTGAATCGAAGACATATCGGATAAATGCTTGGTTAACGTTGGAGATGTTGAAGCACGATCTTTGTGATACGGTTCGATCATTTTAAATATTTTCGGGATAATGACACATTATCTTTAAATTTTGATTCAATGTGTAATATGGTCACTGAATTTTTAATTTGTTTGATATGATCCCTAATATTTTAGTATATATTCAATGTAATCCCTAAATTATATGAAAATGTTTAATGTAATCTCTTCATTAATTCAAGATCTGGGACAACACATAATATTTACATATAGTTCAAGGACTAAATTGAACACGTGCCAAAAGTCCATGAACCATATTGAATAAATTAAAAATTCAGAGATCACATTATACATTAAGCCAAAGTTCATGAATCACATTTAACAAATTAAAAGCTTGTAGACTATATTAGGATCATTTATGTCATTTTCCCGATAATATTATAGCTTAAGAGTTTGAGTTTGGTGGGTGAAGTTTTGTGTTGGTAGGGAGGGTCAAGATAAACTCTTCAGATAAACGATAAGCAAACTACATGCAAATCGCATGAAGGGTAGCTACAGAAAATTGCAAAGAAGGAGAACCCACTACAAATGCGAGAAAATCGATGATTGAGATGTTCGTATCGAAAGTCCTGCAAATGTTTTCGATCAGAGAAGAGGACGAAAGCATAGGGGGAGAAGAGAAACGTGCCACGAGGGGAGGTGGGGTAGGGGGCCCGAGGGGAGGGATTGGATCGGGTCGGGGCAGAGCGGTGGGGCCCACAAGGCCCGACATAGAATCTCGTCCTCGTCTAGTTGGTCCGTTTGTTTCGCCAGAAATAAATGATTTGAAAAATATATTTAAAAAAAAATAATCACGTTAATCTCTTGTGAAAATGAATGAATACAAATTATTTTTATCATTCACGAAAATATGTAAATATAAATTATTATCGATAATGAAAAGATTTTTATTGACTAGTTATTTCGAGAAATATATAAGTGATCATTTTTCAAATCATTTGTTTTTCAACTAAACAAACACACCAAAAAAAGACATTTTAAAATATGGTCAATAGTGTAATTTATGAAAATTTGTTATTTATATCAAATGACTGATTTGAAATTGTTAAAGAAATAATGTCAGTGCAATAGTTTCCTCATGCTTTTCACGTTCTTGGGTTACGAGGGAACGAACGTAGATTTTTTATTTGTTGCTAAAACAAACCTTTCATTGCATAAAAAAGGTTCAATTATTACACAGACAAACTAGGACCTACATCAATATGATAAACTAAAGAAGATCGAACGTAGATTATTAAACAGCGATGAATTGCCACGAGAACAAGCCGCTATTGCTTAGACTCTCGCTCATAAAGCGCACACTCGTTTTCATGGAATGAGTGTGCGTTTAACCCTGTCAGTGCTTTGTTGGTTCTCCTTTTTTTTTGAAATTGACTTTATTTTGTAGTATTTAGCTTTGCTCTTGTTCGATTTTATTTGTCATGAAAGTCTATATATTTTTTATGTGTCCTTTTGAGTAATAAATATGATTTTTTTTATGAAAAAGAAAACATAAAAAGAAAGAACCCGTGATGTGCGACGACAGGACCTCATGCCGTGCTTTCCGATCAAGAACACGAGAGGTCATATGTCAAGCATTGGCCAAGCATATATAGTGAGAAAAGCAGCACTTCATTTTCAAGGCACCATGTATACCCCGAGAAAATAAAGTCACTGTCGATTTAAACGTCCAATCAATTCCCGTCGTGTGTTCGATAATTTGACTTAACATCAGACCCGACACCAATTTCGATAGGTCCATCATGACGATTGGGCAAGCAAAAGGCTTGTGACCTCGAGATTTGGGTGAAATGAAGGCTTCGTTTGTTATGCAGAAAAATGAAGAAATAATGACACAAATAATTTTTAAATTTTGACTAAATATATAATTTAATTCATGAACTTTGAATTTGTTCAATGTAATCCTTGAATTTTAACCTAATGTTCAATTTGGTCCTTGAACTTTGAATTTGTTCAATGTGGTCCTCGAACTATATGAAAATGTTCAATGTAGTCATCGAACTTGAATTAATGGAAGGAATACATTAAACATTTTCATACAGTTCGGGGACTGAATTGAATATGTACCAAAAATTCAGGGATCACATTAAACAAATCAAAAGTTAAGGGACTACATTGCACATTGGATTAAAGTTCAGGATATGACCACATTGTTTATTGGGTCAAATTCATGGACTGTTTGTGTCATTTTTCCTTTTACTACTCACAAAAATATTGAGATATTCACCACCCGCCTGGGTGGCGCTGCTGGAAAGGGCACTCTTCCTCTCGCAAAAGGTTGAGTGTTCGAATCCCGGGCGCCGCAGGGTGACTTAATCGGTGCACGTGTGTGGTGGGTAGCAGCGTGTTGCTTTTACTGGGAGTTTACCTCCCATTTGTCGGTCGTGCGGGGTTCGCAGGTTACCAAAAAAAAAAAATTGAGATATTCATGTTGACGATTAAAACATTTCCTATCGACTCATTGATTCAACCGATACAATCAATCCTTTTTAAAAAGGATTTTCGAAGTCATTTATTTTTTGCTAAATAAACGGAGCGGTAGAATGTTTTGAGTTTAACATGACATGATATGGTTTTTTTTACTGTTTCGATCCAGCTCAATGTGTTGGGAAAAAGGACATGAGGAACGCTTCTGATCTGCATTGCATCGACCCAACGGTTAAAATGAAACCATTCATGTGCCCTCTTCAATGAACTTGTCTCCTGGCGGCTGGCGGGTGGGACAGTGACCAAAAACTGTCCAAAATTCTGGACCACAGGAAGGAAAAAAAGAAGAAGAGAAAATTTAAAAAAAAGGAGAAAATTGTTTAATTAAAGATTTTTCGACAACAAAGAAGTCTTTAAGTAAATTTTCAATGTTAATTTTTTTTTAATTTGAAAAATTTAATCATAAATCTTTTAACGATTTACCAATGTAGTCCTTTCCGATCAAAATTGGCCAGAAATCGTTGACGTGGCTGCCGGTTGTTTTACATGGCACGGCCACTGGTGTTAATGTGGATAATTTTTGTAATTTTTTTTAGAAAAATCATATGAATTTTTCCGTTTCTCTTCTTCCTCTACCGGTCACCGACGTCCACGTCTGCAATTACGGACTAAAATTTATCAGAAGGACTACATTAGCAAATTATTGAACGGTTTATGACTAAATTGCCCAAATTGAAAAGTTTAAAACTGAATTGACCGCCGAACAATAGGTTTAGAACTATTTGGACAATTAACCTCATATTTTGGATTACCCACGGCATGAATATAGACTAAACTTATCATTAACTGAAAAAGATTTGAACCATGAATATTATTACGGGGGCAAGTTCTATTGTTTGATCTTACGATATAAACGGGTGATATCTGCGGATTCAAGAGAACATTTCGTACTGTTTCTTAACTTTAGTAGCATAATAGAACTAGAACATAACTACAGTGATATTTAGCAAGTAGGGAGAGCTAAGTTGCTTATAAGGCAATGTTATGTCGTTATGATAGATCGAACACAATGGTCGAGAGACAAACTCGGGTCGATCATTAGGTAGCTGGTGCACGACATGCAGGACCCTCCCTCCATTGAAGAATGGCCTCGTGCGTGCACGTGGAAATGCTCCCAGAATAAGAAATTCTCTCCCCTTCAGATTTCGATGTCGAGTGGCTGGCAATGAACCGTTCAAGCAGTTTTTGGAGACTCGTCAACTGACACAAAATCGATCGGTTATGTTCCGCTAGCTATGTACAGGCTACAGAGGCTTCAGGGCCCATAGAGAATTGCAGGCAGACCTTGAAATGTTTTTGACATCACCACCGAAAAACTTGGCCCTTTTACCAGGTAGAAAGTAAGCTACAGAATGTCTTTCATGTGTCGGTGCTATTATTAAAAGGGTAATTGATATAAATGGTCATTAAACTTTGACCTAATATGCAATATGATTTCGAACTTTAGCCCATTGTGCAATATTGTCCCCGAACTTCTATGTGTTCAATGCGATCCATAAACTTTTAATAGATGTTTAATTTAGCCCACGGACTGCATGAAAATGTTCAATATTGTCCCTGGACTTGAATTAATAGAAAGGCATCATTGAACATTTTTATGCAGTCCAGAGACTAAATTGAACATGTACCATACTGAGCAAATTGAAAGTTTAGAGAGAACATTACACATTCGACTAAAATTTAGAGACCACATTGAACAAATTTAGAATTCAGGGATCATACTGTATATTGGGCCAAAGTTCAAAGATAGTTTGTATTATTATCTCTTACTAAAAAGGTTGGTTACAGCAGAGAACAGAAAGAGGGTATGTTCTGCACAATGAGAACCTCTCGTTATGTTGCTTCTTGCCTACATGAGACAAAGCATGGTTGATCGTAAAGCACGAAGGCTTGTAATTTCATCGGCCAAATTCGATTTTCTAGTGTTTATATTGTAAACCATGTTCAGTTTACGCTTCTGATGCTATTTGTAGTTAACAGTGCAAACAGAGCAAGTTGACCTGTTCAGTGAATGAACATAAGATGGAGGAACACTACAAACCCGAGAATGATACTACAAAACAATTTTTGAAGACAGATAACCAGGAAAGGAGTTATTGCTCACCGACTACCAGGATTATGAGCTTAAATCCTACCGAAGACAATTACCTCGAAATGACCTCCTGTCCTGCTAATCACCCGGTTGAACGGGAGCACTGCCGTGACCGGATGAAATTGACTGAGAGCTCCGGGAGACCCCAATATCCAAAATGGAAAAGAATCGTAACCTTTTAGATGCTAACATTATGTTCGAGAAATGCCAAACTTAAGTAGTAAGGCTCATTCTTTAAATTACGACCGACAGTGTGAAACAATAATGGCTCAGAAATTGTCCTGGAAATGTCACCAGCTCAATAACTGAATGATTGCCAAGTTAAAGAGGTATCACCTGAAACCATTCTTGATTGGAAAGCATTCGCAGCTGCTCAGTTCAGATGCAACACATGAGCATTATCACATCTGGAAAACAAGAATGAGAAGATAGGACAGAGATATTTTGCCCTTGAAATTGGTTGTACAATAGGAGCTGTCTCAACCACTAGCTTTCCCTCTACATATCTGAGCCAGTGACAGATTTCAATTTCTACTACACTGTCAAACTGATTTGAAGTTCCAATTTCAGCAAGGAATATCTGAATTCTTCAACAAATAAATGGGAAAACATATCCCTGAACTGATATTATTGCAACAGGCGCAGTACGGTTAAACAATTCATTGAATAATAGTGAAGGAGGGACCAACAACTGGCACAGCCATCTGGCTTATGAAATAATGAAACCTTGAAAATGATATTTTCAAGGCCAAAAATTCAACAGGAATCTCAGGAATTGGCATAGAGTGCAAAGCTGAAGGAAAACTGCACTGCTCAAGGAATTTGGCGCTGATAAAGAGGCAAAGCTCCCAAGGTCTCACGTTCTGCATTCTCTTTCTTTACCTACAATATAAGATGGAAATTTAGCACAAGCTCACTCCAGTACAGTGTAAATCAAGTTTCAAACAGGTAATGCACGTCACATATTGCAATTAACTACTCAGGTGCATATATCATAACCAAATTCCAATTTGCAGAATTCTGAAAGTATCCCGGAAAACATAAGTGGTGACCAGGAGGTGTATAACATCTAGAATGCCACATTTTTACTGTAACAGGTTCAATCTTTCTCCAATCACGGGCATTATCTTAAATATGCAAGTACTCAAGGTCATACAAAGGCTCAATTTTGGTTTATGTTTTTATCTTTTAAGATCATCTAACTCTGCATTCCAATGGTCTATTTCCTTGCTTATCAGGGGATTAGTTTTTTTTTGTGATAGCATGCCTTTGGTTTTTACCATCATCATGTATAAAGGCCAGACATAAAAATTCAATGATCAAGTATCTCATAAGAAGAAAGCCTAATCATTCGAAGAACCAATGTCAACAGTATTACTAAGAATAAGACAGCCACATGACGCTTAACATAATATAATGACAGCCCATCAAAAAGCCAGGCGCAATGCTCATTATAGTGGGTTTAATAAAAGAACTCACCAGACTCAGCATGTCTTGAAGGTAGCTTCTGAATGGAGTTTGCATAACCTAAGAATTACATGACCAGATTGCACAGATCAGAATATACAGATAATCCGCACAATGAATCCATCTACAGTAATTTCTTTCTCAATAACTATCAAAACAGTCCATAAAAATGAAAAGATTGGCACTGACATAACACACCCTGCCATCCAAGAGATGGATGGTATAGTCTCCAATGTCAGTTTGTTTAAAATGGGCAACCACTTGAATTGTTTAATGGGGACAAACAGCTGAAACCCAAAAGTCTGAAATTCAGTGACTAAAGACAGTCTCTGCTTTTACCATACGAGTTATAAATAGCATACAAACCCATGCTATGCAAGGAGCCGTGTTCCACTTATAATTTAACATAGGTAGTCCATCGTCACAATATATATTGCAATATTAGGTGAATCGGTAATGTAACTGCTAGGAGCATAGATCTCTAATTGTACTTGTGTATAAATTAAGAGGTTGATGGATGGTGTCCACATTCATGACAAACTAGTCTTTGGGCATACTCAGCATTGGCTTGTCAGCTATAAACATAGAATCAGAACTTTATTCTTAAAAGCTAGGATAAATGAATGGATAGCCTATTTAAAAAAAAGAAAATTATTGCGATTGAAAGCGACAAAAAGAAGACAACTGCAATAATAACTTGGCAAAGCTGTGACTAAATCCTATATTGTACCTACAGATGCACGAGTTATGAGTTTGCAAAAGAGCTACCTATACTGCATTCTGCCATGTGTGGTGGTATATTGTATTTTGAGAACATGCAGAGGGAAAGAAATGAATGTTGTTTATCTTCTTTACATAAGAGATAACCATGGCCTCAGAAAAAGTTTGCCCTTTAATTTTACAAGGTCATGTCATTAAATAGAAAACTCAAAATACAATATACCACCACACATGGCAGAATGATTTCTCAGATTTACCAGTTTGATTTCTCAGATTTAAATAGAAAACTCAAGTTTTAAAAATATTATCTGTAGATAATATTACACCTACACTTATGTATATCATGTAAATAGTACCAACTATGTATTGTGTACAAGCTACAGAAACTAATCATCCTTCCAAGTATCGATCAGAAAATCTTAACATATGAAGCTAAGGTGATCCCAAACAAGCGAGTAACAACAATACACGAAAGAACTCTATCAAGATTGCTTGTATGTTGCCATTGTTTGGAATTGAGCAATGGAGGTAATTTCACAATTCAGAAAACAAGAAACTTTTAAAAAGAGAATGGAGAGTCAAACAATCCGCAGATTGTATGAAATATGCCCAGTGTCCCCTTTGTAAATCTGAGAAATCAAACTGGTAAAACGTATTATCATGTTGCCCCGTGGTGTTAAAAGGACCATCATTCTAAAAGTGAATGATGGTTCATAGAGTTATTACGTCACAAGAAACCTGGCCAACAGGGGACCTGGCAAATATAATAAGCAGCCATGCATCAATATACAATTCTTTTCGTGTCAGTTCATAGGCCCAGCAGTCGTGTCCAAAGTGAACTCATTTATCTCCATAAACTTACAAGTCAAACAGATGAGCCAGCTACCTATTAAAAATGCTGAATTCCAAGGGTGCACCTACACATTTGACTAGAGCTTAATCTGTTCTGAAATGCATCTACTTGGACAAAACATCAAACTGGCAGATAAGAACAGGGCAAGCCACATAACACAGAACAAACGGTGGCTAGGTTCGAAATAATACTGAATGACCAAATGACTGCCATTGCACATTGTTGCTACTACCTTTCAGCAAACAAACGATCTAGTTCGCTAGCTCGAAAGTCAAAAGCTAAAGCTAAACAGCAAACCACATTCCACCATAATATTTGCCCAACCACACGGTGCTCATCGACTGAAACCAACTACTCGTTTACTCATCACAAGAGTCGCCGACTAAGAAAACACATGCCCCGTCTAGATTACCAAATCCAAAGCAATTCAGGCCAACACAAAACCAGCACAAACGTCGCCTAACAGGTGTTCTTCATACCTGAAGATTCTCAGGAAGGTACTCATGCTTCATGGACAGGTCCATGGCACGCTTGATCCGCTGGTTCCGCGCGTCCACGATCTCCCTCGGCAGCCGATCGAGCGCCTCCTTCACGTCGAGGTCGTAGTACCCATCATACAAATCGTCATACCTTAGCCCTGCATTCCCAAATCCATCATCCAATCACAAGGTCATCTAAGCTCAAAAGTATTCACTCCCTCACTCACTCACCCCAAGCAAATGAACGAAAACCCAATCAAAAAGAATCTCCGAAGCAGCTCGCGGAGGCGCATGACCGGCCGAGGCAATCAACGCAGGGAGCACGAACGGAGCACACGGGCACAGCACGCGAATTTCAAATGGAAAACTAGGGTTTCAGGGATCGGGAGGGAGGACCGTAATGGCGGAGGCGCGTGGAGAGGGCCTTCATGTGCTGGGCGGCGAGCCAGCTCTTCTTCGGATCCAGAAACGACTGCAGAAGCGACGACATTGTCGGTCCTCTTCCTCGAAGAGAGCTTCGTCCTCTGCAACCAACCACCCACCTCGTATCTCCCCTAGTTTCGCAGGGGACCAACGCGGTGGTCTCCGACGCTTTAGGGAGAGCGACGACCAGCTCCCTGAAGCGGCGTCGTTTGGCTTGTGTTCACTTCTTTTCCTGCTCTATCTTATTAAATTTGGTTGCTCACAATTTAACGCTCTCTTTTATTAAAGATGGCCTCTTCTTTTTGTCCCTTGAATGTTGCATTAGTTTGGCTTACAGATTGCCTTATATATTAATAACTTTGAAAAATATGAAAAAGAATTCAGCGATTTTAATTTAACTTTAAATAAATTTTCCCTATATAAAAAGAAAAATGATACAAATCAAATGGTATATGAACTTTGCCTTAATGTGTAACATGATTTATAAACTTATAATTTGTTCAATAGGGTTCATAAACTGTAGCCCGATATGTAATGTGGTTTCTGAATTTTTAATTTGTTCAATGTGGTTTTGGACTTTTTGATACATGTTCAATTTAGTCATTGAACTATATGAAAATGTTCAATATTGTTTTGCATTTTCATATAGTTTAGAAACTATGTTGAACATGTATCAAAAGTCTATGAACTACATTGAACAAATTAAAAATTCATGGAGTACACTGTACATCGGGTTAAAGTTTAAGGACCCTATTAAACAAATTAAAAGTTCAGGGACTATTGTGTCATTATCCTTGTATGGAACATTTCTCATATGAGAAATGAACTTCAATATGCGATTTAAATGTTAAAAATAAATTCTATCACTTAAAGCATCACGTACGGATGGTACGTATAAATTGATTATAGTCCGAAATTCACTATTTTGAGACACGAATCTAAGTCAAAAATGCTACATCGACTTGATCATGGGTCATTGGAAATCATCTTTTGGATTCGGTATGTGATGATTGATGACAAAAATAGCTCAAAAAGAGAATTTTAAAAATTAAAACGAGAAGTCACCTTTTAACACCCACCCATGGGTAGCTCAGTTGGTTAGGGCGTAGTTGAGATTGTGTGGTTAGGCGCACTGATCCCAGGTTCGATTCCCCGGCTGAGCACTTGTGATTTAAGTGGGGGGCCATGGCGGTGAGTTCTTTGTCTTAGTCTCCCGAGGAATAGTCGAAGTCTGCAAGTTGGCGACATCTCGGTTACAAAAAAAAAAAAAAAGTCACCTTTTAACAATCTAACCGCTTTCATCATCATAAGATTTTCGTGATTAGTCACGGATGTTTTCAGGAAAACAAAAAGAAAAAGAAAAGAGGTGGAAGCAGGCGTGTTCTCATTAATTGATGCGTGCAAAAGCTGATAAATTTGTTTTCATGCATTCATTTTTTTATTAGTTGGCATAAAAAGTTAAAAAAAAAAAACAGAAGAGCAATTAGAAGACAACAGATTCGTTCATTCCCCCTAAACAACATTTTGAAACTGGGTTTCAAATTTACCTTCCAGAACAAAATTCTTAATCATACTCCAATCACCGTATCTTTTTTTTTATCCAATCCGATTCGTCAGAAAATTCAATCAAAAAATTTAAATCGATAAATATAAAGAAGATCGCGTGTATCTAAAAAACATATAATTACCATAATTAGCAGTATTCCAACACGATTCAGATGTTAATCAGATCCATCGTTTAAATCAATCATTACAAGTGATAATAGCAATAAAGATGCGCGGGGTCGGAAGAAACAACTCGGCAAAAAGGAGACGGCGACGACAATGGGTAAGCATTTGCATCGTGCCGCGTCAGCAGGACGAGGTATTAGATCCATGAGAAACTGCTATCGAACAGTGCGCAATGCGCGATGATGAGGGACTGGGGTGCAAAATCACGGGGGCGAAAGTGAGACCTTACAAGTAGGGGGGGGTAAAATTATAAAACTGAAAAACGTGTGTACCTCTGGCATCGCCTGCATGGCGAGGGGCACAGAGACCAAAAACGCGACTCACGTAGCTCCAGGTTCGCCCAAGATCGCGTAGACACCAATGTCATCTCCCACAAGCAACCCTCCCCAACAGAATAAAAGGACAAAAAGCGCACAGAGAGAGAGAGAGAGAGAGTGAGAGAGACAGAGAGAGTTGGTGGGCTTCACGGGCATCTTTCTTCCTTTGCTGTCTTCTGGGTTTGTTTCCAGTTGCGGTTTTTGTAGTTCACGAAGATAAAGGATCACAGAGAGAGAGAGAGAGAGAGAGAGAGAGAGAGAGAGAGAGAGAGAGAGAGAGAGAGAGAGTTCTGTGTTTCCTGTATTTTCTGGGGAGGTGGGTGGTCGGAGTTTTGGGGGGGGGGGGGTTGTGGGGGCGGATGAAGAAGCGAGGAGGGGCAATGTTGCGAAACCCGATATCGATGTGCAGCGGCGGTGGCGGAGATGGGGACTGGGGCAAGAGCGTGGCGGGGAGTGGGCACGACCGGGAGGCGGTGGAGCAGCTGTCGCGGGACGACGAGTACAGCATGAGCGCGGGCATCCTCCCGTCCCTCGGGGGCAAGACCAGCCGCAGGGTCAAGCTGCGCCGCTTCATCATTTGCCCCTTCGATTACCGCTACAGGTCCCTTCCCTCATCGCGTCCCCATTGATGGGACATAGTTTTGCTTCCTTTTCCCATAGATTAGAGTCGATCACGATCCCGCTAGAATTTCACGTGTAGGGCGCGGGATTAGCTCAGGAGTAGGAAACCCGGGTGTGCTTCGGACAGCACGGGTGATCGTCGCACCTGGTTGATGGGCGGCCGGTCTGTACTGTTGTTGCCAATCAGTGTATCTCTATAGGATACGTGAAATTTGATTGGCTTGGTCAAGTTGGAATAAAGTCGACAGTTTTCTTGGACATGTTGTTTAAATCTTTTCTCCCTTTTGTCGGATGGTGCTTTTGTTTCCACTACAGGTTCTTGGTCCAATTGACCGGGGACATCTTTCCCCGGTTTTGGGGTGGAAAAGCATCGAGAGGTTGATGTCCATTAATGCCTTCAATAACCATGCATTATGCACATCCTAAGGCTTGGTCGACTTTGATTTGTTGATGCATCAATAGGTGATCTTTGAGAGTCTCTGTAATTATCGCGCATCATTTGTTTTGAATGAGTGCGGTTGTTTTCGAGTGCCATCATGGAGCTGAAAGTGGGTTGTCCCGTGCTTTTCCCCTTTCAAGGATGGAACATGTTACGGTGGTTTGTAGCTTTCATCAATTTCCCTTAAACTGTCTCCGAGGACATTGATTGATGGTATCTGCTTTTGTCTTACTTTTCAAGTCCTTTGTCAAGGGATAATTAATTAGAATGAGTTGTGCTTCACTGATGGCACACAGTGAACTCTTTGCTTAATGCCCGGCGATAGCTATTTTGTGATGATATACCTTAATTCAATCTCTTGTTGTTCATGTAGAAGTAGCTTCCGCTAATGACATAGTCGAACTTGTGAAAAATTAGATCTCGCTGATCAATAGACAGAGACTTGTATTTCCCTGTGGCATAATGCTGAACTTGTCTTTGAGCAAACCTTTGAACTACTTGCGATGCAATTCTTCATTTTATCGGTTCTTATTGTCGTGAAAGAGGACCTAGCTTTGCCTTGATATAAAGTTCTATCATAAGATGATGGTGGGTGCAGTCCTCGCTATGTCATCCGCTTATTTTGTTCTGATCTGGAATGCTTCTTAATCGGGACACATTGTGCAGACTCTGGCAAACATTTCTGGTGCTTCTAGTCTTCTACACCGCATGGGTGTCACCATTTGAGTTTGGATTTCTCGAGAAACCACAGGGACCTCTGGCGATAGCGGACAACGTCGTCAATGGATTTTTTGCAATCGACATCATATTGACCTTCTTTGTAGCTTATTTGGATAAGGCTTCATATCTTCTAGTCGATGACAGGAAGAAGATTGCTTTGAGATATGTGACTACTTGGTTGGCCTTTGATATTATCTCAACCATCCCCTTTGAAGTTGTTAGAAGTATTTTACCGTCTCCTCTCAAGCAGTATGGCATATTTAACATGCTTCGACTTTGGCGTCTTCGAAGAGTCAGTTCGATGTTTGCCAGGTAACAAGAGTCGACATATATGTTTGACTTCCTAACCAACTTCTTATTGTCGTTTGTCAAATATGGTGGAGATTTACTTTACCATGATCACTGAAATTGTTTGCACTAAAGTCTTCATTTATCTTGCTTGAATCGATCACCAGTAAATGGTTTTCTCTGTTGACGAGCTTGTCCTTGTTATATGTCATCATTTCAATAGATATGTTCAGAACTTGGCACATGGTTTTATTTTCTTATGAATGTAAGGATCATTGCGTTGTCTCATTGTTCTTTCAAGCGACAAAGTGCTGAAATATTAAAATGAAGGCGGCATTTCACATTTTTTTTCCATGGTGACCTAGTTTCTAGCTCTTTGCTTCCTCTTCCAATATGTTACTTACCAATTGTCTTCTTCTTATTGCTTTCAGATTGGAGAAAGATAAAAACTTTAACTACTTTTGGGTACGGTGTGCGAAGCTGACCTTTGTGAGTGTCTTCACTTTGCAATGCAGTTTTTTTGTCCTTATTGTTACCCTTGAATTGAGTGTTCGCAACAAGTAATGTTCACTATACCATTGGCTTGCCCTTTAGGTTACTCTATTTGCAGTGCACATGGCCGCATGCTTCTACTATCTTCTTGCTGCACGCTACAAAGACCCAAAGAACACATGGATTGGGCTTTCAATGGGGGATTTCCACAATAAGAGTCTGGGGCTTCGTTATGTTACATCGATATATTGGTCGATAACCACGCTTACTACCACTGGCTATGGTGATTTGCATCCTGTGAATACGAGAGAGATGATATTTGACATCTTCTACATGTTCTTCAATCTAGGACTGACTGCTTATTTGATCGGAAATATGACCAACTTGGTCGTCCATGGCACCGGCCGAACCAGAAGATTTGTTAGTACACTTTGGCGCATCGCATACATCTGGACTGGTCTTCGTATGCCTTGACACTCTCTAAATTCTGATTTCCATTTCTTTGAAATTGCAGAGAGACACAATCCAATCAGCGTCAAATTTTGCACAGAGGAACCAATTGCCCGTTCGCCTGCAAGACCAAATGCTGGCTCACATAACTTTGCGATATAGAACTGATTCAGAAGGTCTTCAGCAGCAGGAATTTCTTGAAGCCCTTCCTAAAGCCATCCGATCAAGTATCTCACACTTTTTGTTCTATTCGCTGGTTGACCAGGTGTACTTGTTCCGAGGGGTTTCGAATGACCTGCTTTTTCAGCTGGTAATGAGTTTTTACGATCACTACAGGTTCTGTGGATGAAGTATCAGATGACTTTAAACAGTTGTCTTCTGTTCATCAGGATCCTAGTAAATGTGTTATGATTGTCTTTTAGGCATGATTTGATTTGTTAAATTCAATCCCGTCTAGAGTTAAAACACCGACGCTGTTTTGAATTCCCATTCATGGTTGAAGTCTGCTCTATGAAGGTGTCAGAGATGAAAGCTGAGTATTTTCCTCCGAAAGAAGATGTGATCCTGCAGAATGAAGCGCCCACAGACTTGTACATACTGGTCACTGGTACTGTGGTAAGAAGTTAGTACTCATTCCCCGGTTCCAGGTGAATTATTTATGCAGTTCCAGGAATAAGACAAGCTGGTTCTTCAATTAAAATTAGCTTTGTAACTTATCTTTCCTTCTGTTCGAAAAAATACAGAAATTGAACTACTTAACTTCCTGTGAAAGTTCGAAAAAAAAAAAAAAAGTTCTGGGAAAGGATCTTACGGTAGAAAATATTGCTTGCTTTACATGGACCGTTTGTTTGCTTTTCATTTTTCTCTGGACATGAAATTTTGGATACTTCCTTAATCCAAACATTTGATGTATCATTTTTGTGGGATGTTCTATAAGCTGCTGCTCTGACATTTTGGTTTACGGACAGGAACTTATTGTGCAAAGAAATGGAATAGAACAGGCAAGTTGGGCTAAGTTAAGAATGTGTAAACCGATTTTTTTTCCAGTAAGTATATATATGTCTGAGTCAACTCTGATGAAACCTTGGGTGTTTACCCGTGAAACAATTGACTGCAGATAGTTGGTGAGGCAAAGAAAGGAGATGTCTGCGGCGAAGTAGGCGTTCTCTGTTACCGGCCACAGCTTTTTACAGTCAGGACTAAAAGATTGAGCCAGCTTCTACGTTTAAATCGTACGTCCTTTCTGAATATCGTTCAGGCCAATGTTGGAGATGGAACAATTATCATGAACAATCTACTTCAGGTAAGCTTAGATTGCAACTTCACTGATCCAAGTATGATGTTTGACTTATTGTCTCAAAGTTTTTTTTCTTTACCTGAAACCGACAGAAGCAAATATAGTTAATTATGGATGAAAGACAATCAGCAACATAGATGTTTTGCTCAAAGTTGCTTTCTGATCCTCGATTTGTTCAAAGAGAACCAACTCTGCCCAATTTTATGCACAGAAGATGAGAAATTCGTAGCATTATCTGTTTTATGCTTCTTGCAGCATTTGAAAGAATGGAGGCACCCGCTGATGGAAGAACTACTGAATGAGACGGAGCACATGCTCGCTCGGGGGAATATGGAGTTGCCTCTCAGCTTATGTTTTGCAGCAATGAGAGGCGACGATCTACTATTGCACCAGCTTTTGAGACGCGGTTTAGATCCAAACGAAGTAGATAAAAACGGAAGGACGGCAATGGTAGGCCACTTTGTACTTGGAGCTTTCATTTCCATGTTCTCCTAATTCTAACTTTGTTACTCCTCGTGCAACAGCATATTGCAGCATCTATTGGAAGTCAACATTGCGTGACCCTTCTTCTAGAGTTCGGAGGAGATCCTAACATCAAAGGTACTCTACTTTATTTGCATTTCAAAACCATTTTTGCTTCAATATTGCAATTTGTTTGTTAACTTGGAGCATTTCAATACAATTTTGCTTGGAACATTAATGAGATCAGCGCTGCGTCCAATTTCTGTCTCGCACCTAGTTGTAGCTGTACAATTTTCACCAATCTCATCGATGTTTTGAAGAGATGTGGCTGTACTTGTGATAGCATTTGCTATGCAGATTCTGAAGGTAGTGTTCCTCTTTGGGATGCCATAGTAGGGAAGCATGAATCCGTGATTAAGCTACTTTTAGACAATGGTGCAACGATTTCATCAATCGAAGTGGGCCATTTTGCTTGCGCTGCCGTTGAGCAAAACAATCTAGAACTTCTCAAAGACATAGTCAAGTATGGCGGGGATGTAACACTGCCCACTAGCAATGGAACTACACCTCTTCACACGGCTGTATCCGAGGGCAACATCGAGATAGTTCAGTTCCTGTTAGACCAAGGAGCCGATGTTGATAAGCCCGATGTATACGGATGGACCCCGAGGGCTTTGGCAGATCACCAGGGCCACGAAGATATAAAGCTTTTGTTCCAAACGAAAAGAGTAATCATTGTCTCAAGTGGGCAAGGGTTTGGACATCCTGATAGTATCTCTAATAAACGGGAGGTGCCGTATCTTGCCAAGTACCCAAGCGAGCCCTTGATACCTTCGGCCCTCAGTCAGCACTCGAGTGAGCCCTCGATCCCTCCATTTGTACAGGATTCCATGCCAACTATTGCAGAGGTTAATTGGTCAGATAATCGACGTCGCCGTAAAGCCAACAATTTTCAGAATTCTCTTATTGGGATCATGTCAGCTGCAAATACAGGTATAGAACAATTGCTCCTTTTATTTCATATATCTCCAACCTTTTCGAGTATTTAATGGTACTTATGTACAATATCCTCAATCAAGGAGTTCGATATATATGCGACAAAAAAAAGGAGTTCGATATCACTAGATGATTATTTTAATATGACAGACTGACGGTGAAACAGTTTGGATGAAGCAAATATATGGAGTGTCTCACTAGCTTACCCACATTGGTTCTTCCCTTTGATAGTTTAGTTGGACATTAGAGGCTCGAGCACCGAACTTGATGTTGCGGTTCACGAGCTTAAGAAAGATAGAGCTATATTTGGACTTCTGCAAAAGTCTCTTGAGTTGTTCTTAGAATTGACATATCATGCGTTGAGATTGTCTCTGATTGCTCAAGCATGAATCTCACATTGTACATATGTCATTATGCAACTCATGATAGAAAATGTCAGCTACATATTCCCCGAGTTTCGAAGACAAGCCTTTATCACAAATTTTGGATTCTATGCAGGTGAGAAGGACATTATTTCATCTCCTGGCAAGTTTGTTAATTGGAAATTAGGCAACCCCCCGGCTCGTGTAACGCTCAGCTGCCGAGAGAAGGGTGAACTCGCCAGTAAGCTTGTGCTGCTGCCTGAGTCTATTCAAGAACTTCTCCACATTGGTGGTAGGAAATTCGGATTGAATTTTACGAAAGTTCTGAGCAAAGACGGAGCGGAAATCGAAGAGATAGAGCTCGTTAGAGATGGCGATTTTCTTATACTGGTTGCAGAAGACGGAGATGATAACTCACATCTACCAAGGAAAAAAGAGTCAAAGGATACAGAATTCCTCTCTAGATCACAATAAGCAATTCGCTAATTGAGATCTCAAGCTCGAGGGTGCAGTAATTGCTGGTGTGATTTGGACATATAACGTTTTTCGGGGTTTCGTTTCGTTTTCAGTATTTCTCCCATACACCGCATGTTTAGTTTAGAGTATACATGGAGGGAACAGAAAGAAATGAAGGATTTTAGTGAAGATAGATGGCTTACACACTTCACAGTGAATGCCATGAAGTGGAGATAAAGTGTTGGAATCAGCTAAGCGGGTTGAAGTTTGAATTTTTGGTTGGATGACTGTACTATGGATAAACTCAGTGAACCTTCTTCCCGGTCGTTTGTAAATTGATACAGATAAAGAATTTATCGATACAGGATGTTTTTGCCAACATGTCATCTTCCCTTTTCGCCTGTTCATTATCTTATCCACTTTTTCCTTACGAAGAAGTTGAAGAAGGATCTAAGAGCAGACACTTCAAATAGAACTGCCAACGAATTGTTCCGACACGGTGCCACGGAATGTTATTTCAGTCACAAATGCAGCTTAGATGTTTTACTTAGGTTATTCAGTTGTAGTCCGTGGAATAACATTGTTCAACTGATTGTAGTTGTGCTTTAATTGTAGAGCTCAGACATTCAATAGAGTCCAAATAATGCTTGCACAAGCTAAATTCTGTCTACATCTCTTACCAATACTTTCACTTTTTAATCCTTATATCCATCCCCATCTCTAGTTCCCCTTCAAATGTATACTCTAAAAATTTTGAGTAAGGAAAAAAAAATTTCCGTTAGGTGGTTATCCTGTGGAAGATGCTTCAGGCAATCAATCCTACAGTTTTTGGCTTTTTCTTCAGCTTTTCCTTTGGCCTGTTATACTCTTGTCAACAGTTTATACAGAGGAACTCAAACTATGCTATTCGATAATATTAGGAAATTTATCGAAGTATCATGCTCGAGAGGCATCTTCTGGGCGGACCTACAGAACCGAAAGCCAGTGTAAGTGCAATAGAACTGAAAAAAACTTATGATACATTCATAGAGTGAAATTTTTGGTTCCTCACACGAAAGAGCATCTCTTCTTTGAAGCTCACAGTTCTGAGCTTCAACTCGCCTCTACTTGTTGTCATCTCGTCCAATATCTCAGCATCATAGAAATCTTCTTCGCTGTCCTCATCACCAGAATCAGATGGTCTTATGTCCTGCTCAAGCATAAAATGAATGTTTTCATTCATTACGAAAGTGAAAATGTTTGGAATTCCAACGAAGATGGAAAGTTTTTTGGAAGACAAATTCCAAACAGCATTGTAGTTGTGCTTTAATTGTTCAACTGACATATGCATAGGTATACCTTGAATGAGAGGCTTTGACTGCGGTATGGGGTGGCAGCGATTTCTTCGTACTCGGCAGCATCCAACTCGTGAAGATGATCGTGCTTAAACAGCTTGGGAAGAATGTGCTGCCTTATGCTTATAAGAAGGAAGAATGGCAATGGAAACAATATGCCAGCAATAGGCACCCACGTCACCCCATAACAGATGAGAAGATACACAAATTGGAAGAGTGTAAACACTGCGATGGATTTGAACGGTACTGATTCGACAAATGAAGCATGAACTCCTTCCAGAACTCTGCTTACAGAAAGGAAAGGTAAGATCAGGACAGCATGATAATGACCTGCAAAATCGTAAATAGTAAAAACATGATATTTGGAGTACTGTACGGCGAAATCGAATTTTTTAGTGCATATTACATATTTTCCGCTCTCAAACATCACAACTTGCCTTTACTCAAAAGCATAGTTAATTTGCAAGCAACCTCCGGGTCACCATATCAAATCAATTTATAAAGTATGAGCAACTTGTAAGGTCCGCGGCTTACTTGTAACGTCGACCAGGGGTGATGAAGAGAAGCAAAATCCTTTCCCAGAACTGATTCCCTGGTAGACTATCAATAGCCATGTAGGCGAAGTAACCCCAAAGAACTGATGTAGGTATTAGTTTAATGACAGGTATCGCACATACTGATATTCCCACAAGGCATGATTGCAGCAGGTTGCTCATCCTTTGCTCATTGACTCTGACGGGCAAGTGGGCGTCGATGTACTTCTCGGGGTCAAATTTAGTGTTTCCGTCTTCTCCATCATCCGCTTTCAAAACCGCCTCCTTCAGGTCCTGCAACTCCTTAACTGTGGAAGTGAACTGCAGAAAGATATCCACCATGCTGAATGCCAAGTAAAAGCTATGCATATTTGCGCAAATGGAGAAAATCATGCGCACTAATGGAACTTACGGTTGGAGTCCTGTCCATTTCAATGAACACTTCTTGCATCTTTCCATAAATCTCGGAATTGGTTGCTCGTTGCTTCATGCATTCCTTTGCGCTCTGAACCATCCTCTTTCGAATCATCTGCACAAAAGCTCCTTTTAACCACAGTTGAGAGAAAATAAAAAGAGATGCTTCACTACCAGTAAAGATAGAACTTTCTTAACATTCCTTCCAGACCTGCTTATTGAGAACAGCCAGACTCTTAGTGTGCATAGGAGACTGTGGGAGTACTCCATTGGAAGGAGGAAGTCCAAGTAATCCGCATAGCAATGTCTGAAATCCAAAATGATAGCACTTAGCAAAACGTTAGCCTAAAATCCTATTTTAAATGAAATGGGCATGATCAGCTACACAGGTACCAATAGTCCAAGCAAAAAGATGTCGTAATGGTAAGCCGATGGTTTCTTGAGATTGAACTCCTTCTGTTGAGCCATCTGTGAAGCCACGCTGTGGTCGAAGAAATAGAGCCCCGCTATCATCACCGCTGGTATAAAAGCAGCGAATATGTATGTCGGAGGAACTTTCCACATATCCTGCAAATTGAGGGACAAAGGTAATGAATTCGCATAAGTTATAATTTTGAGAATGTGACTAAGGTCATAAGGAAGGGGGAAAAGAACGCAGATACCAGTCTTCAAGACCTATTGGAAAACGTATAGCAACCTATGTAGATATGTTGATACTTAAGGTGCAATAATATGAAGATTCAAGAACTAATACCTCAATTACTGTCCAATGGTGCAGAGAAGCAGATTCCCAGGGGAGTGGACAAAATAGTCTTCTTGGAACTCCATCGGGAACTCTTTTCGGAACTGCGAACGATAACGACGTCCAAGTAAGGACCATAAGAGGAACACCGTAATCAGCTATGAATCCGCGGAACCATCCTGATGAACAACAGAAGGAAACAATCAGGAAAAAATGGGGAAAAAAGCAGAAAAATTTACTTAGAGAACAAAAAGATAAAAATAACCAAGAACAAAGGTTAAGTTTGTGTACCAGTGCTATATCGCCAAGACCTTGCCTTTCTGCTCTTGAGTGCAGTATAGAGCAGGCTGATAGCAAAGATAATGGCGAGCAATCCATTTGTATAGAGCCACTGGAATTGATACTTCTCTAGAACTGGGTTGTCAGCTTTAGGGATGTTGAATTCGCTGATTAACCCCTGTTGAAAAGGTACTCATGAGGATTAATAACCACCAATTTATTTAGTCCTGTTCCAGTTTAGCAATTTTTGAGCCGCATGTAAGCTATATGGTACCTTGATGGCCTCTTGCATGAAGAGAACAGTAATCAGCATGCCAAAGAGTTCCCCTGCTATCCTAGTGAATCTCGTAATGATCGTGCAGGCATTGAATATGGCGAGAAGAAATAGCAGTAATGCTGTCCAGACACATACCCTGCAATTGATGCCGTACTGTGAATTGGCCATATACAAGTTTTGATTCATGACACCAACGTAGCTCTATATGACCATAGGAGATAGGAGAGCTTCAATTCCTTACCACCCAACCCAAGCCAAATACAACTCGCTCCCCAGGTCCGACCTCCCCTTGGCAAAGTTGTACAGATAAGTGTACATTATAACTGTCGGTTCCGCGACCCCTAAGATCAAAAGAGGCTGGCCACCGAAAATCGAGTGGATAATCCCACATATAGCAGTGGAAGCTAAAGTCTCGACCGTACTTAAACTGCCATCTAACATTCGAGTGTAACATAAGTGCATGACCAGTGTAAAAACTAGACATGAATGGACAAAGGAACTTCAATCTCTCTCCTTAGTGAACTGTAGTTTTGATAATGAGAGTGAGAATCGAAAGACTCACTGGTGTCTCGACTTAGCTGCTCCCCGAAGGCTATAACAGGAAGAGCAGAAGCAAAGAAGATATATGCTGTTGGGGCCAAAATCCTGAACATAAACGATCAAAACCACCTTCAGCAAAAAGATCTAGAAATGTTCTCTTTTCCAAGGATGAGATCTAATTTCTCAGACCGCAGGGTAGAAGTAAAATCAATCAAGAAAAAGATGGTACCTCATGCCTGAACAAAACCCACAAGCCCAGTCCTGCTTGTAACATGCGGCTCTTCCTCTGGCATCTTTGACGATCCCTTTGAAGGGGGTCTTGAGACACTCCATTGCTGCTGCAACAAAAGTCATTAAATGGGGTATTCAGAAATACAGCGAGATTCAGTAGCAACATTGTTGAAGAAGAGACTTACTATAAGTTTCTCTGTAGCTCCCTGTCTGTGCTTCTCTCTCGGGCAGCAGAGATTAAGAATGCTTGGAGGAGACCGAGACTGTGACTGTTGTCTTTGTTGACCTCAGTCACGTTCGGAGCTTTTCTCCAGGGGAGAAGAGAATGTGTCGTTTCTTGTGTTTTGCATGAATATATAATTGTAGTCCCCCCCACCCTCTCTCTCTCTCTCTCTCTCTCTCTCTCTCTCTCTACGTTTGATATTTGCGCGTTTTCCATAGCTGGACGCACAGCAATCAAGGGAGAAATGTATTTTTGGCCTCAAGTGATGTGATGTGATGCTTCACGGAAGGAGGGAATGAGACATACAAAATGCGTTTCTTCTTGCCCCCCATAAACCTCTCTTCCTCACAAAGCAAAAGAAAATTTTGCTTCGTGCTAGATGTCAACCCGATATCAATGTCAACCGATCAAATCGCGTACTTGTTTCTAACGATACGATGTGTAGGAAAACCGCAGTAAATACGACAAAATGTTATCAGCGATCAATGTCGGTCATCGTGCAAAAAATTCGATTGAAAAAATAGCATAATTTGCATTTATAAAATATCTTGAAAACCCTGACTTTTACATAACAAGAGAAGTGATATAGCCGTGAAGTGATATCTTCTCCTAAGAACCATACTATATTGGTTAGTAAGAACTAGCAAAGTAGGGTTAGATGCATTTATCAAGAAGATAATTAGCCCATGATATTAGCTATACATGGAAGTAAAGAGACCTACCATCATCACCAGGAACGGCTAATTTAAGATTTTTTAAGACAAATCAAAGTGAAAGAGATGGGGTCAGCAACTCTCTTGGCGGGTGCAAGCCTGTAATATCAAAGTGAAAGAGATGGGGTCAGCAACTCTCTTGGCTGGTGCAAGCCTGTAATATCAGCTGTTTTGAGTCCATTACAGTGGCTGGTTGAGCCCACAAATTGACACGAAAGTATGGCAAGAGAATGCAGGCGATTCACACGCAATGAAGCATGTTAGCCACACCGTGAATTATGTTACCCTTGAAGTTTGGCCGGCACAAAGTAATTTTCGAGGGACTAAATTGTCAAAAATTCTATGGAATTATGGACTTAAGTGCACAAATCAGTGAGTGCAAAAACTACATCGGAAAAACCAAAACAAGGTCGATAGAACGTGAACTGTCTTCCTAAAGTAGAGATGACAGATGGTGGGGCACAGACATATATTTCGTGCATCAACCGATTTGCATTAAAATATTACGTATCTATGATGATGCTCTAGGGATATGAATCTCAATATCTTTATTTCCCAAATTTATGTGAAAAAGAGAGAAAAACAAACAAAACTTGAAGAAGGGTATCCTAATCTTGTGCGGACTTTGAATGAGCATTGACAATCATTTCAGTTTGAATCAAGGGTTGAAATGAAAGTGAGGATTTAGCATTAGCTATTGTGGTATTATTAATTTGTTCTCTCTTTACTCTTTCCAATCATCTGATAGTTCCGCTGGTCCTATATGTTACTTTCTTGCATGTAATGTGACGGGAAAAATTGTCTAAAAAGTCCTAAATCTATTGTACGGCAGTAAATTCAATCTTAAACCCTTCAATTATGCCAATTTAGTTATAAATCTTTTGACAATATGCCAATATAGTCCTTCTGGCTAATTTTGACCGGAAATCGCTAACGTGGTAGTCCAATTAACGCTGGTAGTCCTACATGGCATGGCCGGTGTTTTTTTTTTTTTTTGGTCTATCATATCTCTAACTCTCGTCACTCTTTGACTTTTGCTTTAACTTCTGCAAAGTGCGGGAGTTGAACTCTACACCTGTAATACTAGCGTCCTCACTCCCCAGTCATTTTATCAGTAGGGCTGCATGCATACCTATTAACGCATGACTGATGTTGACGTGAACAATTTTTTTAATAATATTTTTTTTTTCCTTTTCGCCAATGGCATGTCTTAGGCGATTGCCCGACGACCGGCCACAGATAATGTCCTGTGAGGGTTGCCCTCGCTAGCTACCCCTCGGCCACGGTTGGCGAGGGCCTGGGAAGTGACCCTACATAGATATGGCGTGGGTCATGCTCGTCGCTTGTGACCGGTGGCGGCTTGTAACCCCTCTCCTATGGCCGGTGAGGGTCGCCGGGTCCTCACTTGCCACAATGAAAAAAAAAAAATTTCTTTTAAATTCCCAAAATTATAAAATAAAATGAAAAAATTGTTTAAGCTAGAGTGTGCCGTTTAGCAATTCTCGGCTAAAATTACCCGGAAAGACTGCATTAACAAATTGTCAAAAGATTTATGACTAAATTGATATAATTGAAAGATTTATGATTGAATTAACATCCATACTTTTTTGGTAATTTCTTCTAATTTGATGTGAACTCACACTAAACCTCGTATACAAAGTAAATATCTCGCAAAAGCAAGCTACAAAAATATAAAGATATTTAAGAAGATTCTATTTCTGATTTATAAAAAGAAGGACATGAATTAATCATTTTATTACCTTCTAATTGAAAAAAAAAGGAAAAAAAAGAAATTTTCTTTTTCCCGCTGTTTCTTGGCTGTGCCAGCTAGGTGATGGAATAAGAGTCTCTCGGATGAATGTGAAGGCGTACAAGGTTGGTAGTTGGTACTTTGTCTTCTACTATTGCACAAATGAATTGTGCATGTTACCTTAGATCTGGTGTAATTTGGACTTTTCTGTAGCTGTTCTACTGCATTTTTGGCCATCCAATAGAACCCAAATGATTGGGACCAGAAGCTTAGCTAATACCAATAGGGGAGAAACTATCAAATTGTTGTATAGTATCGCATCATAAGCTGATGTGACATGCATTTATATAATGAAATCTAATCGGAAATTAATTAACATGTGTACTTGACATGGCAATCAAATAAAAAAAATTAAAAATCAACCTCGTTTTTTGTCTCTCTCCTTTCTCCACCATCCTCCCCCTCCTCCATCCACTGTTGCACGTCCACGGTCGAGCCACCCCTCTAACTGCTCATAGTGGCTGCCGTCCATGGCCAAGCCATCAAATTTGTTGTAGATCGTCCATTCGCTTCACTAGAACAGAGAAAAAACAAAACTGACAATTACTGGAGATCGTCCCATCCGTCGACGGCAATGAATGCGACTAACGAAGTTGAGATATGGTCGTCATGACTCCATATCCGGTCACGACTGCGAGCAACGAAATCCAGATTTGGTCGGCCAAATTTGTTTGGCGAAATCTGATTTGCGGCACCGAAGGCATAGGGGGGAACTCGCCACGGGGTGCAGCGACCACGACGGGTGGGCTCGAGGATGGTCGTTGCGGCAGGTTGGGCGATGGAAACGGTTTTAGATCTGGTGATGGACGATCCCTGCTGCGAGTGACGATAAGGAAGGGGGTGGCTCCGCCATGGATCATGGTTTCAGATCTAGCGATGGTCAAACATGGCCACGAGCGACAATAAAGAAGGTGGCTTAATTTGTTTGCGAGTTGCAGCAACGACGGAGGGATGGCTCGACCATGGACCTCTTGATCAGTCGACGGACGACTGCATATGGTGGAGGAAGGAGAGTAAAAACAAAAAGAAAAAGGTTGATTTTTTATTTGATTGCCATGTCAAGGACATGTGTTAATTTCTAATTGGATTTCGGTACATAAATACATGCTACGTCAGTCTATGACGTGATACTATACAATCACTGAATATTTTCTCCAAATTGATGGGACGAATTAAGGGAGCCATCAACTTTAGGAAGATGTAATCGATCATACAACCAGAAAGTTTCCCATGATGCGCATGTTTCTCATGATCATTGCCATGTCGATAGGGTTGGTATTTCCCCACTTGCAGCTTTCTGATTAGAGATCACCCGAAGCTTTTATTGATAACTCAGTTTGTCGTCGCTAAAGCTTTGCAATTAGGGAGAGAAGAGGAGCAGGCTTGAGCTAGTTGCTTGGGCGAAGTGTCGTATGCTTTTAGGGTCAGCCGACGAGCCCATCATGATCCATTTACCATGCTGGCCCAGTTTCCACGTCCAGGCCCACTACATCTCACGAAACACTTCCTACCTATGTCGAGAGATCTGATCAGTCAGCTGCTTCGCGGGAAAAATCATATGCCTAGCATTGTAAACGTAGGGTTAGAAAAAAAAAATGGAAATCAGAACTCGGCTTGGCTCTGCTCGTCTCGATGAGTCCGAAAACATTGTTCAAGGGTCGTGTAAACTGTGTGCAGGTTCGTTGGGTCTTCAGGCGGACAACCGTATATAGGCGCCTTAATATGGTCCATATGTCACGGGTCGAAGGTTTTCAAGACACAAGAGGTCTGAGAAGTGGTCAAAATGACCGAGCAAGTTTTGAAACTTTAAGAGTTTAGGGTTTTCATGGGTACTCTAAATGTTCTTATTATGAGTAATGTACATTTATTTTCCAAAGAATTCTTATAATTAATGGGTTAGACGGTAGCTAATGCAGCTTTAGATCAAGGGAAGATTTACGATTATAATTAGAAAAGCTCTAGTATATATGGCGTTCCCTTCCTCTTATCCGTATTATCTAAAAAATCCAACACAAGAAGAATAACATAACATTCTCTCCTAAAACACTCCTCTCTCTAAATTTTCTCTCTGCTATCCGGGGTGGGATCGGAGGGAAGGCTGAGCTTAGGCAACTCTAGAAAAGGTCAAACAAGTCGAAGGAAGCCTAGGTGCCACATGGTCACGATCTCAAGTGTCAGGCTTGTGACAAATATGGGCCGTCTAGTAATTTTCAAGCCTCGAATTTTGGGTGATTTTCTTGTATCAACGAATGTCAGCCAACCTTTATATTTTGGTCTTACCATAATCCTACTTCGATTATTTAATTTCTTCTTTTGTTGCATCACAATGAAAAACCGAACGGACGTGTGAGGGTGTGCAATCGCAGCTATCTAGTGTAGTGATGATCAAGCCTAAAGCTGATCAGTCATCACAACAATAGGATTATAGGAAGATAGCGCGATCATATTGAGTCTTACCAGGCCTCTATACAGATGAAGCTTGGGAGCAACATTCATCCAAGATTACAAAATAATCAGAATCATCTGTGAAATGGAAGGTGACCGAGAATTGTCTAATTGTCGTGCCTTGAATTATTATTCTTGAAATCTGGCGAGGACAAAGTAATTTTCTTCGGGAGCATTGATTTTGTTCGCACAATACTTTTAGTTTATATCATCAGACACGTTATTTTTGAGGGACTGAATTAGGACAAATTCCTATAAAATTTATGGACTTAAGTGCACAAATCACAAGTCTAGAGACTACATTGGAATTACAAAAGTAGTTTGATTAAATGTGTACTGGTTTTTTCTAAAGTTGAGATGGCAAATGGGACGGGATAGACATCTATTATGTGCATCAGCCATTATGCACACAATATTTTGTATCTATGCTACTACTAAGAAAAATATCAGGAGGTCCTAGAATCGATTCCTAGAACAAAATCAAGAGTTTAGACCAAAGTGTTGGGAGCTTTGCAGTGTCATTCAAAAATACCAACATGTGTAGATTGTTTACGCGTGGTTGCATATCGACGAATCTGTATTTACCCATCGCTTGCTGTGCCGACTCAAGAACTCATACTTTGTTACTATATAAAATTTTGTTGTCTTCACTACCAACAGTTTTAAAAGTTTAAGCTGTAATTTAATATTGGAATACTCTAACTTAGAAATTATTAACTCACATTTGAGCTAAGAAACCAGCTCATGTAGTGAATTGAGAACTAGGAGTTAAAAAGAAGAAATAAGAAACCATCTTGTTTGGGTCCGATAATCCTCTTTTCCCTTTCATTCCATTCCCTTTCTTGTTTCTTGGTCTCTTTTGCAATCTCATGTGCATTTCAACTCTTTGATGAATTCGATGTTGCTATTTAAGTTTGCTAATTCGCGAGGACGCAACGATCCATTGCCCCGATAATGTTGAACTGATCACTAAAAACGATAAAAATGAATGAAATCATCTTATAAAGATTGATTAGTAAGACCTGCCCTGCTCTAAAGAGCACATTTAGGGATCATCAATTTAAGCGATATAGGCCGATTGCTTGGGGGGTAAACTATATAAACTACATATTGATATTGACAATTATGTACTGATTTTTTTTTTCTCTTAATAATATTGCAGAGATTCAATATAAGTGCTTATCATTTATATTATAAGGAAAAAAAGAAAAGAAAAGAAAAATCAGATAAAATTAAAATAAGGGTATTCTAATCTCGTGTCAACCCGAACAAGCAGCATCCATTATTCCTCTTTGAATCGAGGGAATCGAGGGTCAATATCAAATTGTGAATTTAGCATCAAACATTGCGATATTATATATTTTTATTTTCTCTTTCCAATTATCTGAGTAGTTCCATCAATGTCACACGCTACGGGTGCTGCGGACTCAGAATAAACCTTGGATACAACTTCTCATAAATAGCATCCTAGAAGAATTCATAGATATTCAAAAAAAGGGACATGAGTAGATGATCATGGCATTGACCTTTAAATGGGAAAAAGGGAACAACGCATTCATATTCCCAACTCTTCTTTTGTTGGTCCAGCCAAAGCGTCTCTCGAATACGCGTGCCCAAGATCGGTCCTTTTTGTCTTCTAGTGTTTGCACAGATGAACTGGACATGTTACCCCCCCTTTTGCCTTCCACCGTTGCCCCAGATTATTCCTCGTGCATTCTGGACCATCCAAGAGATCGAACTGATCGGGCCTGAAAGCGACCTTGCACCAACCGGCTGCGTCGACCAAGGATGCCATCGACTCTCGGAATCACCAATTCGTTCCGAGGCCGCAAAGTCAAAAACAAGGGGCATGTGGATTGCAGGGAACACGGCGTTGGGAAGAGAGCCTGATAATTAGAATCAAACCCGAACCAGCATCAGCTTGACGTGGAAAGAGAGGGGAGACTTGTCCGGGCCCTCGTTGTTACCAGTGATCGTTTCCATTTCCAAGAGGTTTCGCATTTCCCGATCGCAACATTCCGATCAGAGACCGCGCGGTCTTCTTGTTGACGATCGACCCTCTCGTCGCTATGGCTTTGCAATTAGGGAGGGGGAAAAGAGCAGGTTTGAGTAAATCTGTCAAACGGGTAGGTCGAGTCGAAAATGGTCCGACCTAAATAGATCAATTTAATCCCGTTTGACCCATTTTCATGTAATGAAAATTTAATAACCCATACCCAATCTATACCCCACCCTGATCCGATCCATATTGTTAAAACACTTCCATATTTAACTAAATCTACGAAAACTCATACCCAAACTAATATGAGAATGCCGAATAAGTGAGCGCGATATTGAGTGATGGCGATAGAGTTGGGTTGAGTTGAGTTTAAATAAGTTGTAAATCTATTTAACTCTTATATTATGTTTATATCCATTTAATGAATAAAATTAATCAATTTCTGGAATTTATTGATATATGAATTAATAAATGAATTTATGATTCATTTTGACAGATATAGGCTTAAGCTAGTTAGTGGGGGCAAAGTTGCCGGTGCCGTAAGTTCGTAGGTCAGCCGACGAGTCTGTGATCCCGATTCCTCTGCTGGTCCTAGATTTCATGAGAGAGTTCCGGACCAAACGACGGCATCTGATCAATCAGCTGGTTGGCGGGAAAATCTTAGGCCTGTAGCTTTCAACCTTTTGCCATTTTGATATTATTCCAACTTGGATTATTTAATCACTTCTTTTTGAGTGCGAGGCAAAGGAATGGTTGGTGATGGTCAAAGACTTGATCAAACTCACATTAAATAAAAAGGGAACTTTTTGTTTTTCTTTTCTGCTGTTGGGTTGGCGTTTAGGTTATTGCTTTTTGTATTCGATCCCCCAACCGCGCACGCAATCTAGGAGCCTTCCCCATCAGGACAGTCCTCAACCAAAGCGAGTTCGAAATCATCCGGCGTCTTTGCGGAGCCACTTAATCAGGTATGCCTCCTGTACGCTCTCGGTCCCTCCCACGCATGCCGACGCCGCCATCATCACCGGCCTCCGCAGGACCTCGCCGTCGCCTGTGTCGTCATGCCGCCGCCCGCCTCTGCGCTGACACCCTTTGTCTGCCTCAGATCTGGTACGGCTCGACTCGACTGAGTCGCGAGCTCCTCTCTCCTCCTTCTCTCTCTCTCTCTCTCTCTCTCTCTCTCTCTCATCCCCCATTGTGCGCATCCCCTTCAGCCCTCAATCTCTCTCTTTCTTGTCACCACCACCGTCGATCCTGACGAGACGGTGGTGGCAACGAGCCCGAGCCCGAGCCCGAGCCAACATCGAGGGTTTGAGTCGTGCACGAGTCTCGAATCACGGGCTCGGCCGAACTCGACCCGAGCGAGCGAGGCCTACATACGAGGTCTGTTGGGGTTGGCGACGAGCCCGAGCCCGAGCCCGAGCCCGAGCCAAGATCGACGGTTTGAGTCGAGCACGAGTCTCGAATCACGGGCTTGGCCGAACTCGACCCGACCGAGCGAGGCCTACATACGAGGTCTGTTGAGGTTGGCGACGAGCCCGAGCCGCGATTGAGGCTCGAGTCGAGCGCTAGTCTCGGACCCCAGGCTCGGCCGAACTGGACCCGAGGTCGCTCGCTCGATGCGGTCTGTTGGGGTTGGCGACGAGCCCGAGCCGAGATTGAGGCTTGAGCCGAGCACGAGTCTCGAATTACATACGAGGTCTGTTGGGGTTGGCAACGAGCCTGAGCCGAGATTGAGGCTTGAGTCGAGCGAGCCCTACACACGAGGTCTGTTGGGGTGGGCGACGATCCAAGGTGGGTTTTCCTGAGGTCGGGAGCTGACGACAACCGCGGGCGAAGTTGGGTTAGCAGAAACGAGTCGGGCGACGAAGGAAAATTTCTATATTTTTAGACAGAGAATCAAAGTATCTTATATCTAATATAGTTCCCACTACATCTATAGGCTGGAGGTAGCTAGCTGGGTCGGTTCGTCGGCGCGAAGTCTGGTGGTTGGCTCGCCGGAGATGGCAGGGTGGAGCAGCGGCAAGGGTGGAGGCACGGCCGCGACACGGTCTGACGCAGATTGGAGAGAGGGAGCGAGGGTAAGTCCTGCTAGGGTTTCTTTCTTGCACTCACTGATTAGTGTGAGGAGGCTTTGACCCCGGAGAGGCTCTCGGGTGGCCCGCCGTCAGGGGTGGTCGTCCCCGGCGGAGCCGATGATTTCACCACCTCCAAACGCGATCTATGTACATTATGTATCTGCATATGTGTACATATCTTCTGGCTGAACGTTCAAATGTGCATATGTGTTGGTATGTTCTCCTCCAAACCTCCAAAAAGCAAAAAAAAAAAAAAAAAAAAAAAGGGGGGGGGGGGTTGTGTCAACACCTTTTTCAACACCCTTTTTTAACAATACTTTTAATCTGTCTGAATTTTTTAATGAAGTCTTTCACCGTGTGAATTTATGTTCATATAATATGCTCTATGCATAGAGGGATCGTGTCGATTCCATATAATTGTTGGAAATCGGTCCACATTCTAGGATATTCAACAACATCTCACTTGCACGGCTTGTAACATGTCATTAACTAATCACATTGTTTGGCCCGTCTTGCACCATGTTTTACACGTCAAAATTTTCAATTAAGACTCGCATTTGAAATTGGTTTACCGTTCTACATGCCGCTGTCCCGCATCACTTCCGATGCAAACGATGAAAGAGAGAATGTTCTGTTCCAAAGGAGAAATTATAAATGACGAGTTGAAACTTGAAACTTGAAACTAGGGTTTGCCATTGGTGGGTCGTGCAGCTGAGTGACCTCTTTTTGTACGTACACATGCATACAGATCGACCTCATTTGCTTTCACGTAAACCAACAATAGAGCTCTTCTCTTCTCGTTCTATTCAGGTACCCATTGGCCTAGCAGATTCTTCAAGATCAATGAAGCCCTCCAGCATTACGACGCCCCTTCTCATCCCTTTTCTACTCGCCTTTCTTCTGCTCACTATGCAGGCAAATCTCTCTTGTGCTGCTGGCGGTACCGCCACTCATGACCGTCCTCCAGACACACGTACGTAAAATCTCTCTGTGACCTTTGCTTGTACGCACAGAGTATACATATAACCACAGCACAACAAATCACGACTGCAATAAAACCTCGTGGAATTCAATGGACACATTCGACTCATTTCATTCAGGTCTTACATTGTCCTTGCAGATTCTCCCACTACTTCTCCACTTGCCCATCCGATGGCGGTGCGGTCTCATCTCTCTCGTGTTTACGTCGGAACCGCCGCTCACTACAGTCCTCCATACACACGTATGTAAAATCAATCTTTCTCTCTCTCTCTCTCTCTCTCTCTCTCTCTCTCTCTCTCTCTCTCTCTCAACTTTGATTACTTGTTTCAGCAACTGCGTGTTACGGCAAAGATCCAGCACAATTCCCATCAAACAACATCTTTGCGGCGGCAGGTGAAGAAATATGGAACAACGGTATAGCGTGCGGTAGGTATTTCCTAGTCCGGTGCATCAGCGCCTCTGTCTCCGGAACCTGCATTCCAAACCAAAATATCCAAGTCCGAATCGTCGACCGAGCACTATCCTCGCCTTCACGTCCCTCGCGTAACGGGGCTACCATTGTCCTCTCAATGACGGCCTTCAGCAAAATCGCAAAGTCGTCCGCCGTAGCCATCAACGTGGAGTATCAACAGTACGTTCTTCTCCTCACCTAATTGGCTGTCTTCTGATCAAAACTAAAGTGCTCATTCAATATCAATAAACATGGAACAAATTTTACGGGAGAAACCCGAGGTTCAACGTGAATAAGCTTTTAACATGGTATATCTCGACATTTTTTTCGGTAAAAAGCAAATCTTCATGAATCTCATCGAACTATATTTACATTGTTCTGATAAGAAATGACAATTGAGTAACCGACATGCACAATGTTTATCAAGATGGAGATGGAAAGTGCGAAATTTTATCACCCGTGAGCGATGACCTTACGTGTAGTGGTAAAGTCGTTCACTTCAAGACAGCGATGAATTGAAAAGTCAGATAGTTTCATTTTGTTTGTTTCTAATTATTTTTGGGGATTAGGACTTTGAAGACAAAGCGATGACGGCTGTACTTTTTTTTTTTGACTTCTTTCTTGGCAGGATTTGATATGGACATCCGCGTGTACTTTGGAGCTGGTCAATGATTTCATCTGTCTAATTATTAATAAATTAGTCAGAGCATCTATTAAATTGTATTGAACTGCATCTTCGTAAATATATTTAAGGAAAATTAGTGCATACGCTGTAGAAGTGTGAACGGCTCTGTTCACCCTTCATTCGAGAGTTTGAGGACAGCTTCAATTAGGGTTTTGCTTTGAGTTTCCTTTCTCTCCTTAAAACGTCCCAAAAAAAAAAGAATATTTTTAAAATGATCTCATTGTGTATGTTGCGAACAAAAATCTCATTATAATCAAATTTCATTATAAGTTATACTTTCTTGACATTTGTCCAGATCATGAATTAGATTTGTGCGGTGAAAGGTGATATTCTATTTTCTTTTATCTTCCTTTCATTTCATTTCCCTTTTTTCGTTCATAAAAAACATTTCTTTTCTGTCCAAGTGATTTTATGTGTTTATTCGTTAAAATTTTCAGGACAACGCCTTTTTTGTGTTTTGAACTGCAAGACAATTGGAGAAAATTTCGTGGTTTATGTTTTTACTACTCTTATACTATTATCCATTTTGCATAGTTTTTCAGCATGAAAGCAAAATGTTTCGATAAGTAAAATTTTAAATTGAATTATCAGTACGTGTCATTTGTCTCATTCTCTAATATTGTCCTATTAGCTTATTGATATATTATTATGCCTTTTGGCAACGAGAATATATATCTATATATACACGTTTTTGGTGAATATATCTCCTTGGTGAATGGTGCTATCTCTCTAGAGCAACTTGAATTCAATTACATTGACCGAATGCATTGCAATTGCACGCTGACTATCCTTCAAACAATTAATTTGTCATAGAGATTAGAGTGCATGCGTGTCTTCTAATTCCGTATAAAACCTTAGATCCTTTCTCTGAACACGAGCCCCACCACGAATTGTATCTTACACATGACCCATATTTATTTTTCTTCTATATGTAATTTCTTGTTACCGCTAGAGACACAAATTCAAAGGTCTGATAACCCAAAAGCCATGAAATATCCCACAACAAGCCCATGAACTTAATAGGATAGGGTCTTTTAATGTGTACATGCAGCTTTGAACAAGAGCAATTTGGTCGTAACTTGACGGATAACTTCGGTGGAGTGGTTTTCACGGCAGAAATGTGACAGTTGTGCTGGTCATTTCACCTAAATTTCTACATGTAGCAGGTGTACTTGGAGGCCTCCTTTCGATGGATCTAGTTCCTCTTGTACGTGGGATGCTGTGTTGTCCAATTGCATGAGCTTCCGATGACTAGGACAAGGGAAAAAGAAAGGATAAAATTGCCTGCGCAACACCCGTAATTGTTGGCGTCTGTCCTCTTTTGTACATCGAAGTAATGCACATGTCTGTTTGTTTGCATGTGCATGTCATATTATCGCCGCCGTATGACCGCTGCCAACTCGAGGACCCACTAGATTTGCATATCTACACCGCCTTATTTTATATCTAGATCCGTTTCCTGCTGGCATATAGTTGTTCGATGGAAGCACTTACCAAGACCCTAGTTTTGAACATTCATCAATGGCATATGGTAGTTCAATGGAAGCTCTTAACAAGACCCCAGTTTTGAACATTCCATCAATTCCTCAAGTGCATTGTTTGAGCGTCTCATCTCTGCCCCTTGAAATTACTAAGCCTGCTTATTGCCACACGAGAATGAAATTCAGGGAGAAAAAGTAATCGTTAACCCGAATGGATCGCGATCCTTTCAAAGTATTTTACTAAAGTTTACCCCGATAGCACAACACCCCATGCTTTTTTTTGATACTATGTGACGATTCGGAATAATTCCCTCAATCGAGAGGATCTCAATCCAATAAACCGCTTGATTTATATTATTGAACTATGCTAATATGACGAATCCCATCATTCTTGAAATTGACGGAGCATTCCGGGCCACAAATTTTAATGGAGCAACATAGGCAACTGGTTAATTAATTAATCTGAACTTTGAAAATAAAAATAGAAAAGAAAGTGCCTAGCATGATAACCTAATTAAAGTGTCCAATTGCATGAACACATGAACAATCGATCCATTCCATAAGGAATAATTACCAAAAAAGTCATAAACCTATTGTATGGATGCCAATTCAGACCTAAACCTTTCAATTTGATCAATTTAGTTCTAAACCTTTTGATAATTTGTCAATGTAGTTCTTCTTTTGACTAATTTTGGTTGGAATTCGTTGACGTGAGCGCCATCTATCTTATGTAGCACGACCGGTACTGATATGGACAATCATTTTTTAGAATTTTTGAATTTTCCCTTTTTTCTTTCTTTTGCTTTTTTACTAAGGGCTGATGACGCTCGCCGGCACTAAGTGAGGGCTCGATGGCACTCACTATGGCTAGCGAGGGCCAGAGAGGGCATGTCGGCCCTTGGTTGTGGCTAGCGACCTCTGTCGGCCATTGCAAAGGCTATGGAGTGACAGAGGAAAATAAGAAAAAAGAAGAAGGAAAGAAAAGAAAAGTAAAAAAAAAAGAAAAAAATTGCAAAAAATTGTCCACATTTGCAACGGTCGTCTTTCGGCCATATCACATAAGACAGCCGACACCCACACCAGTATTTTCCGGCCAAAATTGGCTAAAAGGATTACATTGATTAATTGTCAAAAGTTTTATAATTAAATTGGCCAAATTGAAAGATTTAGGATCGAATTGGCATCCGTACAGTAGGTTTATGACTTTTTTAGTAATTTTCCCATTCCATGATGCCATATACTTTTACATTTAATGAAGATATATAATTACCAAAACTTAATCGGTAATGATTTATAATAGGATTGGCGGGGATCATTGTCCTGTTTAACTTAATCGGTTTAGGACTTAATCTGATGCTCCTGATGTTCTTTTCCCTCGTCAAACTCCTGCTTCTGACCCTACTGGGACAGTCTTAGCCCGTTACGGAAGCTTTCGATACATCTGTGCAGTCTTTTGCTAGCAAATTATCTAAATCAGATAGCTCAGCGACATATGAAGAAGCCATCTGATAAGTACGTTTATCTTTGCTTGCCTTGATATCCATAGAAGCATCAGAAGGTGATCCAATTTCATTTGCAGCATCATCTGCTGGATATTGTTCAGAGTATATTCTCAGTTCCATAATTAAGTTCGCTGCCGTCACTCGCACTCTGCCTGTTTGTGAAAGATTTAGCAGAGTACGCCGTGTCACAGTCCGTACACCTATGCCAAAATGGGTCACCAAGATTATGAAAACTTTCCTTAGTGTTGTCCTGGTTTCTCTGCGCCTTTCTAAGTTGTGAAATGAAGATAAGAATGGGTTCTTGTCCTCATAAGAACATCCAACTTCAGTGCTTGATTCTTCGGCTCATTAAGAGATAACTTCTTCAGTTCCTCGTCTATTGAGTCACCCATGGTATCACTCTGCGACACTATGTTAGGTTGAAAAATGATCCTGTTTGTCATTGGCTGACCGGGACAATACATGCCCAGAGACTACTGAAGAAGTGGTTTTAGCATCGTCAGAAGTAGACTTTTGGCACGACAACACAGACGAAGTGATCTTGGCATCACTTGAATCTAGAGATTCAAGATCTACAGTGACCCTACTAATACAGTCTTTGCCCATTAAGGAAGCTTTCAATACAACATCTGTGCAATCTTTTGCTAGCAAGTTATCTAAATCAGATAGCTCAGTGACACATGAAGAAGCCACCTGATAAGTACGTTTATCTTTGCCTGCCTTGATATCATTAAGAGGAAACACGGTCCCCCCAACCAAAGTATTAGAGTTTAGTATTTTGCCCAAAGAAGTATCGGAAGGTGATCCATTTTCATTTGCGGCATCATCTGCTGGATATTGTCTAGAGTATTTTCTCAGTTCCATAATTAAGTTCACTGCCGTCACTTGCACTCTGCCTTTTTGTGCAAGATTTAGCAGAGGATGCTCTGTCGCTGTCCGTACACCTGTGCTGAAATAGGTCACCAAGATTAAGAAAATTTTCGTTAGTTTTATCTTGGTTCCTCTGCTTCTGCTCATCAAAGGTAGAATCTTTTAGCTTATCGTCATAAACCCGGAATCGAGGTTGACCACTGCAAAATTTCGTACAGGACAAACGATGTTTATGTTAGAACCGTTCGCAACTTCAAGTTCCACCTACAGCTCCAAAACCTGATTTAAACCTGACCGAGTGTTTTGACCATCTGGTCTTGTTGGATGAATTTCTGCAGAGGCTTGACCAGACACTTCATTTCTATCCAGTCCAGAGAAACTTAACTGCCAGATCAAATGAAGCACGCACGAGTTGAGAGGCACATGGCACTATACCACCCCCATACCTGCATCATTTCTGAAATGACTGAAAAGGTAATCTAACATGCGAAACTTACCTTCTGCTCAGATATGAAGTTGTATAGAGGACTCTGGTACAGCATAAGGAGAAAACTGTTATGACATATTAGAACTTGAATCAGTTGGAAAACATCAACTAAATCAGGTTTATGGCATGAAAGCAGCACCAGAAATAAGCATAAAAAATAAGCATCAAGCAATAACCTATGGGGTACAATTGAAATCTCGCCAAAGAACAACAGGAGCATCAGCCCAGGCTCGGGATACAGCATAAGCCCTATCCAGAAGAACCCTTATCAGTTGAACAGATGCAAAATAGCAAGATCAACTACTT